CAGGTGAGTCAGGAGAGGTCTGCGGGGCCATGTGGGTCACCTCCCGGGCCTGTGATCAAACTTGAGGTGAAGTGGTTGCAGTGAGCTTCATGGCCACACTTTAACCCCGTTGCACCTCGAGGGAGGGCCCTAAAAAGAAATCTTTAAAAAAGAGTAGTACATAAGAATATATCTTCCCTCTAATAACTACCCAACTTTCATTTATTCTTTTTTGCCAAATAGGTTATTTTGAAATTTATCAACTGAGGTAAGTGTAATTTATTTCATCCGGGTGATTAATTTTAACATCTAGGAAGATGATACAATGAAGAGTAGAAAAAAAGGAAATAATTCAGTTACAACTCAGGAAGTAAGGCAGGATATGCAAAATTCTATGAGACATAAATTCAATTTGATGAATTATTTCCTCTAAGCTTTTAAAATGTGTCCTAGCTACATCTAGCTTCAAAGGACACTAGAATGTGTAGTTTTTATTAGAGATGGATATGTGCTCAGGTACAATTTAAAAAAAAATTTTTAAAAGATTTTATTATGCACACAGAACTGGGGTACAGGCCAGAGGTGCAGGGGCTGTGAGAGGAGTCACCAGAAGCAGAGTGGGGAGTAGAACAGGCAAATCGACAAAGTACACTGCTCAGGGGAGAAGGACCGAGACAGGACTGAGACAGGAGAGGTCTGCTGCATGGTGTGGGCCACCTACCTGGCCAGGGATTGAACTCCCACCGAAGCAGCCACAACTTGGCTTAGCTTCGCAGTGCAGTGCTCCAACCTGCTGCGCCACTAGGCAGGGCCAACAATTAAAATTTTTTATTAATGTAGAAGAAGAGAACATGTTAGGATTGACTAATAGTCTCTGTTACTTTGGGTCCACTGTTTAATTTTTATGAAGCCTATAAAAAAAATCTATAAAATAGCATCTTTGCTGCCCATCCTGTCCAGTTATTACAATACTAAATGTGTCAATATGAAAGTAAACTGTAAAACAACAATCAATAACTTTGACTGTAGAAGTCATATATTGTATAGAACACTTGATATATTCAGAGAAGAAAATTGATAGCAAATAACCTAGAGTTAAATATTAACATTTTGACATTTATTTTTAAGCTTGCATTTGCAACTTTATAGATTTATAACAACTTTATTGAGCTGTGATTCACATACATTTTACCCATTTAAAATGTACCCAGTTTGGTGTTTTTTAGTGTATGGAGAGATTTGCAACTATAACCACAAAGAATTTTAGAATGTTTTCATCTCCGCACAAAGAAGCCCTATTTTTAGCAGTATTCCCATTTCCCTCCAACCCTCCTCCCAGTCCTAGCATCCATTAGTCTATTTTCTGTCTCTTTAGCTTTGTCTGTTCTGGGCATTTCATATAAATGAAACAATGTGTAGAATTTTGTGAATGGCTTCTCTGACTTAGCTTAATGTTTTCAAGGTCTATCCTTGTAAAATGTACCAGATGTATCTTTCTTTTTTTTCTTTTAAAGATTATTTATGCATACAGAACTGGGGTACAGGGGCAGGGGGGGGAACAGTGGGCAGGACAGGAGAGGTCTCCTGAACCATGTGGGTCACCTCCCTGGCCAGGGATCAAACTTGCACAGAAATGGCTCTGCTAGCTTTGCAGTGGTGTGCTCTAACCCTTTATGCCACCAGGGAGGGCCCCAGATATACCTTTCTTGCTGAATAATGCTCTACTATGTAAATATACTATGTTTAGCCATTTATTAGTTGATTGACTTTTGAGGTGTTTGTACTTTTTAGCTATTAGAAACAGTGCTGCTGCAAACATTTCTATTCAGGTTTTTGTATGATAAAAAGATTTTCATTTTTCAGAGGTGCATACTTAGAAGTGGAATTGCTAGGCTATGTGGTAATTGCTAGGCCTTTCTCCTTTTGTTTTGTTGTTAAAGAGTTTATTTATTTATGCATACAGAACTGGGGTACAGACCAGAGGTGCAGGGGCCATGAGAGGATTCACCAGAGACAGAATGAGGAGCAAAACAGGCCAACTGAGGGGAGCAGCGGGCAGGTCAGGAGAGGTCGGCTGCATCATGTGGGTCACCTCCAGGGCGGGGATTGAACTCGTGCTGAAATGGCTTTAGCTTCCTTGTGCTGTGCTTTAACCCGCTGCGCCACTAGGGAGAGCCCATTTGTTAGACTATTTTCTTTTTTTAAAGATTTATTTATTCATACAGAGCTGGGGTACAAACCAGAGGTGCAGGGGCAGTGAGAGGCTTCACCAGAGACAGAGTGGGGTACAAAAGGGGCAGATTGATGAAGTACACTGCTGAAGGGAGTAGCGGGCAGGTCAGGAGAGGTCTGCCTTGCCATGTGGTTACCTCTGGGGGGCCGGGGATGAACTCGCACTTAAGTGGCTGAGGCTAGCTTGCAGTGCTATGTCCTAACCTGTTACTTTATCAGGGAGGGCCGTGCTAGACTATTTTCTAAAGTAAGTGTACCATTTTACATCCTCACTAATTTATGAGAGAGTTCCAGTTCCTTCACACCATCACCCACACTTGTTATGATCTTACCTTTTGAGTATAGCCATCCTAGTGGGTGGTATTTTATTGTTATTTTGCTTTGTATTTCACCATTTCACCAATGATAAATACTGTTGTGCATCTTTCATATGATTATTGGTTATTTGTATTTTTTTTTGAAGAAACATCTGTTTAGACCATGCCCTATCTTCATTTGAGTTGTCTTTTTACTATTGAGTTGTAAAAGCTACTTATATATTATATATATTGAATACAAATCCCTTATTGCAGATATTTTTTCCCATTCTTGATGATGACCTTTGAAGCACAAAATTTTATTTTTTATTAATGTAACATTGGTTTACAACTGTTTCATGTTTATCCAGCCCTAGGCCTGGGCCTAGCCATGACTCAGATCTGGAACCCAGGTCCTTGCATGTCCTGGAGTTTAGCCTAATCTGCTGAGTCATGGGTTTTTAGGGCACAAAAGTTTTTTTTTTTTTTTAACGATGTTCAGTTTATCTGTTTGTTCTTTGATGGTTTGTTATCTTAAGAAACAATTTACTAATCCAAAGTCTGGAATATTTCTATAGCTTTTATAATGTTGATAAAAAAACAATTTCAGTAGCTGATGAAAGCAGTTATTTGAGGACCTAGTTTTCTTAGAATTCTTTCACTTAAAATTGAAATTTCCAAGAACTTAACCAAGTAATGGTGATGATTTACTGTGCATGTCTTCATAATACTTATATTTAGAGCTGTGATCCATTTTGAGTTAATTTTTATGTTATGTGAGGAAGGACATCCTCTTTGTCCCCATGCATGTGTATTGTACCAGTACCATTATGGAAGTTTATTCTTTTGCTCATTGTTTTGACATTTTTGTGAAAAACAGTTAACTAGAAATAAAAGAGTTTATATGGACTTGAAATTCTATTTCAGTGCCCTGTGTAATCTATTCTTATGCTAGTACCACATTGTTTTGATTCATATAGCATTATAATCAGTTTTTAATTGACATGGGTAAATCCTTCAAAATTATTTTAGCTCTTCTAGGTCCTGTGTGTTTTCATCTGAATTTTAGGATCAATTTCTTTAATTTGCAAAACAGGAAGCAGAGATTTTCATAGGGATTATGATCTGTTGAGCAATTCAGCAATATTAAATTATCTGATCCATAAGTAAAATGGCTTTCCATTTATTTAGGCCTTCTTTAATGTTTTTTTTCTTCCTTCTGTAATATTTTAATTTTATACTACATTAATTTTTTCCTAAGTATTTGTTGTGACATATTGTAATTGTATACAATTATTTAATTACATTTTCAGATTGTTCATTGTAAGTGTATAGAAATACAATAGTTTTTAATATTAGATTTTGTATCTTGCAGCCTTTGCTAAACTTTTTTGTTTGTTTATGTTGTGTGCTGTGTATATTCCTTAGGATTTTCTTTATACAGAATTATATCCCCTGCAAATATAGTTTTACTTTTTCTTACTAATCTGAATGCCTTTTCTTTTTCTTGCCTAAGTGCCCTTGTTTGGACCTTTAGCATAATGTTGCATAGAAGTTGTTAGGAAGGAAATATTCATACTTTCAACAATTTTTAGTTTTTGCACTTAAACCTTATACTTATTTGGTTAGTTCTTTGTTCCTCATACTGAAATTACCAAGTTAATCTTTATGAGGATGCTAACTTCTATTGCAAACTGTTTTACCCAAATAAATTTTTAATATTTCAAATTATCAAGTTGGGATGGGGATTTTAGGAGATAATAAATTGGAAAGAAAATCGGGTCTAGTTTTTTTTTTTTTTTTAAAGATTTATTTATTTATTCATACAGAACTGGGGTACAGGCCCAGTTCTGTACGGAGGGTGAGAGGATTCACCAGAGACAGAGCGGGGAGCAGAACAGGCAGATCGATGAAGTACACTGCTGAGGGGAGCAGCGGGTGGGTCAGGAGAGGTCTGCCACACCATGTGGATCTCCTCCAGGGTAGGGGCAGGGGGGGATTGAACTCATGCGGAATTGGCCAAGCTTCTTAATGCAGTGCTTTAACCCGCTGCACCACCAGGGAGGGCCTGGGTCTAGTTTTTGTAGGATACAGACATCACTTTTAACAATCTAAAATTTTGCCTTTTTGGCTTCAGGCCCATGGGAGGCCATAGAAAGCTTGAGCAGGTGAAGGTCATGGGGGTAATTTAGGAAAAGTATCCTGTTGTGCTTCCCAGGTCCTCCCTAACTTAGGTCTTGACAGAGGCACCCTGTTATGTTTTTACTACTACCCAGTGTAACATTAAGTATTATAGCACTTTAAGCATTATATGTCTTTATTTGTTTAAATGTAGCTCTTGTAAATATGAGTCACACTTTGTATTCCCACTGTCTCAGTAACTGACATTTGGTAAACGGTGAATACTTGGTAAGTGAATGTTTCATTCTTCACTGTTCTAGAAACTTATGTTTTTACTTTGTGTTCCCTTTATGTTTCTTCCTGGGTTTCAAGGAGGAGGCATCTCCCTATTCCTTACTCGATATCTGCTTGAATTTCCTGACTACTCATCTTGAGAAGTTCTGCTCAGCAAGACAAGATGGAACATTGTGTCTGCAGGAACCTGGAGTATTCCCACAGGAGGTGGCTGACCGACTGCTTCAGACCATGGCTTTTCATGGTAATATAATAAACAAAGAAAGCAAAAATTATACTCTATTTTTAGGCAGTGTATTTTGAAGTAGTGCTATTGCTATTTTCTTAGAAATAAAAGAAAAAGAAAAAGAAATAAAATGGGCCCTCCCTGGTTTAGCAGGTTAAAGCACAGCACTAGGAAGCTTTCACAATATGAGTTCAATCCCCAGCCAGCGGTGTGACCCACATGGTGTGGCAGATTTCTCCTTCCCTGCCCGCCGCTCCCCTCAGCAGTGTATTTCAGTAAATCTGCCTGTTCTGCTCCCCACTCTATCTCTGGTAAATCCTCTCACCACCCTGCATCTCTGGCCTGTACCCTAGTTCTGTATGAATGGATAAATAAATCTTATATTTAAAAAAAAGAAAAAGAAGTAACAGAAAACCCCAAATTAGCCAGATTCTGAGCAAAGGAATTCAACTCTTTTTACCTATCCTACCACTTAATTTGTAATTTGGAATAAGCATTTTTCTTTTTCAATCTGGATGTAGTTCTTTCTTCTTTCTCTTTTCTTTTTATTTGAGAACCATTCTTATCATAAAAATAATGTGTTTAACTTAAAAAGTATCTACTTAGAAGTTTAAAATATGGTATAAAATATGTTATATTGGGCCTCCTTAGTGATACAGAGGTTAAGTCTCAATACTATGAAGCTACCCTCATCCATTGCAGCAAGAGTTTGATCCCTGGCCAGGGAGCTGACCCATATGGCACAGCAGACTTCTCCTGTCTCACTGGCTGCTTCCCTTGGCAGTGTATTTCAGTAGATCCTCCTGTTTTGCTCCCCACTCTGCCTCTGGTGAATCCTCTCATCTGTGCACCTCTGGTCCAGTTCTATGAAAAATAAATTTTAAAATCTCCGAAAGAGAAGAAATACTTTTGTATATTTAGGGTTTACAAGTAGGAAATCTGATTTGTCTATAGCTATGAAATAGAATGAAAATGCGGCAGTAATGAAAACTATCATTTATTGATTGCCTATATATATATAAAATATTTATTTGTTCATACAAAACTGGGGTATAGGCCAGAGGTGCAGGGGTGGTGAGAGGAATCACCAGAGACAGAGTGGGGAGCAGAACAGGCAGACTGATGAAGTACACTGCTGAGGGGAGCAGTGGGAGGTTCAGGAGAGGTCTGCCATGTTATGTGGATCATCTCCGGGGCAGGGATCGAACTCATGCTGAAGTGGCTTTAGCTTCTTAGTGCTGCACTATAACCCACTTCGCCTCCAGGGAGGGCCCTATTTATATATTCTTACAGGCATTTTATTTTTTCAAAAACTAAAAGATAGCAATTACTCTATTTACATAGAGATAAGGAAACTGAGATTCAGAGAAGAAGTAACTTATTCAGGGTCACACTGCTAATACATGGCATCCAGATTCAAGTGCAAGTGTGCTAGTTCCAAATTTATATTTCTTTACACTGTGCTGCACTGTGCTTCCACTATACCTAGTTAGAGGTAACCCTGTTCCCAGATTCCAGATAATAGTGTGTGTACACACACACACACACACACACACACACACAAGCGAGTTGCTAGATAGGATACTGCTCCATTCGTGAATGGTTAAATAAAGCCAAATAATTTTTTTTAATTTAATATATAAAATATACAGTCAAAAGCATGACTAGACAAATACATTCAAAGAAAGGATGGGACATGAGGATATAATTAAGACATTTTAAAATAGCTTCAGAAAGAAGACATTTACACTCCTTGGTTTCACTAACTTGCTTAAGTTCTTAGTCTCTTTATTAAATGTCCCTTACAAAGCTGCACAGTTTGAGACTGCCATTGCTAACTAGCATTTCTTTCTAGTTTCAACTTAAGCTTATTCAACTTAAGCATATATACATAAAGCAGAGAAACTAAATCAGTCATTCATTATTGCTTATAATATATAATGGTATATCCACTATGAAAAACATCTTGATAGATGTTTAAACTCTGAACATGCAACCTACCATAAAATCCCTAGACATTTATCCCACAGAAATTAGAACTTAAGTTCACACAACACCTATACATGACTATACAACATAGAGTTTATTTTCATTAATAGCTAAAGACGATAAAACCCCAGATACAAACTGATGTACTGCAAAACATGGAATTTTACTCAGCAATAAAAAGGAGTGAACTAATATATGCAACATTCTGCATGACTCTTCAGAGAATTATGCTGGGTCAAAAAAGCCAACCCCCAAAAAATACAAGACAATCCTAAAAGGTTATATAATAAATGATTTATGTAACATTCTTGAAATGACAATATTGTAGAAATGGAAAGCAGAAATGGTTGCCAGGAGTTACAAAGAAGGCAGAGGCAAGAGAGAAGTGAATATGCCTATAAAAGGGCAACTAGAGGGTCCTTATGAGGTGTAGATAGGAATCTTGAGCATAGTAATGTCAATATGCTGGTTGTGATAATGAACTGTAGCTTTACAAAATTCTACCACTGAAGAAAAAGGATCTCATCTGTAATTTACTCAGAAAGCCATGTGAATATATACTTTTATAAAACTATAAAGTTTAACTTTTTTTGAATAATGTATTAGTTTATTTTTACATCATTTTGTGCATTTTTTCCACCTCATTGTAATCCCCTTGGGCTTCCTATCACCAAATAACCCATGTGCCATCACCATAGTCTGGTGCATTTCTCTCCCCTCACTGTTTTTGATCTCATTCCTCACTCCACCCCCATAAAATGTCTCTGGTATATAGCTGTTCATTATTATTATTTTCTCGCCTGGTTTGTTACATTCCTGCTATGAGTGAAACCATCCAGTATTTTTCCTTTTCTTTCTGGCTTATCTCACTAAGCATGATCTTTTTCCAGCTCCATCCATGTTGGTGCAAAAGGCATGTGTTTCTTTTTTTTGGTTGCTGAGTAATATTCCATTGTGTATCTGTACTACATCTTTTTAATCCAGTCATCTACTTTTGGACATTTGGGCTGCTTTCATGTCTTTCCAAATAAGGCAGCAATAAACATGGGGGTGCAGGTATCCTTTTGAATCAGTGTTTTTGTGTCTTTTGGGTAGATACCTAGGAGTGGGATTGCTGGGTCATAGGGAAGCTCCATTAAAACCATAAAGTTTAATTTTAAAGAGCTCACTTTGAGGGATATAAAGTTGTGTTGACATGAGTTAAGGGAATTCCATCTAATGGCTTCAGTTCTTCTTGCTAAGAGTAAATGACAAAGTCTGAGAAGATCGAAGAGTGTCAGGCACTCTTGAAACACTAATTACTGTTGTTGTTACTTCTGTTGTCTGGGTTCACTCATCCTTTCCTCTGTTCTTCCCATTGCGACATCGAGCCCAAACATTATTATGTTTTTTAGTTTTAAATTTCCATTTGGTTTTTCCTTATATCTTTCTGTTCCTTTGCTGAGGCATGTTTGCTTCAAGCATGTTTGTGGTTTATGATGGTTTCTTTAAAATACTTGTCAACTAATTATTTATGCATACAGTACTGGGGTACAGGCCAGAGGTGCAGGGGCGGTGAGAGGATTCACTCACCAGAGACAGAGGAGGGAGCAAAACAGGCTGATCAACTTAGTACACTGCTAAGGGGAGCAGTGGTCAGGTCAGGAGAGGTCTGCCACTCCATGTGGGTCACCTCCAGGGCAGGGATGGAACTCATGCTGAGTGGCTTTAGCTTCTTAGTGATGTGTTTTAGCCCGCTGCGCCACCAGGGAGGGCCCTGTCAAATAATTTTAACATGTGTGTTATCTTAGCATTGACATAGATTGTATTTTTATTTTTTTAAAGATTATTTATGTATGTATACAAGAACTGGAGTACAAGCCAGAGGTGTGGGTGGGGGTTGGGTGAGATGATTCCACCATAGACTGTGTGGGGAACAGAACAAACGGATTGACTGAAGTACACTGTTGAGGGCAGCAGTGGGTGAGACAGGAGAGATCTGCTGCACCATGTGGGTCAGCTTCCTGGCTATGGGTTAAGCTCTTGCTACAGTGGCTGCAGAGAGCTTCATAGTGCCGCACTTTAACCCCTTGCATCACCAGGGAGGCCCTTTTTCTTTTTTTAGTTTGAAATGTTATTGGTATGATTTTTTATGATATCAAGATAATTTGGATATTATGAGATTCTCTTGCTTTAGTTTGTGTTTCTGATACCACTCCAGCATTGGAAGGTAGAGGTACTACTTTGTTACTGCCATATTGGAGTAGGTGTTCTGGTTTACAACTTGACTTCTTTTGATACCCAAGACTAGAATCTCATCATTATTACTATGCAGGAATTAGAGTTCTGATTCTCCAACCCTAGAATTCTACTGAAACCTCCCCAGTGAAGAGAAGTATGAGTACTTCATTTCCGCTTCTCACTAGGCTTCTACTGACATTATTTTGGGTAAGGTGTCTTCATTACTGTTGAGAGTGGTAAAAGTCTTGGCTCTCCTCCACTAGGCTTCCTGTGATACCACCCCAGCAGGAATGGTGAGGAGCCCCTCATTTCTGCCAGATAATTGTAAAAGTCTAGACTTAGATGGTGTCCACTGACATCCTCTGCCCATTATAAAGGTTTTTCTTGATTTTAATTCTTTAACAGTAATTAAGTCTGAAAAATGTACTAGAGAGTAGTATTTCTTTTCAGAAAATCTTAAAACTAAGTTTTTTTTGAAGATTGATTTATTTATGCTTATAGAACTGGTGTACAGGCCAGAGATGTGGTGGGTGAGAGGATTCACCAGAATCACAGTGGGGAGCAGAACAGGCAGATTGACGAAGAGCACTGCCGAGGGGAGCAGCGGGCGGGTCAGAAGTCTGCCATGCCATGTGGGTCAGCTCCCTGGGTGGGGGTCAAATTCTTGTTGCAGCGGCTTTAGAGAGCTTCATAATGTGGTGCTTTAACCGTTGTGCCACCAGGGAGAGCCCAATCTTAGCACTAATTTAAGGGAGACTAGCTGGTTGTTACATCCTTAGTTTGAATGCTGAGGTGCTACTTAAGAATTCTTCCTCTGGCTCAATACTATTGACTTACTGTATTCCAACTGTTCATTTCCTCCAGACTGCAGACTGTTCTTATGCTACATTTTACTGGCATGGCTGTTACTTCTTTCACAGTAACTGTTGGTTCGTTGATATGTGTTCTTGGGATGAATGTGACTCTAGAGCATCTTGCACTATTATGTGGTGGTTGTGTCTATATCTAAGGGAGTTTTCAGAGGCTGCTGGGCCCACTTAATTTGCATTCTTCTGACAGGGAGAAGCAATAACCTCTATGTCATGTAGTGTGTGGAACTAGCTAGTGGTTTAATAATGAATTCTAGATGTTAATGTGCTAAATATGTGTGCATACAATGTGTTTCTGTGCATTTTTTTTTAAAGATTTTATTTACTTAGGCATACAAAGCCTGGGGTGTAGGCCAGAGGTATGGGGGGGTGAGAGGATTCACCAGAGACAGAATGGAGAGCAGAACAGGCAGATTGACTGAAATACACTGCCAAGAGGAGCAGCAGGCAAGACAGGAGAGGTCTACTGAACCATGTGGGTCAGTTCTCTGGCCAGGGAGCAAATAAAACTCATGCCTCAGTGGCTGGTGATAGCTTCATAGTGCTGAGAGTTTAACCTCTGCATCACCAGGGAAGCCACCTGTTATTTGTGTATTATAATGTGTTACAGTACATTCACAGGAAGGCTAGAAAAGAATTGGTAACAAATTAACCCCCAGATCCAGTGGCCTGATGCACAGCTTATTACTCATTTATGATAAATAAATGTTGCAGGTCCTGGGAGAATTCTGCTCCATGGTTGCCCTAGGATCAAGGCATATGGAGGCTCTACATCATATAGCTACACTGTTTATAACTTGAAAACTCCTCATTTGTCATAGCAAGAGAAGATTGCCTAGCAAACAAGTGGTTCTCACTTGTTTCACTCTACAGTCTTGTCTAGAATTAGGCACATGGACTTACTCAGTTCCAAGGGTAAGGTAAGAAATGTAATTGTCCATGTATCCAGGAAGTTGAGAGCCAGATGTTAGTGAAAGTCAGTAATGTCTACCACAGTTCTGATTCTGCTATTTGCTGCTCTGTGATCTTGGAAAACTTTTACTTTTTGAGCCCCACTTTACATATCTATAAATTGTAGATGATACTATTCTACCTCACTAAATTATTATGTATCTTAAATAAAATGTATTACATGAGAATGCTTTGGAAATGTACAATATGGTGGAAATTTTAGCTATTTAAGATTTTAATTTATTTATGCATACAAGAACTAGGGTACAGACCAGAGATGTGGGGAGTGAGAGGATTCACTAGAGACAGAGTGGGGAACAGAACAGATGGACTGAAATACACTGCTAAGGGGAGTAGTGGGCAGTACCGGAGTCTGTCACATCATGTGAATCACCTTATTGGCTGGGGATTGAACTCATGGTGCAGTGGCTGCAGATAGTAGCGTAGTGCTGAGCTTTATCCTGTTGTGCCACCAGGGAGGGCCCTCTTAAACCATGTTTAGAAGTTAACATGCTACATGTTTTTTCCCAGGTCTGCTGAATGATGGAACTGTAGGAATTTTTAGGGGCAATCAGATGCGTTTAAAACGAGCTTGCATTCGTAAAGCCAAGATCTCTGCTGTTGCTTTCCGGAAAGCTTTCTGCCACCACAAACTAGTGGAACTCGATGCCACAGGTGTGAATGCTGACATCACGATTACAGACATCATCAGTGGGCTTGGCAGTAACAAATGGATCCAGCAGAATCTCCAGTGCCTAGTGCTGAACTCTTTAACTCTCTCCCTTGAAGATCCGTATGAGCGCTGCTTCAGCCAACTTTCTGGCCTTCGAGCATTAAGCATCACCAATGTTCTGTTTTATAATGAAGACCTGGCTGAGGTGGCCTCCTTGCCAAGACTAGAGAGTCTGGATATTTCTAACACCTCCATCACAGACATCACGGCTCTGCTGGCCTGCAAAGACCGACTCAAGTCCCTAACCATGCACCACTTGAAATGTTTAAAAATGACAACGACCCAGATACTGGATGTTGTACGGGAACTAAAATACCTGAATCATCTTGATATTTCAGATGACAAACAATTTACATCAGACATAGCTCTTCGCTTACTAGAACGAAAAGACATCCTACCCAACCTTGTCTCCCTAGATGTTTCTGGGAGAAAGCATGTGACAGATAAAGCTGTTGAAGCCTTTATACAGCAAAGGCCCAGTATGCAGTTTGTAGGTTTGCTGGCCACTGATGCTGGTTACTCTGAATTCCTCACAGGCGAAGGACATTTGAAGGTTAGACTTTAAAAATGTATTATTGTGTCAGAATGACCAGTGTCTTAGTTGCATAAGACTCCATTTAAGTTAATGTCTAATAATTTATGACATGTTCATGAAATAACACATTGTATAGTGGGAAAACCTTGCTTTAGAGAGAAAGAACCCTAATTAAAATCCCAGCTTACTTGACCCAGAATAAGCTATGATGTAATTTTTTTTATTTTTAACTCTTTATCAGACAAATGGTATTCATATGTAGAATTCTTCTGAAGATTTGTAGTTATATATCTAAATTACAGGTTATTCAGTAGACCCTCAAAATATAGTTTTCGTTATGATTATGTTTAGATATTTTATATCATTTATATATACCATTTCTAATGGCTCACTTGAAAAAAACTAAGGATACTAGTTTGGGAGACCAAACTCTCCAGGGAGATCTCTGTTGTAGAGCTGGTAAAATTTTGCTTTTCTTAAGATTTCTATTGGTTAATGATGTGAATTCAGTTTAGCAAATACCTGTTGAACTTGGAGATAACCTGGGACTCAAAGGTGAAAAAAACATATAATCTGCCACCAAGGTTCTAATAGAAGTGGTGATAATGTCATGATAAATAACTGGAAGCCAAGGGTTGGTGTAATTGTTATGAGAGAGTAGATAAAATTTCTCCTAGGTGGAGAATTTGGCATGTTAGCCAGGAAAGGGAATTTCCCCTTACTATTGGCTCCTTCTTGGATAGGGTGAATATCAAATCAAATTAACCTCAAATTTAGGAAGAGAGTCTACATAAATGTGGCTTCCAATGCCAGGGAAGCACAGTGGTGGTAAATATCCTGAACTAGGAAGTGGGATGGGGCCTGGGCCTCAAGAAGAAAGGAAGGGTACTCAAGACAAAGACCTGTTGTTTTGTAATTTGCCCTGTCACATAAATAGATTTCGCAGGTAGAAAATTTATTTCTCATAATAACTCTTAATTTAGAGTGAGATGCCTAATTTTTATTCTTCTGGACAGTTAAAGGAATAGCAAAAGGAGCTTGCAGGACCTCACTTGACCTCAGCTGGACACAATTTATATGTTAAGGTATCTTGGGGAGACTTATTCTGAACATTTTAGAGAGATCTGTCCTTGAGGGACATAATGGAGAAGATGGTCTCTGAGTAAGACCTTGAAGGATAAATTTGTTACAAGTTTAACTCAATAGATGAGAAAGATAAGTTCATAGAGATTATGTGATTTATGATTAATTAGAACCAATATTTGAATCGGCATCTCTCTGATTCCCATAAGCAGAAGCATTCCTTTGATCTTACCTGAAACAGTCAGGGCAGGCCTAGAAGTAGATATTGTGACCAAACATAGCAGGATATCATTTTTAAGCAAACATCATTGGTCCCCCAAAAAGGAGAAGGTTAATGTTCCATGTATGGCATCTCAGTCTTATATTATTTGTAAACTTAGGTTTTTAAGATTAGAATATAAAAAATCATCTTGAGTCATTTTTTTTCATTCATTTAAAATATTTTATCAAGTGTCTCTGTGCTAGGCACTGTGTTAGATATGGGGATTTGATGGTGAGTCCAAACAAATTTAATCTTTTCCTCTTGGAGCTTGTAATTAGTGTTAAAGTCAGACAATCAGACGTCATGTGCTGTGTGTGTGTGCTTGAAATATGTATGTGTGTATTTTTATATTTATACATATTTTTATATTACACATATGCATATATGTGTGAGTACACACATATATACATATACTGTATACTGTATAGTGCTAGGATTCTAGAAAATACACAGTGCTTTAAATGAAAATGTTTTAACAAAGAGACAAGTTAATCTTTTTGAGGAATTGATGAGTGAATGAAGACCTTGAGGGTGAGTAGTTTGGTAGAGAACATTCCAGGCACAAAACATAATGCATGTAGAGGATGTGTGGTAGTAGGGAGCATCTAAGGAACTGAAGGAAGGCCACTGGGATAGGAGTTCAGCAGTAGAGAATCAAGTGCAGTGATGAAACTGGAGAAGTAGGCCAATCCCAGATGGAGCAAACACTATAAGCCAGATGCGGAACAACACTGTAGCTGCATTAGAATATTCATAGAAGTATGAGGAACTTATGCCAGCTTATATGGAACAAGATAGATTTCTGGCACAGGGCTTATTGATAGAAGGAATCATGAAAATGTAAATTACTGTTTTAATATTATTTAATAGTCTGACAAATAGGTCAGATAGTAAAGAATTGTTAAAACTAAAGGGGAGAAATCCCTGTGTTCTAGGACATGAGGAAAGAGTTCCCAAAAGATGTGAGCTTGATTTGCCTGAAGAAGAAAAGGAATGTGTCTCTGATACATTAAGCTAAATAATCTTCAGGCAAAGTTTCTGTAATAGCTGTGATCTGGGAGCAGTATGATTTTTGCTGTCTCTCTCTCTCAATGACCAAATAAATCCTAGAGTGAATTAGCCTAAGTTTTAAGATTGAGGTTAATAGGACATCTGTATTCTACAGTGTCTCCATAAAACAAGTTTTATTTCACAAGTGAAACTGTTATTACTTTAAAATGTTGGCCCTGGGAAATACCTCCCTTTTAATTTTCACCTTTGTAAATGTTAAAGCAGTGATTCTCAGCCTTGGCTACAATTCAGATCATCTGGTATGTAATTAAATAAGTTGATGGACATGTTAACCTTACTTGGTAATAATTTCACAATACATACATGTATCCAAGCATCATGTATACCTTAAAATTATGCAGTGTTAATATTTCAACCATATCTTGATAAAACTGGGAATTTTTTTTTAATCAACAATCACCTGGGGAGTTTGAACTATTAGAACCACAAGGAGTTGTTTTTTAAAGCTCCTCAGGTGATTACAATATACAGCCAAAGTTGAGAAACTTGTTTTCATTGGACCTTTGCCCTTTTTTCAACTGTATACAAAAATTGAAGTTCCTTTTAAGTTACTTGGATACTGACTTGAGAGCTGAAAACCATTATGTTACAGAGAGCTAGTTTGCCACATCTCCTTTTTTAAGAATTGTCCACTTTAGCAAGATTGATGAAAAAGTTGTCTGAAATGAATGTCTTAATATTTTGATGCTTTAAATTAGCTTGGGTTGGCTGTTTTTGCATTACATGCCTCCATCTTTTAGACCACACTACAGGATGCAAGAAATAGAGACAGTGTGATTCCCAGTATTCTTATAAGGCATTATATTGTACCATAGGTGGGTGGTTATAAAAATGATTTATTTATGGCATCCATATGTATTATTTATTCTCTGAGGGAGGTATTATTGTCCTCAGCAAGAGGGTCACAACCAGCTGGTACAGGCATACCTTGTTTTATTGCACTTTGCTTTATTGCATTCACAGATACTGCGTTTTTTACAAGACCCTCCACCAGCAAAAAGATTAAGATTCGCTGAAGGCTCAGATGATGGTTAGCATTTTTTAGCAATAAAGTATTTTTTAATTAAGGTATGTACACCAATTTTTTAGCCATAATGCTGTTGCACTTTTTAGACTATAGTCTAGTGTAAACATAACTTTTGTATGCACTGGGGAAACCAGCAAATTCATATGACTCACTTTATTGCGATAGTTACTATATTGCAGTGGTCTGGAACCTAACCCACAATATCTCTAAGGTATGCCTGTATTAAAGCCTACCCTTTTACTCTTAGACTGTTTGATTCCAAAGCATGTGCCTTTTTGCTACATATCATTGTCTCTACTTACTTGGTTCTTTCCTTTCCTCTCAGTTTTTAGTTTCAACACAGAGGGTTTTCTTACCATAAAATTTCCAGCTCTATCATTGTTGATTCCCACCCACTTTTCCCTTCTGTCACCAGCTGTGTCCTGAACCTACACTTCCATAACTGGAAACTGGTTGTCTGTCTTGCTGTGGGTCCCAGTTCCTAAGAATAACTAGAAATATGCTAAACCCAGTACTAGTTCTTACTTGATCTAAAGTTGCCTTTGGCACAGATGTCTTCCTTGAACAGAACAGGTTTTTCTAAACTTCATTCAAAGATATCCTCCATATCTTATTTTCCTCCCTACTTTTCTGGCTACTCATTCTCATTTTCCTTTATCATTTCTTGTCCCCCAGATCTCTAATAAAAGTTGGAATGTTCCATGGCTTGGTCTTTTATATCCAGCTGAGACTTCTTCCTTGAAATAAGATTCTTATATTGAACCACAGTAACATACAATGAAGGTGCCAAAGATTTTTTTTAGAATTCCACCCCCCCCTTTGCCTACAATTGTTAAGCAGAGGAGTTGGTCTATTAAAAAAAAAAACATTATACTAAGTCTCTTTTAAATATGTCTGCGTTAGTGTCCCTGCTCTTGAATTTAGTGGAGAGGGGACACTTTTACAAGTAGCTTTCGTCCAGTGATAGATGTTGATGAGTTATGTAGAGTACTAAAAGAACTTTCCTTAGGATATTGAATTTTACTGTCAATTCATATGTTACATAATAAGGTTTAATTTGGTGACTAAAGATAGTTTCTCTGTTTTAAACTATTTGCAGAAACTACTACATACTGATGCTTCCTTTTTTCTCCCTTTTTAAAAATTTAGTGTATAAAATTGATTGTATTGTAGATTCTTATCATTTGAGGAGCCAGATTGCTTGATTTGAGGGTTTATTATGGCTGGGTAAATGCAAAACATGGAATAAAACATACTGGCAATGAAATTGGGCTAAACTATTCTGTTAGCAAATATTCCAATAACAGAATTTGATTTTACATTAAAAGATAACTTTAGGGCCTCCTTGGTGGTGCAAGGGATTAAGTCCCAGCACAATGAAGTTATCTGCAGTCACTGCAGCATGAGTTCAATCTCTGGCCAGGGAGCTAACCCACATAGCGCAGTAGACCTTTTCTGTCTCGCCCACTGCTCCCCTTAGCAGTGTATTTCAGCAGTGTATTTTGCCTGTTCTGCTCCTGCCTTTTTCAGGTAATTCCTCTCGCTCCCCATACCTTTAGCCTATACTCCAGTTCCTGAATGCATAAATAAATTTTTTAAAAGTCTTAAGAAAAAAAAGATAACTTGAGGTGATATTTCATATAAAGTTGTTGAAATCAGTCAAATGTAGATCATGATATCTGACTGAGATCATTATTATGTATTTTCCCTCTCAGTCTTTTTTATTTCATATAATATTTCAGTGTCTTTCAAAATTTATAAGAAACAGTTCAAGGTGATAAAAAAAACTGAACACTTGAAATAATTTTATTATGCAGTAACTACTTGTATATGTGAATACATAGCCAAATTACATATATATATGTATATATATATATATATATATACATAGTACATAAATAGAAAATTTAAAAAGCATTTTGTAAAGGAACTTCCATTGTTACTCTACAATCTTACAGATGTCCTGTGCCGCTTGGTATCATCTGTATTGTAGTCTAATTCATGTTTAATATTTATAGGGTATCATACTTGTGGTAGAAATGTTTCCCTAATCCATACCTTTATTTTCTCAAAACTGCATATTCTCACCTGGATATATATGTTCATATAAAACCTAGTTATTAGGTAAGATGATTTTACAGTTTTTGTTTATTCAAGTCATTCTGTGTAATGGTACTGCCAAAAAAGACTCAGTATTTCAACTTAATAAGAACATAGATAATTTCTGGACAAGTTTTTATATGTTTTTTTATCCTATTGTAATATAAGACAAAGACGGCTAATAACAAATGTGTAGCTTAATGAGTAAAAGTAAGGTGAATGCATTTGAGATCATCACTCTGGTTAATAGCTCCCTGGAAGCTCTTGCCTGTGCCCTATCCTAATCACAATGTCCTCCTCTAATCTTGGGGGCCTGACTTTAATAATAATCATGTTTTTTCTTTACAGTTTTATGACCCAACTGTTTTAACTAGGCACTTAATTAATCTTGATTTTTTTCAAAATCACTTGTCTATAGAGTATCTTTTAACTTGTACGCTTCTCCATGCCTTTCTTTTCTTTATAATTTGTCTATTAAAGGCTCAGTGCTTTAGATTTCTAGAGCTTCCCTCAATCTGGATTTTCTTTATTGTACCCTCATGGTGCTTATTTCTCTGTTTTGTATTTTCTGCAAATTGGTGCCTGAAAGCTTAAGCATATTCATGTTTGATCCCTTTGGCAATAACCATATGTGTTGTGCTCTTTCATTTAAAGGTACATAATATTTAGTTGGTTTTCTTTCTATGATGTTAGCAGATACTAACATTCAGTATCTCAATATTAATCCATTGGGAATCATGATGATATTCTAATAACTTCCTTTTCACTTATTACTTGACCTTTATAAAAATCCCTTCTGATTAAATACATTTTGTTACTTAATGATATATGAACCACAGTTAAGATAAATGTATTAACGTATGTAAATGGGAAATTCCTAGATAGACTTAATTTTTTTCTTTCTTTAGATATATTTAATTATTAATAGAACCTTTTGACTCTGAATGGGAGTTTGATAAATCTGGGAAAATTAAGTAATACATTTATTTGATGAACACTTATTGGCTCTTTAATCAATGCCACATATGATGCTGACTGTTGGGATATGGTTGTAAATGGGTCAGAAGGTCTAGCCAGAAGGATTATGATTATAGCTATAAAGGACATATATTAGGAGACTGATTTAGACTGATGGGTCAGGGATGTCATTCCTAAGAAATGTCAAACAACTTGAACTGGTAGGAAATTAGGAAGAGAGACGGAAAGATTTTAGTTGAAGAGGAGATTTTATATATCTATATACATACAGATATACATATACACACTTATATTGTGTGTATGGGTTTACATATATGTAAGAGTGTATCTGTATGTGCATAGATATATAAATGTGTATCTATTTACATAGATATAAAAAATGGCCTAGGGTAGGGGAAGAGCTTAGATTATCAAAAGATCTAGAGGAGGGGATAGGCTAGTAGCTGTAACAATGTAAGTTAGAGGAAGAAGATTACCTTAAAAGGCAAATAGGAGCCTCAAACCTGTGGTAAGGTCTTGTAAGTGGTACATTCTAGAGGACACTGGAACTAGAGATTTATTGTAGATGCTGTATAGAAGATAATGTGAGGTTCTGGGCCTATCTAATATACATCCCTTTAGTATGTGTGTGCTTTCATAGGATGTTTGTTTTGATGGGTTGGAAAATAATAATTCTCATTTGTTTCATGCCTTTACAGAACTGTTCTGGGGTCTATCTATATAATTGATGTTTAGATAGAGAAAATTAGAGGATTGAAAAGAATCCTAAAAACTAATTTTCTGGCTCTGTTCAAAGGTATCTGGAGAAGCCAATGAAATTCAGATTGCAGAAGCATTGAAGCGGTATAGTGAACGCGCATTCTTTGTCCGGGAGGCTCTTTTTCACCTTTTTAGCCTGACTCATGTGATGGAAAAAACAAAGCCAGAAATTTTAAAGGTAAGGCTAAGAAACTGGATATGAAAATTTTAAATTTTATCTCCCTAGATGGATGTTTGTGTTATGAAGAAAGCTGATGAAAATTTTTTATTAGTCTTTGATTTTTATTTGTAATGCTACTGATTAGAATTTCAGTTATTAGCAACAGTAAGATAGTTGCATCTTGTCATTGAAGTTTCATAAGTAGTCTCATTAAACAATATAAAAAGTCTTCTAGTGCATATTTAAAAGCCAAAAATCTATGATTCATGTGATATTTTCTCACCAGCTATAGTAGAAAATGGAAATATATAACTGCAATCAAGACCCAGCATTTTATATTAGCCTTGTGTCCTCCATATATACTTTTTTTTTAAAAAAAAAGATTTATTTATTTATGCTTACAGATCTGGGGTAAAGGACAGAGGGGTAGTGGGTGAGAGCATTTGCCACAGACAGAGTGGGGAGCAGAACAGTCAGATTTACTGAAATACACTGCTGAGGGGAGCAGTGGGTGTGTCAGGAGAGGTTTGCCACACCATGTGGGTCAGCTCCTTGGCGGGAGATTGAACTTAACATTACAGTGACTTCCAAGACCTTCATAATGCAGTGCTTTAACCAGGGAGAGCCCTCCATATATACTTTTGAAGAAAAAGTATTGAAATTCCATAAAGCATTTTTTCATGCCATTTATGAGCTTCATGTGCTCTCATAACTAATCACATTAAATTCTCCAGTTAACATATTTTTTTTTTAAAGATTTATTTATTTGTGCATACAGAACTGGGGTACAGGCCAGAGGCTCAGGGGCGGCGAGAGGCTTCACCAGAGACAGAGTGGGGAGCAGACTGGCAGATCGACGAAGTACACTGCTGAGGGGAGCAGCGGGCGGGTCAGGAGAGGTCTGCCACGCCATGTGGTCGCCTCGGGGGCAGGCGGGAATCAAACTCATACAAAAGCGGCTTTAGATTCTCTGTGCAGTGCTTTAACCCGCTGCGCCACCAGGGAGGGCCCAGTTAACATATTTTAACCAAGGTAGCTTTTGAAGGGCAAAAGAAGATTCTTGATTTTGTTAATTGCTTGGGACAATATTTGTAAAAATATGGTACTTTGCCACCAGAAATACAGAAATTTGCATAGTTGTATGAGGGAGGGCTCAAAAGCATATTTGTTAACTCTACCCCTAAGAAGTTTAGATTTGGTAGGGTTGAATGAGGTACAGATCTGCATCTTTAATAATCACCCCCATCTGGCCTCCTTGCTTGCACAAGGGTTTAAGTTTCAGCACTGAAACTATCCATAGCCACCACTGCAACATGAGTTTGATCCCCTGCCAGGGAGCTGACCCACATAGTGTAGCAGACCTCTCCTGTCTCGCCACTGCTCCCCTCAGCAGTGTATTTCAGTAGATCTGCCTGATCTGCTCCCAACTCTGTCTCTGGTAAATCCTCTCACCCCCTGAGCCCCTGGCCTGCACCCCAGCTCTTCTTGGGATGAATAAATAAAATAAATCTTTAAAAAAAAAATAATCACCCCATCTAATTTTTAATTTTGACAACTACTGAATGTAACACCATATTATATTTGGTAGTGCATACAACAATCCCAAGAGATAGATTTTATCCTCTTTTAAGATTGTGTAACTGAGGGTCTGTGTGTTGAGTTGAGTCAGTGGTAGAGTCAGAAATACCTTAAAAAGAAAGATTTATTTTTATTTACTTATGCATAGAAGAAGTGGGGTGTAGGCCAGAGGTGCAGGGGGTAAGAAGATTCACAAGAGACAGAGTGGGGAACGAACATGAAGATATACTGAAATACACCGCTGAGGGGAGCAGCAGGCAAGACAGGAGAGATCTGCTGTACCATGTGTAGGTCACCTCCCTGGAGGGGGATTGAAATCTGGCCTCAGCAATGATCGAGGGATAGCGCTAAGACTCAACCCTATGGCCAGCGGGACCAGGTCAGAAGTATCTTAATTTCCCAAGATCTTAAATTTGAAGAATGGAATCCTTGGATAGGACCCAGTAATAGTTCAGTCTCCAGGATTCTATCCCCAGTGTATTATACCCCCTCCATACAGTGTCCAGAGAACACTGTAACTTGGTATATACATTATCTTTTATTTTTGGTTTTGGCTACTATGAACCTGAGCAATAAAGAACTAGTCCTCTAGTCATAATGTGAAATATTTATTCATTTACCCCTTCATTCAGTTAATGATACAGAGAGAAATGAAAGAATATAGGGCATTTTAAGAAGGATTTTTTACTAGAAAGGGGAACCAAGGAAAAGGTGGAAGTTGGCTGAGGAGATGAGATGAAAAGAAGGCTTTTTGTGTGTATTTTTTCCTTTTAGAATGGGAGGGAAAAACAGCCTTGTATGCTGATTGACTGGTCCAATATAAAATAAAATGATGAGAGGGGAGGACAGCTGAAGCAATGCCCTTGAATAGACAAAAAAGGAAAGGGTCTTGGGAGTGCTTTTGAGAGGCACCCAAAAGGGTAATTTCTGGTGGTTTGGCAGGAAGGCACCATGTGTACATCTGTTGGTAGGGGGTGCATGCAGAGGTTAGGACCTGGAGTTCTCTATTGCTGCAATTTTCTCAGTGTACTTAAAAACAAGATCTTCAGCTGATGGAAAGATTGGCAGGCAGGGGGGTTGTTGAAGATTTGAAGAGAAAGAAAAAGTGAGAAATAGTTCTGTAGGCCAGAGGGAAGTGACTAGATTTTATTGTACTATATTCACTGTAGTAGCCTCAAGAAACTGGATGCTGGTATTGAAATTAAGTTTGCTACTGGTTTACTGTCTTCAAGTCAGTAAGAGTTTATTTAGTGCTTTCCACATAGCAGACACTGTACTAGTACTAGGTCTTGGAAACACAGTGCTGAGTTATCTGAATAGGAAAAAATTCTAATGAATGTAACTCTGGATTTGAAGAAGTTGATACCTGCCTAGACCATGGGCAGGAGCAAAGTATTTGTGAGTAACTGCTGAGTCCTAGGCTCTTTGCACATGGCTATGATGAAAATGCTTAAGACATGTTTGACATTATTATAGGTGTAAAAATAATATTGCTATGTAAAAAAGTCTTGTATTTATTTAATGGATTAAACTTTTTTTTTTTTCTCCAGCTTGTGGTTACTGGGATGAGAAACCATCCTATGAATTTGCCTGTACAACTGGCTGCAAGCGCTTGTGTGTTTAACTTAACCAAGCAAGATCTAGCAGCAGGAATGCCTGTCCGACTCTTGGCTGATGTGACCCATTTATTGCTCAAGGCCATGGAACACTTTCCCAATCACCAGCAGGTAAGCATACAAGAACTCCCCTTCAAATAGTCATTTTAATGTCTGCTACCTATCTCCTCCCCCTTAACAGTTAAGAAGACAAAGGCTGGACATTCAAATGCCTTTGTGAGTTGTAAAGTAACAAATTTATGGCATAAGTGAGTGTAGGACGATACAGAAGTAAAAAACTGAAGAGTACATTCTTTGCCTAGAAGTATTTAAATCCAAATGGTGGAGAAAATTGTTCAAGTCACAGAAAACTCATCTTTCACCAAAATCCTAATTTTGTGATGACTTTGGCAGAAGGCATAGAGCATCTATTATAAACCAGGTACTATAAAGTAGCAGAGTACAGAAATGAATAAATCATGAATTTTCTATTTCTAATAGTATGGTAATATACCAATATAACAATCCTCAGGATGAAAATTAAAATGCTGCTATGAATTACTATTTTAACTCTAAAATTTTTGCAATAAGGTTAAAGTGGGGCACTATGAAGCTGTCTATAGCCACTGCAGCACAAGTTCAATCTCTGGCCAGGGAGCTGACCTGCATGGCATGGGAGACCTCTCTTGTCCTGCTCACTGCTCCCCCCAGTATATTTCAGTAGATCCGCATTTCTGCTCCCCACTCTGTCTCTGGTGAATCCTATCACTCCCTGCACTGCTGGCCTACACCCTAGCTCTTGTATACATAATAAATCAATGTTTAAAATAAAAAAGAAGTTAAAAAAATAAATAAAAATAAAAAAAAAGAAGTTATCTGTGGCTTGAGTCTAGGTCAGCAAAATCCACACTGGGCCTAGATTTGGTGAAGTCCACCCTAGAAATTTCTTGCTGTAACTCCCAGAATCAAAACTGGACAGAATGTGAAGACTGTGGTGAAGATCTTCACCTTTTCTGTATTTGACTGTGTTTTTCAGACGTGGTAAGATATAGATGCAGTTAAACTTACCTGCTGTTACAAGGTTAATCATTAATTCAACCAAGTGTACCTTTTTACTGAGTTCAAACTGTATATACCTGTGCTAAGTTCTGTGTATCCAGACACAATAATGCAGAGCACATAGTGCAGTATAGAGTGGCAAGTACAGGTAGAAATAAGTGTGATTGGGAGCACAGAAAAGGCACTCAGGACAATATGAGGTTTAAGAAATCATCCTTAAAAGGTAGTAACTACCCTGTGCTAGACTGTTGAGGAAAATAGGGCGTTTTCCATGTAAATAAGGAAGAATAGTGTTCCCATGTAGAGGGAATAAAAATAGCAAGATTGCCTCCTCTCATTTCCATGTATCCTATTCAAATCACTTAGGGAAAAGAGTGAAGTCAGGTGGTACAGAGGGAAGAGCACTTTCTTTCACTCAACTTACAGGTGGTTATCCATATTTTAGGGTATGTAAATCATCCCATTATTTGACCATTTCTAGTTTATATAAATCGTCCTAAGAAGCCTTCTTAGTTAATTATATTGTTTGATTTATTCAGTACATACTGAAATTTAGTATTGCTTTGTATTTTCTATTATACAGTCTCTATACATCTCCCATGAAACAAATAGGATGTTAATTTTATATCTGTTTTTTTTTTTATTTCTGTAACAGCTTTATATATTAATCTGATTTTGCTTGCTGTGAGTGAACTTTTATATTGTCTTTTTTAGACAAGAGATCTTCCAACTACACACAGGAAGCCTTTTAAAAATGTTAGAAAGCTATCTTTCCAATTACAAATTTCTAATTCTAAGAAATTAGAAATATGCATTATGACTTTTTTTTTGACCCATATCGTAAATGTCATTTTGCTTGATGGGAAGAACCTGAAGTACCTTCCGTTATGTTGGCATACCTTCACTCTGTTGGTGAATGACTTATATTCTCATTTACTTTTGTTTAATTACAGTGCTTTATTTAAAAAATAGAGCCAGGGTCCTCCCTGGTGGCTCACTGGGTTAAAGCACAGCACTAAGAAGCTAAAGCCACTTCAGCAAGATTTCGACCTGCCCCGGAGGTGACCCACATGGTGCGGCAGACCTCTCCTGACCCGCCTGCTGCTCCCCTCAGCAGTGTACTTCGTTGATCTGCCTGTTCTGCTCCCCACTTTGTCTCTGGTGAATCCTCTCACTGCACCTGCACCTCTGGCCTGTACCCCAGTTCTGTATGCATAAATAAATAAATCTCAAAAAAAAAAATAGAGCCAAATCTTCATCAGTCCTTCTTTATTTAGTGCCCAGTGTTTAAAATGCTAGCCCCATGTGCTCTAGGTTAGTCAAACTATCTTCAAAGCAGAATGACTTAAATTCCTTGATGTTGTGTCACCAGGCAAAACTGCTAGCCATTATCTTTGTCATCATCTTCAAAAACAAATGACAAGTAACCAGAATAGAGGGAGATTAGCTAGAATTAACCTACCTATTACTTTATTTCTCACTTAATGAAAAAGACAAAGCGTGAGTGTGTGTACATTGACTTACATGGGTCCAATGGAAGTCAGTCTTTCAACAGTAGGAGGTCATAATAAAGGATGTAAAAAATAATTGGTTTATATTAATCTGTCTTCCTTTTTTTAACTTCTGGTTAAAAAATAACAAAGTAATAATTTAATAAGGACTTTTCCCTTCCTTTGATTCTTTAGTTACAGAAGAATTGCCTCCTTTCACTTTGCAGTGACCGGATCCTCCAAGATGTTCCATTTAACAGGCAAGTGATAGCCCTAGAACATAAAAGAGGGCAAAATGGAATTTTAGGAGTTTGTCTAATGAGCCCCAAAAGGGTCATTTCTTACTAGCAAGGATATACCTGATGTAGGATTAATAAAATAGTGAATTTGAGCTTTACCTTATAGAATCCTAAATGTACTGTCTGTAATTTAGTACCTTGACATTCATGATAGATTGGTTTTCATAGTCCTTTGCTTAAGAAATATATTGGTTATAGTTTTTAGAATATCCAAGAAACTGAGACTTACAGAGAATTGGTGCCTTGCCCATGGTCCCATGGCTAGTAAGTACAGTCTGGAAAGATTCAGGTCTTTTAATTCTAAGATCAGTGTTCTTTTCATTTCTCTTATTATTACTGTTTTTAAATATGTGATTATGAAGAAACTTTTAAAGTATAGGTTAAGAAATCATACAGCTAGATTCCAGTAAGGGAATCCTTTATTTTCTAAAGTGTTATGGTATAGGAGCCAAAAAGTGTGAATAATATGTTTCCTTGTTTAAAATATAAATTGAAAATAATTTTACTTTGAAAAGAAGTTAATGCTATATGATTTAATGAAAAATATTTGGGGTGCATTCATTTACTGTGATTTACTCCGGTAACAGTACACTATTATCTGACATGACTGTGGAGTAAAGTGTTCGACTTATTGAAATAGTTTGGATTGAAACAGAACTACTTATATCTATGTAGGTCACTAGTTTCACTTTATAAGTATTGAACATCTGTATTTATTGCTGCAGTGAAGTCATAGATGTGTGAGACATACTGCTTACTTTCCTAAAGAAACTTGTAAACTAGCCCAGACCCAGATAATAAATATTTAAAGTTTGTGAGGCATAGGATCTCAGTTGCAACTACTTAACTTTCGTACCCCAAAAGCAGCCATAGGCAACATGTAGTTAAATGGCGGTGACTGTGTTTCAGTAAAACTTTACAGACAGGTATTTGTCCCACAGCTATAAGAATATTCTAGGTAGGCTGTAGCTTACCCACCTTGGATCTAACCAGTGCATTTGCTAGAATCTTTTTTCTTTGCAGTCAGAGGCTGTGATTGATTCATCCCTTTGTAATTATTCAGTGGGTATTTGTTGGATCGATAGATAAATTAATGAGTATAAGAGAAAACACAATTTTTCACAGAGGAAGTGTTGACCAAATACATTGGGCCTCCAAGTAAGTAAGGAAAAATTTTATCTGATTGATGGGCATTAAAAACTTCATCTTGTGAAATTGTGATTAGGAAAAAGAGGCACAGAAAGGTTTGTAACTTGCTCAAGATAGTAAGATATTAAGAAGCAGATCAAGATTTAAATTTAGACTGACTCTAGAACCTCTGCTTTTAATAGGCATGCTATATTGATTTGAAGATGAGAGCTGATTGAGTTGATTGTCTTATGTGTTGTGGGAGCTACAAAAATAAAGATACAGAGGACTCAATACTAGTAAAAATCAGCCTTTATCAGATGTTGTGACAGGAACTTTGTTGCCATTTTGTGACAGGATTAGGATGAGGGACCTACATAGCAGTTGTGGAGCAGGTTTGCAAGACAAGACTTCTACTTGAGCAGAATCTGTTCTTGTGCCATTGGAAGCATACAGGCTAGTAAAAGCTGGTCATGTGAAAATGGTATGAGGAGTAAAGTCTGGAGGGTGGGATAGGAATGGGGGACAAAGTTTTGCGGGGCACAGGGAAGGGGACATGTGACCATACATCAAGAACCATTTGCTTCAGCAGAGTATTTGATGTTATCACAGGCAGAGTTATCCTGAGACCATGGAGACAGTCACATAATAAAGTCAACAGCAGCCGGGCCTACCTTGTGATACAGCTTATATTCTATAGGTAGAGGTAGTCAAGGGATTCTCTGCTATGATTTGCATATAGCAAATAGGTCTCAGTTGCCCGTGAGTGGCCATCTAGTAGCCAGTTCATAGGAATCAACAATCAGAAGCTTGGTATGTGTCAATTCTGTACTAAGGCTTAAACTTTATATGTGATATCACTTGATTCTCATAACAAATCTGAGGTATAGGATATCATGTCATAGAGTGGAATATTGTTTTCTAGATGAGAAAATTGAAGTTCAGAGAGGTTAAGGAACTTGCCTAGAGTCCTAAAGTTAGTAAGTGGTAGTTGACTTCAAAGTGTATGATGTCTTAGTGACTTGACTGTACTGCCTCCCAGGAGAAAATATTTTGTTATTTTTACATTATATTGAACCAGAATTTAAATCCCAAAAAATCAAAGAAATTCAGACATTGTTTTCTTAACTTCTCACTCTTATTACTGTAATTGTGGGAGTATTTGAGGACTGAGCAGTCCACCTTGCAGTAAAAGCAGGGAAAAATGACATTTGAAAGTATGGGCTTATATGATAGTCTAAAAATACAGGACTGACATCATGCCTATGTCCTTTGATAGACTTATTACTGCTGTGTAGACACAAAGTAAAAGATAGTGGCCCACTAGGAATATACTGCCATACCAGTAACAAGACTGTATCAAAGAGGGCCTTGGGAATAGAAAGGAGGTAACAGTGGGTTCGAAGGAAGTTAATAGAAGAGTGATTTGCATCAGAGTCATTCAGCCAACATGTATTAAGAACTACTTCTATGTCAGTCACTGTGTTGGATTGTTGGTATGAAGGACTAAATAGCAGCTGGTTCTTCTCTCAGAGAACTGACAGGTCAATGGGAAATTCAGGTGAGTCTGCAGATAATCACAGTTGTCTGACAGAGTTACAAGGTGTTAAGGCCCATTGATAAAGCAATAATAAACTTGCCAAGGAAAGCTTCTGAATGGAAGTGATATGTAAGACTTAAAAGATTAAGTTTTGGGTAAGGTAGTCAGATGTTTTTCTAGGTGTTATCCAGTGATTTCTCTCCTTATCTTACACACACATTCAGTACTGTGGTAAACCAGCTGAACTACTTCTATGTCAGTCACTGTGTTGGATTGTTGGTATGAAGGACTAAATAGCAGCTGGTTCTTCTCTCAGAGAACTGACAGGTCAATGGGAAATTCAGGTGAGTCTGCAGATAATCACAGTTGTCTGACAGAGTTACAAGGTGCTAAGGCCCATTGATAAAGCAATAATAAACTTGCCAAGGAAAGCTTCTGAATGGAAGTGATATGTAAGTCTTAAAAGATTAAGTTTTGGGTAAGGTAGTCAGATGTTTTTCTGGGTGTTATCCAGTGATTTCTCTCCTTATCTTACACACATATTCAGTACTGTGGTAAACCAGCTGTATCTTCAAAACATGACCAGAATTTGATTATTTTTGTTTACTTATGTTTTTACCACTTAACTAAACTAAAAGGGATTTCTCTCCTGAATTTTTGTGTTAGCCTTTAAACTGCTCTTCCTATTGAAGTTGTTTCTAAACACAGATAATAACAATAGTTCTATTGAAAACCTACACCAGTTCATGTCACAGCCATGCTCAGAATCTTTCCATGACCTTTCATCACATTCAGAGTAAAAACTAATTCTGTATTAAGACTCACATGATATACCTCCCCTTAACTTCTGACCTCATCTTTTACTATTCTTTTCCTTGTTATTTCTGCTTTGGCCTCCCTGGCCTCTATGCTGTTTCAAAATCTTCCCACACCTACTTCAAAGTCATTGTGTTGACCATTTTACTTAGATATTCACATGGATAGTTTTTTTACTTCCTCAAAAGTTTCGCTGAGGACTTCCCTATCTGTCTTGCATAAAATTTCAACATTTTATCTTTCTCTTTGCCTGCTTTTAATTTTTCCTCTGTAGTATATATCAGTACTAAATCACATCATCTACATGTTTTACTTATACTCTTTTATTACATTTCCCCACTGGCATGTAAACTCTGTGAGAGCAGAGATTTATTTTTCTATTTCATTCACTGTTCTATCTCCAGCAGTAAGAGTAGTATCTGACACAAAGCAGGACCTCCATAATTGTGTATGAATGAATGAATGAAAGAATGAACCCATTGTTCTGTGACGAACCTAGAAAATAATTAAAATTACAGTGCAGAAATCTCCACAGAAATGTTATAATACTTGAAGGTGGCCATATTTCCAGAATTTTAATTCCCTTAGAAAGTTTGTCAGTATTGATAATGAGGCATTGTTTCCAAAATAATAACTGTAGTTGTTGTTCTGTGTCAGGTAAGAGGAATTTTCCCTTTCCTTCTCACCTGCCCAATTTATAACATCAGCTCTCAGTGAGGGCTCTGAAACTGCATAGGCTACCAGGATTAACTCATGAAACCCTTTGTGTGTTTTCAGGTTTGAAGCAGCCAAGCTTGTCATGCAGTGGCTCTGTAACCATGAAGATCAAAACATGCAAAGAATGGCAGTTGCTATTATTTCCATCCTGGCTGCCAAGGTACTTGAATTCTTGTTGAATGATTTTCTGTAGCTGGCTGTTTCCTATTATAGTTTCTATTTTTCCCAAAATCTGTATGTCAGAAAGGCTAGCAAACCTCTCTTCTAATCTGTTTATTCAAGATGCATTCAGTCTTGCAGAATTCCAGGCTTTTGAAGTCAGTGAATGATACTTTTAAATTACTAGTGAGTTCTTGGACATTTACCATGTGTTCTGCTTGCTTGCAGCTTTCTACAGAACAAACTGCACAGCTTGGAGCTGAGCTCTTCATTGTCAGAGTAAGTTTATGATCTCCTCTGCAGCCATTTATTTGTTGAATATGTATAGAATACTGATTAGGTAACTACCACCTCACTAGGTGTTAGAGATTCATACTGAATTGGATCTTAATTCTTACCCATAAGAAATTCAAAGAACAGTTGAGAAAATGACTGTGTAGACATGGTTATAATACAATCTAAGACATATAATAATAGAGACATGTATGAAGTTATGCAGAGAGAGGAGAAGGCTATGATAGTGTAATGGAAAGAGTACGAATTTTGGGGTTGAAGATGCTATCACTAATTACTTTATAGTTACTAAGATGGTTCAGTGAAAAGGGAGATAAAAGATTAAGTAGCTAGTATAAAGTATATGTTAAATTAGAAGAAAATTACGCAAATTTTGTTTATTTTTACTATTTTCAGGGATGACATTTAGCTTTACTTGTGACTTTTTATTATTGTATATGTGTCTCAGTAATTTTGTCTAGGAATATTTTCAGAGATTTTTTTAGGAAGCAGTCTACTCATAGACATTGGGGGGAAATTAAGCATCATTTAAGGAGCTAGTAGCAGTGATGATGGTGGACAGCTTTTTTTTCCTTTTAGGCTCTAAATTATCACAAGCAATGTACAGATGAGGAAGCAGAATTAAACTGGTAAACAAGGTTATCCAGTTAGGTAACCCGATTCTAGTGCCACAGCCTTAGTCACTTTGTGGTTAAATTACATAATTGCCTATGCCATCAGAGGCCCCATAAAACAAGAACTTATTTTTTATTTATGCATACAGAACTGGGGTTCAAACTAGAGGTGCAGGGACTACGGGAGGATTCACCAGAGACAGAATGGGGAGCAGAACAGGCAGATTGACGAAGTACACTGCTGAGGGGAGCATCAAGCTGGACAGGAGATACCTGCCTCACCATGTGGGTCACCTCCCTGGCTAGGGTTTGAACTTGTGCTGAAGGGGCTGCAGCTAGCTTCGAGCTTCGTAGTGGTGTGCTTTAACCTGTTGTGCCACCAGGGAGGGCCAAGCAAGAACTTCTCAAAAAACATTTTTGATTTAAATACTTTTGCCTTCATGTTTTTTGTTTTCACTATGGTGGCCTTTTTTTTTTTTTTTAAGATTTATTTATTTATACATACAGAGCTGGGGTACAGGCCAGAGGTGCTGGGTCAGTGAGAGGATTCACTAGAGACAGAATGGGGAGCAGAATAGGCTGACTGACCAAGTACACTGCCTAGGGGAGCATTGGGTGGGTCAGGAGAGGTCTGCTGCACCTTGTGGGTCACCTCCGGGTCAGAGATCGAACTCATGCGGAAGTGGCTTTAGCTTCTTAGTGCTGTGCTTTAACCTGCTGCGCCACCAGGGAGGGCCCTGTGGTGACCATTTTTAAAAACTAAAACATTTTTTATATTAAGAAGAAAGTTATATAATTGCACCTGTATTCCTTTTCCCCCCTGAATTATTTGTAACTTTAATAGTTTTATTTATTTAGTAGAGCTCCCTTTTACTCTTAAAAGTGTAATCAAAAATAGAATTTTGGATGCCATCAATAGGTCTTAAAACATCCTTTTAAAGTGAACTGTCTGAGTTGAAAGTATTATAGAAATAATTTGCAAATGAGATTTCAAAGCAGTTAACTTATTTAAATCTAATATAGATTTTAAGTTTCTTGTATTATTTTGTCTTTTTTTTTTAAGGAAACTTATGAGTTGATTTATTACTTGCTTTTACTAAGTTGACCATGTTTAAATTACTTAATGTTTCCTAGATCCTATTTCCTCTCCTAAAAAGTAAGGGTAATGATACTGCAATATAGGATATAATTTGTTGATATTTTATAAATGTTAGCTTCATTTCTCCTTCTTCCTCTATATCATTTTTATTACCAGGTTCTGTAAATAAGTATAGGTTATTACCAGTTGGGTGGGATAGTTGGCCTTAAGCTTTAATTATTTTCCTTTTCATTTGACTTATAGGCGGTTAGATTATAGATATGATCAGAATAAATAGAAGTATTTATAATGATCCTATACTTTCTGAAGGGAAAATCTGATCTAAAAGGCTGTTATAAGACTCTTTATAGAGAATGTTTTAAGTCATGAGATCAGTCATCACAGATGTGTCATTATTACCACTAATTATAATAATAATTCAATTAGAAATTAATTTTATTTTCTTTCTTTCAGCAACTTCTTCAAATAGTGAAGCAGAAAACCAATCAAAATTCAGTGGATACTACTTTGAAATTTACTTTGAGTGCACTCTGGAATCTTACAGATGAATCTCCAACCACGTGCAGACACTTTATTGAAAACCAAGGGTTAGAACTCTTCATGAGGGTTCTAGAGGTTAGAATGGAAATTTATTTACAGTTTATTTATTGATTATTTAAACATTCATTTATTATGTTTGGTTCTTTTGATAGTGACAGGTTCCTCTTTCTTTTTACAGTCTTTCCCAACTGAGTCATCCATTCAACAAAAAGTCCTGGGACTTTTGGTAAGATATAAACATTTCCTGCTAAATTGCAAGCTATAATTTTAAAAAAAGTAATCTTAAATTCTGGGCTAAAAATGACAAGTACAATGAACATGAATTCGAAAAATTAAGGTTCTAAATAATACGCTAGGGAATGTCATAGCAGGGTGAATGGAAAATGACCATACAGTATGGTCATTAACATATTAGTAAATCTTACTTGGAATGATAAGACAAAAATAGTAAAATCATACTTTTCCTATCAAAAGTTACACATTATCTCCTATAGGAGTAGTTATTATACATGAAAAAACAAAGATGTGATAACTCTGTTGCACACCCAGGAACATTAGGGAGTGTGGTCTTAGAGTGATAGAGTCATCTTCCTCTCCATAGTTTTTAGCATTTTGTTTCTTCTTTTTTCCTCAAAAGACCTTGTCCTATTGCATCTTCCCTTTATTCAGCATCAGCATCATCATCATCATTTTCATCTTCATCCTGAATTTCCTTCATTAAGTTTGAGAGGCCCACATCCTTTTATTGCTTTCCCAACTCCAGGCCTGCTTCATCTCCATCCTCATCTTCATCCTTTTTTCCCTCATATCCTTCAAGTGGGCCAGCTTCACCTTCCTCTTCATCATCATCTTCATCATTCTCTTCCCAGTCGGGTGCTTTGATATCCTGGTCAAATCTTAGTATGTAAATTGCTGCAACGGTTCAAAAATACTTTCTCTAAGATTTTCCAGATTTTGTAATCTCACAGTTAAGTAAGTGAAGACTTCAAATTTTTCTTTCCACTGAGATTTCTGATTTTATTTCCACTCATATTTGGGTAGGTGATATTTGACTGATTCTCAGCCAGGATTTCCAAGTGTCCAGAGATCATATTATCACTAAGTTTCAGCTGTTAAAGTTGATATAAGTTGGATGGTCATGTCAGTGAACTTAGATCTACATTAGCCATATTCAGGAAATCCAGATTTATGAGAACATCACGCAAGCCTTAATGAGAACAGATCATTATCAAAGGTTAATTCTGTCACCTCCTCTGAGACTCTTCCTTAATTCCATGTTAATCTTCTTCATCTCCTTGTCCTCTTTCTGCTTTCTTCCTTTACCCTGTCCTGCCTTTGATTCTATACCCCCAACCCTGACATTTTAAGAGATTTCTAAATGAATGAAAATAAATGCTTACCACTATCATCAGAAAGGTGTAGGGGAGGGAAGAAGAGAACAAATAGATCCCAAGTAACTGAGACTCTAACTCAACTACCCTTCCCTCCTTTCTCACACACTCAGTCGCATTCACATGTGCATGCACTGCCCCCACCCCGAAGTCCCTCCTCTTTCAATGACTTTTCTAAACCTAAGGTGTGATTTTTTTAAAAAAAGATTTATCTATTTATGCATTCAAGAATTGGGATATAGGGCAGAGGTATGTGTGGGGAGAGGATTCAGTGGAGACAGAGTGGGGAACAGAATAGGTAGATTGAAATACACTGCTAAGGGCAGCAGTGGGTGGGTCAGGAGAGGTCTGCCATGCAATGGGGGTCAGCTACCCTGCTGGTGATAGCATGATAGTGCCATAGTGCTATGTCTTTAACCCCTATGCCACCAGGGAGGCCCAGGTGTAATTTTTATTTGCCTAAAGTAATGCTTTGAACGTTGCTACTATACTTGTAAATACTAATGAAATAAGAAAATGGGCATAATGTAATAAATGAAAAGCAGGCCACACAGATGTCCCTGCTGGCACAGGAGTTAAAGCACAGCACTGTGAAGCTATCCACAGCCCTGCCAGGGTTGGACCACATGGCACAGCAGACCTCTTCTGTTTCGCCCCCTACTCCCCTCAGCAGTGAATTTCATTCGATCTGCCTATTCTGTTCCCCACTCTGGCTCTGGTGAGACCTCTTACCCATCCCCCCACCCAACTCTCTGGCATGTATCCCAATTCTTGTATGTATTAAAAAAAAAAAGGCCACAAGCTATATATAGTTTACCCTTTCACAGTGTGTGTGTTTGTGGGGTGGGTAGTGGTGGTGGTGAGGGCTAAGTTTTAACTCAGTAACTTTTTTTCCAGTATCTTTAAAAAAAACAATACAATAGTTTATTTTCCATCATTTTGTGCCTTTTTCCATCTCAGTTGTAATCCCCGTGGGCTTCCCATCATCAAATCACACATGTGCCATCACCATAGTCCAGTGCACTTCCCTCCCCCCAATGTTTTTGATCCCATCCCCTACTCCATCCCCATAAAATGTCTCTGGTATATAGTTGTTCATTATTATCATTATTTTCTTGCCTGGTCCATTATACTCCTGCTATGAGTGAAACCATCCAGTATTTTTCCTTTTCTTTCTGGCTTATTTCACTGAGCATGATCTTTTCCAGCACCATCCATGTTGCTACAAAAGGCATGTGTTTATTTTTTTGTTTGCTGAGTAACATTCCATTGTATATCTGTAGCACATCTTTTTTTTTTTTTAAAGATTTATTTATTTGTGCATACAGAGCTGGGGTATAGGCCAGAGGCTCAGGAGCGGCCAGAGGCTTCACCAGAGACAGAGTGGGGAGCAGAACAGGCAGATTGACGAAGTACACTGCTGAGGGGAGCAGCGGGGCGGGTCAGGAGAGGTCTGCTACGCCATGTGGTCACCTCCGGGGCAGGGGGAAATCGAACTCATGCGGAAGTGGCTTTAGCTTGTCAGTGCTGTGCTTTAACTCTCTGTGCCACCAGGGAGGGCCTGTACCACATCTTTTTAATCCAGTCATCTACTTTTGGGTCTTTGGGTTGATTCCATGTCTTTCCAACTGTAAATAAAGCTGGACGGGGTGCAGGTATCTTTTTGAATCAGTGTTTTTGTGTCTTTTGGGTAGATACCTAGGAGTGGGATTGCTGGGTCGTAGGAAAGCTCCATGTTAAGCAGTTTGAGGAACCTCCAAACAGTTTTCCATAGTAGTTGTACTAGTTTGCATCCCACCAGCAGTGCAGGAGAGTTCCTTTTTCTCCACATCCTTGCTAACATTTGTTGTTGCTAGTTGTTTGAAGATGTGCCATTCTCATTGGGGTGAGGTGGTATCTCATTGTGGTTTTAATTTGCATCTCCCTTATTACAAGTGATGTTGAACGTTTTTTCAAATGCTTGTTGACTGTCTGCATTTCCTCTTTGGAGATGTGTCTTTTTAGCTGTGCTGCTTGTTTTTTGATGGGGTTATTTATTTTTGTTAAGTTTCATCAGTTCTTTATATATCTTTGTGATCAATACTTTATCGCTAGTTTTGTATGAGAAAATTTTTTTCCTAATCAGTGGGATTTTTTTTTTGTAATGTCTCTTGTTGTATCAATACACTTTTTTGAGAAGGAGGTTTAAGTACCGAGATAAATTGGATCTTTAATCCTTTAGGAGAGATCAACCAGTCTTAAGTTGGAAACCCTTAAATTTTTCCCCTTATAAACAGAGGTCTTTCTTAAATATTAACTAGAAAAAAACATCTTATGTCAAGTCCAGCAGTCAAATGCTGATATTCGGTAGAGGTCTAAGACAATTTTTTAAATATCTATGATCACTGTGTTATTCAAACAAGTGGATCCTGGCTTATCTCCTTAGATTTTCCACATTATTCAGAACTGCTAACCCTTTTATTCTTTGGATATACTCTGTATTCCAGATGGAATACTTCTGTATTCTAAATACCAAACTTTCTTGGTTTCTTCATACTTACCTTGCTGTTGCTTTTCAATTTCAGGGCAGGTCTGTAGTTATAATTCACAAGGTAAATCTTTTCCATATAGACTCAGTTTCAATAAGCTTCTGTCATATATCTGTATTGTCGAGTCTTTTCTTGAGGTGTAATGCTTTGAAAGCCCTTTCTTTGAATGGGAAACCTAGTTCCAATTTGTAGTCTTTACTTTCTATCCTTACATAACTCATATAACCCAGTGTTCTTTCCTCTGCAATTGATGGCTTTAGTTTGGTTCTGTTTGCTCCAAAAAGTAAACTTACATATTTAAAAGACTTTAGTTATTTTTCTTTCCTTCTTTTTATAAAGACTTACTTATTTATTTATACATACAGAACTGGGGTACAGGCCAGAGGTATGGAGGGTGAGAGGACTTACTAGAGAGAGGAGCAGAACAAGCAGATGTACTGAAATATATTGCTTAGGGGAGCAGTGGATTAGACAGGAGAGATCTGCCACACCATGTGAGTTACCTCCTTGACTGGGGATAGAATTCATGCTGCAGTGGCTGCTATAGCTTCATAGTGCTGTGCTTTAAGCTGTTGCACCACCACAGAGGGCCCCTTAGTTATTTTTCACTCAACATTTCTAGATAATTTGTAGTGATAGGATTTATAGGTTATCTAGTTCACCATTTTGTCTGAAAAGGAACTTTACTTCTTCTACCTTTCTTTATTACCTTCATATTTAGGGAAGAGAAAAAATAAATATCACCTGTAATCCCACTATTCTGTGTCAGTATATGTTTAAATAAATCATTGTCATCTCTGTTCACTTTTTGTCCATGTGCAGGTTCATGTTTAAATTATTGTAATCTCTATTTTTTCTTACTATTTAACCATTTACAATACATTTATATATATATATATATATATTTTTTTTTTTTTTCAGAACAACATAGCTGAAGTACAAGAATTGCATTCTGAGTTAATGTGGAAGGATTTTATAGACCACATTAGTAGCCTCCTACACAGTGTTGAAGTGGAAGTCAGTTACTTTGCAGCTGGAATTATTGCCCATTTAATATCTAGAGGTGAACAAGCATGGACATTGAGCCGTAGCCAGAGGAATTCTCTTCTGGATGATCTGGTATGGTTATTTGGTGTTTTCTGGAGCAAACAACATTCATAGTAATATTATCAAAACTTCATAATGCAATAATGCCATAATAAATAAACATAATCCCTTCTTGTGTGTCTTGTATTTTACAGCATTCAGCTATTTTGAAATGGCCAACTCCTGAATGTGAGATGGTAGCATACAGGTAATTAGCATGGACAGTTAACATTAAACCAGTAACTTAGGCATATTGTTTGCCTGGAGATCATTACCTATGTGTATCATTTTTCCCTCTGGCATCTATCTTCATATAGGCTTTTTTTTTTTAAACATTTATTTATTTATGCATACAAGAGCTGGAGTGTAGGCCAGAGGTGTGAGGAGGTGATAAGATTCACCAGAGACAGAGTGGGAAGCAGAATAGGCAGTTCTACTGAAGTACACTACTACGGGAAGCAGTTGGCAAGCCAGGAGGGCTGTCTGCACCATGTGGCCTAGCTCCTTGGCCAGCGATTGAACTCATTGCTGCAGTGGCTGTGTATAGCTTCATAGTGCTGAGACTTAACCCTTTGAGCCACCAGGGAGAGCCTTTCTTCATATTGACTTTAAAAGAGGCAAGCTATTTTGACTTTTTCTGCTGTCATTAATCAGTTCTTAATTCTCCATTTATTGAAGAGAAGTGCCAGAGACTTATTCAGTACTTTTGAAATTCAAAAATAAGTAAGACATTGTGCCTACACACAAGAATCTTCAGGCTCCTTAGGAATACCAAGTGTGAATTAGATGTAATTGACTGTTACGCTTGTTATGTATGTAGATTTGCTGTGAACTTAAAGATGAGAGTACTTAAATCTCCACTGGAAAAGTATAAGAAAAAATCTGCCAAATAAAGTAGATTGTGAGCTGAGTTTAGAGAGATGATTAGTAGGTACTGAAGATTTTAGAAAGAGGAAATGATATAGTAATGTAAAAATGTCTAAAGCAGGATGATACACTGGAAGAAAGAAAAGTGGCATTAGGTTAATTTGGAAAAGCAGTAATAATTTTGAAAGTGTGTGCCTAACTATTTTGACAAGTCGGCAGCATAATATTGAAGTTGCTAATTACATAGAGTATCCAGATTGCTGCTAAATAATATTGTTAAAGCTTATTTTTCAAAAAGGCACAAAATACTGTAAAAGTAAACTATTATAATTTTTAAAACGTAGAAAAACTTATTTTTTGCTTTTTACTTCATAAATGCTGATTCTGCCAATATTTTTTACCTCTTCAGCTTTATAGTTTACCCATTTGGGGAGACAGAAGACTAGAAGAAAAGGCTAATTGTATACCTTCTTTATGGTGTTCAACCAGTTAATTATTAACTAACTTCTTTTATAAATTTCCAGACCAAAAGGTATTTTTGAAAAACATGTTTTTCCTCTGTTAATCAATTGTTCTGAAATCTTTCATGTTCTCTGAAGATTTTTTAAAAAAATAATCCTTTCTCAAATGGCTAAGACAAACTATGTTCTGTAGTATAGATTTTATAATATATCAGTTTAGAACTGTTAGGACAAAATTTCTGGAATGGAAAGCTCAGTAACTGATAGTTTAAAAAATGGTACTGAAAGCCTCCCTGGTGGTGCAAGGGGTTAAGTCTCAACATTATCAAGCTATTAGCAGCCACTGCAGCATGAATTCAATCCCTGGTCAACCAGCTAAGCCAGTTGGCAAAGCAAACCTCTTCCTATCTGACCCACTGCCTACACCCCAGTTCTTGTATGCATAAATAAATAAAAATAAATCTTTAAAAATAAATAACACTGAGCCCTTCCTAGTGGCTCAGTGGGTTAAAGTCCAGCACGATGAAGCTATCTGCAGCCACTGCAGCATGAGTTCTATTCCTGGCCAAGGAGCTGACCCACATGGTATGGCGAACCTCTCCAAGCCACTCTACTGCTCCCCTTAATGTATTTCAGAAGATCTGCCTGTTCTGCTCCTCACTCTGTTTCTAGTGAATCCTCTCACCCCTGCACCTCTTGGCCTGAACCCCATTTCTGTACGTATGATAAATAAAAATAAATGACACTAAACTCAGAATGTAACTTTTTTTCTTCTCTTTTGATCTTTTAGGTCTTTTAATCCATTTTTCCCATTACTTGGCTGTTTTACAACACCAGGAGTCCAGCTATGGGCAGTTTGGGCCATGCAACATGTCTGTAGCAAGAACCGTATGTATTGAAAGAAGAACTGGGGTGTAGGCAGTGGGGTGACTTCTCTGTAAGTCACCTTACAGAGAAACCAGTTACTGAATTGTATATTAAAGTGATCTTCATAGATACAGACTTTTAAAAATACAACATAAGAGACTCTTGGATTATACACTAAATTCATTCTTTCAAAATAAACTACTTAGTACAAGGTACTTTAGCAGTGGTACTTGAGACTTAGACAGGTTCAGCTTCATGAGCTTAAAAGATTAGTCTTACTACAGTGAGCTCATTTGTTGAACAAACTGTCTTAAGGAGATTCAGTTTTTATGGTACATGTTTGTACTCAGTCTTCATTCTCACAAAATTGCATTGTTGAAGACTTTGTTCTCAGCATTCATAGTCTGAGAATAAACAAATCATTTAGATAAGATTCCATGTCATTCTTCTTTTGAAGATTGTAATACAGTTCTTTGTTAGTTATTCAATAATATCAATTTATTTGAGGTAACTTTTTTGGGTAAGGTATAAAATTAAATTTTTTTAATATTAAAAATATCAAGGGCTTGCCCTCCCTGGTGGCGCAGCGGGTTAAAGCACAGCACTGAGAAGCTAAAGCCACTTCCGCATGAGTTCGATTCCCACCTGCCCCGGAGGAGACCACATGGCGAGGCAGACCCCTCCTGACCCGCCCGCTGCTCCCCTCAGCAGTGTATTTCAGTCACTCTGCCTGTTCTGTTCCCCACTCTGTCTCTGGTGAAGCCTCTTGCCACCCCTGCACCTCTGGCCTGTACCCCTCAGTTCTGTATGCATAAATAAATAAATCTTTAAAAAAAAAAATATCAAGGGCTTCCTGGTGGCCCAAGAGGTTAAGTCTGAGCACTGTGATGCTTTCAACAGCCACTGCAGAAGCAGTTTGATCCCCAGCCAAAGAACAAACCCAGCAGACCCAGCAGACAGCAGACCTCTTCTGTCTCACTTGCTGTTCCAATCAACAGTGTATTTCAGTAGATCTGTCTGTTTTGTGCACCATTAGATCCTCACACCATCTCCTCGGTTGTATACCCCAGCTCTTGTATGCATAAATATAATAAATCTTTTTAAAAAGATTTAAAAAGTCAGAATTAAGGAAAAAATAACTTAAAAAAAGATGGATGGAGTAAAATAATAGAAAGCAGACATGTATGACATTTACAGTGATTCATATTCTTTCTGTAGAGGGGCTGCAAATAATCAGTTGCAATATTCTTTCTGTATAAGAAAAAAAAATCATTCCATATTCTTAGGGGGAAGTAAAGCTCTTCTGAGCAAGTAACTGCAAATTAATTTTGTTTTATGGAACCTAATAGGGAGTATATACCTAAGGCATTTTATAGGAAATGTGAGAATTTTCTTTAAGAATATTCTCATAGCAAAGGCAATTGAACATTTAATCAGACTTACTCGTTACATTCCAAATTTGATGAAAACTAGGTGTATACCACAAAAGGTTACTCAGTGAAAGCTCTTCTGTGTTGAATGGACAAAGGAGGAAAAATGGAATGTGACAGAGAACACTAGTTTGTACTGACATATAAACTTCCACCTGAAAGCATCTCTTGCCTCTCATACTAAGTTCCTTGCCACTAAGCTTTTTATTCATAACACTGCACAATTACATTAAATTACCTGTGCTCTGATTGTGGTGGCTCTATATAAGTGTATACATTTCACAAAACTGATTAAACTATAGGTAAAATTGAGTGAATTTCACTATGTATAAATTATTTAATGAAAATAACTAAAATTTTGAAAACCTCTAAGTCAGGTGTCACAAAAAGAATTACTTTTTTTTTTTTTAAAGATTTATTTATTTGTGCATACAGAACTAGGATGCAGGCCAGAGGCTCAGGGGCAGTGAGAGGCTTCACCAGAGACAGAGCGGGGAACAGAACAGGCAGATCGACAAAGTACACTGCTGAGGGGAGCAGCAGGTGGGTCAGGAAGGAGAGGTCTGCCTCACCATGTGGTCACCTTCGGGGCAGGCGGGGATCGAACTCATGCGGAAGCAGCTTTAGATTCTCAGTGCTGTGCTTTAACCCGCTGCCCCACCAGGGGGGGTCAAAAAAAATTACTTTTAAGAACAAAAAGCAGGGCCCTCCCCAGTTGCACAACAGGTAAAGCATGGCTCTATGAAGCTATCTGCAACCACTGTAATACAAGTTTGATCCCCGGCCAGGGAGGTGACCCAAATGGCACAGGAGAACTCTCCTGACCTGCCCCTCAGCAGTATATTTTAGTAGATCTATCTGTTTTGCTTCCCACTCTGTCGCTGTGAAACCTCTCACCCCACCCCGCACCTCTGGCTGTACCCCAGTTCTTGTATGCATAAATAAAAAAAAATTTTTTTTAAAGGCAAAATATTTTAAAATAAAGTTACATGTGCAATATGAGTGCCATAATTTTTTTAAGACATGGGAAATGCATGAAATATACCTGTGATTTTGGATCAATATACATTAGGTATATGTTTATATTTATACACAGGTATATACACAGGTATATGCCACTGTGGCAATAGTTCTATCCTTAGCCAGGGAGCTAGCCCACATATAACAGAGCAGACCTCTCCTGTCTCACCTGCTGCTCCCCCTCAACTCACCTGTTCTGCTCCCCACTCTTTTTCTGGTGAATCCTCTCACTCCCGTCACCTCTGGCCTACACCTCAATTTTTATATGCATAAATAAATGAAAATGAATCTTTTAAAAAAAGAAAAAGTGAGGTATGTATCATGTGAAAAAATTAATTACAGAGGTATTTATCATGTGGCAGCAGCATGTTATTATTCAGTAACATAATAGCAAGAAATTAAAGTGAAATAAAAACTTTTTGTGTGTGGGATAAATTGTGTTTTAAGAAAAACTTTCTCCTGTTTCTTTTCAGCCTCGCGATATTGCAGCATGCTGATTGAGGAAGGAGGACTGCAGCATTTATATAACATCAAAGAACATGAAAAAACCGATCCCCATGTGCAACAGATTGCTGTGGCCATTTTGGACAGCTTAGAAAAACACATTATACGACATGGGAGACCACCTCCCTGTAAAAAGCAGCCCCAGGCCAGACTCAATTGATAGCCATAGGTAATTGGATAATTGAATCACAGAAATCCTTTTTGTGATAGGTTCATTTGGAATATCATTCTCTGATGTTTTGAGGGTTTCTGTGAGCCTAAAAGTCATAAGATCAGTTTGAGATTGATGATGTACATTGCTGCCCTCTAATTTGTCTTGTGATTTTTAACTTATGAAGAAAGTAGGGTTTCTCGTTCATCATTGCCTTTTGGGAAGTTTTCCCCATCTTTCAGTGTTTGAACTTATCTGTGCTTGAAATTCTACAGTTTTATGATAAAGTTTGCACGAACCCATAGGCCAGATTTTTCTGATCTCAAAGTTCCTTCTAGTCAATTTGCAGCTTCTCATAAGCTGTGCTTCTGATTTCTGGCACTGCTTCAGTTGTAAATTTTATACTGCTTCTGTATAAAATGCCTTTATTCTGTGTCTGTGTATCTTTTATAAGATGTCCTTCATAGTGTGAAAGAATCTGAATTCTCTCCTTGTGAAAGCTACTCACTGACTGGAGCCTGAATGGATGGCAGAAAAAGACACTAAAAGAAAAGCTATCAAAGGAAAATAGAGTTTAAGAACTGGCAGCAGTCTCTTTTCATGGTACAATTATTGAACTGGACAGGCTGGCCTTCTGGAGCACAACTCTTTGAGGCAGTGAGCAATCGCTTGCTCTTCTATTTATTCCTAGAAACACGGAATGCCACTTCCTATTCAGACACTGGTTACTCCAGAAATATTTCCTGAATCATCACAGTGTATAATATTACAGCATTCTGTGTTAAAGATGATCTGTGCAGATCTCTATGTGTCATTGTTATGGAAATGTAAAATTTTAAAAAATTGTCTCGGTAAAACAGACCATTCTTCCCCTTCTGTTTCAGTCATTTTTGTTCAGTGAAATAAAGACTACATGCAATGTTACCTTTTCAGTTAAAATATAATTGATATAAGTAAATTTGCCATAAGAAGTCACTTTTTATTTTGATTCAACATAAATTATCAAATGTTGCAGGAAGATGTTGCCATCTCACTGCCAGAAATGAAAAGATGAATTAAACTACTATTAATATAAATGATTGAGTTGCACTGCATACAAGGAAACATTTTTTAATGGTTATTTCTTAGGCAATTGCCTTTCAAGACACGTGTTATGAGTATAGTATTTTTTTTTCCTATTGCAGCAAAGAATCAGTTATCTTTACATCAGTTACAGCAGTTGGAAGGTAGTCATCACCAAGAAACTTTAAAAAGATAATTGTTTTTAAAAGAAATTAAAATTTTTCATTTTAAATTTTAATTTGTGGGTCAAGCCAATCTACAATCTTTCTTATTTTCATAGATAACCAAATGTTTAAAATTAGAGATTTTAAGTGGTACTTTTTATAATGGTCATTATTAAGAAATATGCTTATTTGGAAAGGAGCTGGCTTAAGAGCATGCTGGTAAGATTTTTGACATAAATGTTTTACATCACTGTCAACAATAATCAGGGTAGAATTATTTGGAACTCTCACAAGAGTGAAAATTTAACACTAAAAGAAAATAGGTTTTTAGAAACATATTTAATCCATATTTAACTGTGGGTTGATAATTGATTTAATTAACTTAAGACATTTTTATAAGAGCAAGATAAGTTTTCACAAAGTCCATTTCAGAGGAAATGTAAAATTCTTTAAGATATTTCTTTTTTTCTTGACTTCTAATTTTAATGTCTAAGGTAAAAATATGGAATATAGGACAGCATACAATAGCTTGTAAGTTGACCATTTCCAGGTCTATTTTGTTATATAGTTAAGGGAAAGCAAGTTGGAATTTTGGCTTTGCTTTATACTATGTCATCCTGTTTGAGGCAAAAGTACATGTTCCTTAGAAGGCTAACTCTAGGTTTTTATCTTTACAAATTGTTTTCAGAAATGGCTAAAATGTACAGGAAGCAGTAACTTCCTTTATCATTCAGAATAATTTCAATAGAAGATTAAACATTTAATAAAAATTAAATTATTTAAAATTAAAATCTAACTTAAATTCAGCAATATTCAAATTTAAATTTAAGTTTGCTACTTTGAGCTTTGATAACAGCCAGATACTTTTCAATCTTAAAAGCATAATACTGTATCACATCCCAAAATTGTAAAAATTGTAGTGCCTTTGTGGTTGGGATGTTTCTTAAGATTGTGTATCTATATCTAGTTGAGGCACAGAATTGTCTGTAAGGGGTTGAATCTGGTTACATACATTAGATGTATATTTTGAAATTATAAAGCATAATTAGCTACAAGTAGGATCTGTTAGCCCCCTTTTTTTGCATTTGTTCATTAGAATGTAACAGTACTTGGTGCCTTCAAGGGTTACCTCTTTAGTAGTTTAGAGTTGCTATATCAAGCACAATTTAGAATAGGATTGAACCATTCACTGTTCAAATTATAGGTGTGCTCAGATGTTTTACAATATCACTGTAACTGTCCACAGGCAACAGCAAGGTTTATTTTAAAGGAAACGGAATTAGATTTTTTAGAATATGATGATGCATGTTGGTATCATTGAGTTAAAAATAGCAACGGTCTGAAATTAAGGCAAAAATTATTGAGGCTCCTTATCCTTTCTATCACGTGTTTTGTTATAGTCTTTCTACTGTAAAAAGTTCTTTTTTGTTTATTTGTAAAGAAATATGAATAAAGTAGTAATAAGGAGTTAGTAAAACCTCTGGTGAAGGACTCAGTAGCTACTCATCTTTTTTTCCCCCCTAGTGGCTACTGATCTTAGTTGAGAATTTAAAAAATCTTACCAAACCCACAGTTCTAAGAATTGACCTTAAATATTGCTGTTCCTCATTCCTGGACAAACGATGCCATTTAATGACACTAGTCAATGTAAGCAAATTATCCAAGGTGGATATAAACTACCCTAACACTACTATAAGAATTTAATTTCATGGTATTGTTACAAACTTCTAAATAATCAAAGATTCAGGTTTAAAACACTAATTGTATATATCCAGCCTACGAAGTTGTACTTAATGAGTATACTTTTATTAAGTTGTACTTAATGAGTTGTACTTTTGAGTAGAATTGTTTTCTTCTATTCCCTTTCATTTGACTGTATTTTTAATTATGTCATATGTAAAGATGTCATCTAGCCCTTTGAAGACTATTTCAGTGAAAATACATTTATGTGCTAAATGAGGATAGATTAATGAACCATAGTTTTGGTTTAATGTTTTTAATGTGTGACCCCATGGACAATATATGGCAGTACCCAAAGCTGAAGAGATCATGAATAGCAGGGAAAGCAAACTTACTGTTTTGTGTATGTGAAACCTAACCTCCTGTCCTCTAGTGGGATGTTTACATCCCATGGTTATGGGATTGTACAGCTTTTATTTGGGGTAAACAGTGCACTATTGCTATTGTGCAGCTTTTATTTGGGGGTAAACAGTGTTATTAAACTCATGGTATAAATTAAAGGCAGTATCATACTGCCAGCTGATGTGTTCTTTATGGGGAACTTTATATGGCTAGGGCTTCAGAGTATAGTCATGCACCTTATGACAATGTTTTGGTTAACAGCACACTACTTACAAGATGGTGGTCCCTATATATAGTCAGAGTTTGTAGTAAGCTATACCATATAGGTTTGTGTAAGTATATTCCATGATGTTCGCACACTAAAATTGCCTAATGATGCACTTCTCAGAACTATTGCTGTCATTAAGTGACATGACTGTGGGGTTCTGAGACAGCTCATTGAGAGGTTTACAAACTTAAGGTTCCCCTCTAAAAATTGATTGTAGCTAATTTAAATGATTGTGGATATTGAAAGTTTAATCTTTACCATTTGCTTTGTATTTTAAATTTTTAGTGTTAACTCTTGAACTTTTCTTTCAGGAATGATGCAAATTCAGCCTTTGTCCAGTAATGAAAATAATAATATGATAGGAAAATTTGCTCAATGTGCTTTAAACAAGCAATTGCTTTATCTTTTCTAGTATTTCATAGGCTTTGCATGATCTGAAACACTCCTAATTGTGCATACTTTGGTTTCCAAATCTAGTCGGACATGCTCTGTATTAACCAATTGATAGCCTAAGAAAGAGTCTAAGAAAGCTTTTTCTGCCTGTTTTTCCTCTCCTCCATTTTGGGGGATAAACATCGGAAGGTCAAATTGTCTCATTTTTCTCGAAGCAAAGCTGTGACAGCATAGCCAAACTTTATAGCTAGACAGAAGACTATTAAGAATATTTAGAAAATCCAAATCTAGCAAAGTTATTTGATGGGAATCATAAATGGAGTTCATTAGAATGTGATTTTGGACATTGGGGAAAATTTCAAATTGGGTTAGTTTATTTTAATCAACTTAGAATGAATGCTATTTAGCTAATGAAAACAGACAGTTGCATACAAATAAAATCTTGAGAGCATATTTTCCATTTACAAATGTATGTCAAGATTTATAATTTCTTATAATCCTTAGAGAATAAAAATTTTTGAGCCTCTGACTTTTGTAGAATCCTGTCAAATTCTCACTGACTTGTGAATATTAGATAAGCTGTTTTTTGCTTGTTTCCTGGTGGAAGAGTTTAACTTCACTCAAATGATAAGAAAAATTTATTAAAAAATTAATGTATATACATTCCAAAAGCCTCTCAATTGTCTGGACTGAAGGCTTTATTATAGCCAGATGAATTGGAGTGTTCTGTACATGAATAATGCTAGATTTTAAATCAGGACATCACTTAGGTATTAACATTGTGTGTACAGTTTTTTGTTTGGGAATTTTTTTTGGCCTAAATAAATGTTATAAATTTTATGTAAAGTGTTTTTTTTGTCTGCATTGATTCCAGACATTTGCGTAAAATTTAATAATGCACGATTCAGATTCCACTTTTAACAGTTGCTTACTGAAAAAGGCCAATAGTTTTGTTGTTAAAGTTTCCTAGTATTGAAACTTCATCTCATTAAATAGCTATATTAGGTACTTTTAAAGTGTAACTTAATGTCATATAACAGACCAGTCCAGAGTGCTTATTACAGAGAGAGTGCTTATTACAGAGCAGACGCTATACCTAATACAGACTAGATACCATTAGACAACCCAGGAAAACTTAACAGAGAACATTTGAGTTGAGAATTTGATATATATAACTATATAATGCATATAATTGAAATGCATTTAGTGAGGGAGACTACAAAAAAACTATACTATGAGAACCCTTGAGCCAGGAAGAATCAAGTGATTTTTGTTTCAGAAATGTTTGTAGCTGAAGAAAAAAACCTGAGGTGAAGTGAACTTGCTCAGTTCACACACCAAGTCAATGACAGACTCTGCACTACAATTTTCATTTTCAGACTTCAGTCCAAGCCATTCCCTCACCATATTGTTGTGTGAGATTTCTTGTATCTTAGGCAATATGTGAATAAGTAGCAAATGAATGATAGAGAAAAGAAGCTGCACCATTGGTCAGAGAAGAGATTGAGGGTGATAAAAGACAGTGTTCAGATGCTAAAAGAATTGTTAACAGTATACTACACATACTATTGTTTCACTACTACTCAAACCTAAGATTAGATGGTTTTTTCAAGCAGCTTTATTTTATACTTAATTTTTCTTTTATTGTCTATCCATTTGCTTACTCAGTAGTAGTATTTCTATAGGCCATGTAATGAGGAAGATACTAAAAAAAAAAATCCTTTCACTGTGGCTGATACTTAATTGAATTGTTGAATTACCTTGTCTACAAAAAAATAAAAAAAGCACTTCACCCTTCACCCCACCCTCTCTTATTTTTTGTTCTGTAGATTTATCTTGGCTAAATTTTTTCTTATTTTCCTCCTGATTACCCTACTGTCTCCAGTCCCTATTCTTAGTATGCATCATAAGAGTTCCCTGAATGAACCCAGGAACTGCATAGCAGAACCCTTTAGCTTGAAGCAATTTGGGGGACTTGCCTAATCCCATGCATTGGCTACCACAGCTATTTAAATGCCCTTTTGCCACAGTGACTCAGTCAAGAACTGAGTTCCCTAGAATAGGATGTAACTATAAGAGCTAAGCACATACACAAAATTTAGTGCTTCAAGCACCTTATAAAAGAAAGTTTCCAATCCTGTCTAGAATGTGACTGTCCTGTTTCCATATGGAAGTTAAGGAGTTACCAAACATTTTTCTACCTAATTCTGTGTGTCTCATCAATTCAATCTTAAAGCCCTTCAACGATTTTGAAAAGAAGAAAAAAACTGGAAAGATTATTAGTTCAATCTAACTTCATTTTTTGGAGTTGGTGCAGAGTCCTTGGGTTCACTCTGGGAAAGGTTACAGTTCAGGAAGAGAGGGGCACTCCTAGACCCCCAAACCTGCGCTGAATAGGTTCTGCCATCTGCCGCATCAAGACAAAACATAAGACCTTTAATGGAAAGGAACTTTAATACAATTCATGTGCAATACAGAGAAAGACAAAGAACATGATTTCTAAATCAAACACCTGAAGTTACCTGTCTACCCAAAAGGGATTGGCCCAAAGCAAGGTCTGAAAGTCTGTCACAAGACTAAAGCACCTTCTGGCCGGGACCCATAGAAAAGGGTCAGAAATGGCCAGACAAGTCTGGGAGGAAAAGCAAAATCAAAATCAAGATAAACAGTGCCATAGTGAACATCCCCACTGGTCTCTCACCCACATCTGTTTCAACCAGCCTAGAACCAAGAAGCAAGCATAGTTTCTTCACATGTTTCTCTGCTCCATGTGCCCCCCTCAGGTTGTTACAGGACACCAGATCTGTTATAGGACAAGGAGAGAGAGACACCCCTGAAGTCCCAAACCTGCCTGCTCTAAATGGGTTCTGCCATCCACCGCGTCAAGAAAAAAACATACAAAACTTTAATGAAAAGGGACTTTAATACAGTAAATATACAATACGGAACACAAAGAATATAACTTCTAAATCAAACATCTGAAGTTACCCATCCCCTCGTGGGCAAAAGTCAACCCAAAAGGGATTGGCCCAAAGCAAGGCCTGAAAGCCCACCACTAGACTAAAGCACCTTCTGGCCGGGACCCATGGAAAAGGGCCAGAAATGGCCAGACAAATCTGGGAGGAAAAGAGCAAAATCAAAATCAATATAAACACTGCAATAGTCACCTCCCTACAGGTCTTTCACCCACATCTGCCTTAACCAGTCCAGGGTTAGTTAGGAAACAAGCACGGTTTCTTCCTCACATGCTTGCTGCTCCGTGCGGCTTCATCATGTCTCCTTGTTCTCCATCCAGCTTCCTTCTCTTCTCTTCTCTCCTTTTTCTCTGCTCAGTTCCACCCTCCTCCTGGGTGGGGCAGGGAACCTGGAACTTCCCCTTTTCCTAGGGACCACCCTGTTACAAGGTCACCTGGCTCCCCACCATCCTGCTTCCTTCCTCTTCAGTCTCCTTTAGATTCTTTTCCTCAGTTCCAGCCTCCTTTGAGTGGCACAAGGAACCTGGAACCTCCCCTTTTCCCTGGCACCACCCTGTTACACAACTACATATAACAATAGGGAGAAGTTTTGGTGTAAAAGGGTAGAAAAGATAGCTCCATATTGCACGAGATAGATCCTGGGTCAGGGAGCTGATCCAAATGGCCACGCAGAAACCCCCTTCCTGTCTCACCTTCTGCTCGCTCCCCATTCTGACTGGTGAATCCTCTCACCAAGTGCACCACTGGCCTGTACTCCAGCTCGTGTATGTATGCATAAATAAATTAATCTTTAAAAAAAAAGTGTAAATATTTCATAGTAATAGTGTAACAGGGTGGTCCTTAGGAAAAAGGGAAGTTCCAGGTTCCCTGCCCCACCCAGGGGCAGGAGGGTGGAGCTGAGCAGAGAAAGAGGACAAGAAGAGAAGGAAGCTGGATGGAGAATAAGACGGAGACCTAAGGAAGCCACATGGAGCAGCAAACATGTGATGAGGAAACCATGCTTGTTTCCTGACCCTGTAACAGTTAAGGCAGATGTGGGTGAGATACCTGTAGGGAGGTGACTACAGCAGTGTTTATATTGATTTTGATTTTGCTCTTTTCCTCCCAGATTTGTCTGGCCATTTCTGGCCCTTTTCCATACAGAAGGTGCTTTAGTCTTGTGGCAGCCTTCAGGCCTTGCTTTGGGCCAATCCCTTTTGGGTTGACTTTTGCCCACGAGGGGATGGGTAACTTCAGATGTTTGATTTAGAAGTTATATTCTTTGTGTTCCGTATTGTATATTCACTGTATTAAAGTCCTTTTTCATTAAAGTTTTATATATGTTTTGTCTTGTTGCGGCGGATGGCAGAACCCACTTAGAGCAGGTAGGATTTTGGGGCTTCAGGGGTGTCCCTCTCCCCTGTTCTGGAACAGATTTGGGGTGCCCTATAACAATCGGAGGAAATGCAAAGGTAGAGCCTGTATAGATGCAGGGGTAGATATGATGCCTTCTTTCTTGATTGCTTTTCTTGGTGAAAAAGAAAGCTACAAATATATTGGGGCAGGAGGTGTAGGAAATTTGAGTCTAGAAGAAATCATGAAATAATTCACTTTTAAAAAAAGCAATATTGATAGACGTTGGCGTCAGAAAACTTGACTCCCACATTTCCAACTTAGCTAGTTGGAAATAAGATGTTAAAATTTAGCCTGCTTGTAAACCTCTCAAATGTACAGTTTCTTTATGGGTAACATGGGGATGATGGCTACTACCCAGGAGTTTTTTTCAAATGAGAATTAAGTGAAAATACATCTGAAAGGAGAGCATTTGCAAAGTTATTTGTACTGGAAACGAATTTTAACATTTCAATCCACTTATCCAGGACTTGCCAATGGGCCGACCATTGTGATGTTTTACATATATTATCCCATTTAATCTGTGTATCAACCCTGTGTGATAAAGCATTTCCACTGCCTTTACTGAAGAGGAAGTTTAGCTTCTGAGAATCTAACTTGAATAAGGTTCACAAGTTAGTGGATACTGATCTGGGAGGACAATTAAGGACTCAAATGCAGTGCTCGTATGCTTAACTAACCTTTCCCAAGACCTACTTTTTCATAAATATTAGCTAAAGTGCTTTGGCACTTTTTAGGTTACAGGAAGCTGATAGTTCATTCTGCGAATTCGAGGTTAGTAGTGGTTTTGATATCTGATTCATCTATTATCTACAGATGAACAGAGGTGCATGTTGCCAGATTTTTAGGAGAAAGATTCTTCAAAATTTGAAATATTAAAAATACACGATCCGTTCTACAAATCCAGACATTTGGTTCTCTGAAAGCCAATGCGTGGTAACAGAGGATGTAGATCTGTCCCAGAGATGCGGGGAGACCGGTCTCGCAGAAGAGCGTCGGAGAGTGGCCAGGGGCTGGGCGGGCGTAAGATGCCGCTCGGACAAGGGGTGGCGGGAGAAGTGTTGGGCGGGAAGCTGAGCCAGTGCGGGTGGGAAGTGCCTGGGGGGCGTGGCCTTCAGGGGGCCGGCCCCGAGGGGCGGGGCGTGTGTGCGTCGCCACGCCGGGTTTTTCAAAATCCTTGCGCTCGGGACGCGACGGCGGGATCCGTGCGTGCGCTTTCCGCGGCGCCTCACTGTTCCGCCTCTTCCCGGCGCGACCCCGCCCCATCTCTCGCGGGACCCGAGCCCCACCTCGACGTCGGTTTTCTCCTCGACGCCCGTCGGCGGGGTCGCCATGGTTCACTTCTTACACCCTGGCCTCACGCCCCGCGTTCTCGTCACTCCCGACGCTCAGAGGGATGCTCTGAGCCGCTGCGTGTTGCAGGTGAGCCCCGGGGCCGGACCGTGCGGGGACGCGGCCCTCGGAGGGGCGTCCGACTCCCTCGAGCGCGGCGAGTCGTCTGGGACCTCGCAGAGGCACTCTTTGATAGTTTGGCCCACGCGAGGCTAAAATCTGGCGAGGCTACGCCTTCGCCCTGGCAGTCTTTGCTGGGGGTGAGGCGAAGTTTTCTCAGCCGTCGGGGTCCGAAGCATTGGCCGCGCGCGCCGGAGCAGAGTGGGGGAGAGAAGCTGAGTCCTGCCTCGCTCGTGACCTTGATAGAGCGAGTTTCTCCTCAGGTCTCCCACTGGCGCCTGTCCTGGTTGGAGGCTCTGGCGGCTTGACCTGCTGATGTGAATTTAGAGGGGACGTGCTGAACTTGATTGACACTAAGCCTCACTTGTAGTAGGCGTTGGCGTTGAGGGTGGTCGCTTATAAAACCCAAAACGACGACCGTATTTCCACGTGTACTGTGGACGTGGTATCCCCCGGAGGCTGTGGTCTCTCCATCGTCATTACTGGCGCCCAGGAAGGAGCCCGCGCCAAATCCATTCAGTACGCGGGTCTGCCCTTTTTTTAATTTCAGTTTCCTGGAATATCTTTTAATAGGGAGCACGGAGCCGAGCTAGTCAAATATGTGTGTATTTGGCGCCTACTGTGTGCTCAGTGTTGTTGCCTTAGGCCTTGTAGTCTCCATTTTAGGTTTGTCGTGTAGGAAAGTTGGAAATGCTTAGTTGATTTACTCCGTGACCTTAAATTTGACATCAAGTGTTGACAGACTCCACTTTATCCAACATTTGAGGGCAATGCTCTTGGGACCCAAACTATGTGAAGGCTTGAAATGAAATAAAGACAATAATATGATTGGGTTTGTACTTTATGTTGGGAGATTTACTGAGGGACTGGATAAGGGCAATAATAATAAATCAGCCCTTGCATCCAAAGGTGATAAGGTGGAAATAAATTGGACCTTGCATCTAATTAACGGGTCCTTGTGTCGGGATGGGACTAGATGAAGGTGATAACGAACTGGGCCTTAAATCAAGGACACAGCGATGACTCACCCCATTGAAATCTGAGCTTAGGACCTATATTAGAGACCCTTCCCCCTTATTGAGTTGGCTGTAGCTGCGGACCACTCTAGGGGCTTCTTCTCAGCTGCTGTCTGGAGCAGTAAACTCTGCTTGCTCAGCCTTTCTGCCTCCCGCCTTCCTTTCTTGCAGCGGGTCACAGAAATTGGGACAAAACACTTTATATACTAACGACTTGTTGGAAAGCTTTTTTGTGCCCTGCAAAGATCGAGCCTGTACTCCTTTATTCACCTTTTTATTTTTTTAGGATTTATTTTCATTTACTTATGCATGCATACAAGGTCTGGAGTGTAGGCCAGAGGGATTTGTGTGTGTGAGGATTCAGCAGAAAGAGTGGAGAGCAGGACAGGCAGATCTACTGAAGTACACTGCTGAGGGGAGCAGCAGGGTGTCAGGAGAGGTCTGTTGTGCCTTGTGATTCACCCCCCTGGCCAGGGGTCGAACTCTGTGCTGAAGTAGCTTCATAGTACTGTGCTTTAACCGGTTGTGCCAAGAGGGAGGGCCCTAAAATAATTTTTTAAAAAAAGGAATAATTGAAGAAGATAATGGGAAGGCAAAAAACATAGGACAAAAGTTGTATGTTTATGAGAATGACCCACTTGAGAAGGAGAGTTTGCAGATAGATGAATGAAGAAGTAACAACAGGAGCCAAGGCAAGAGGGATGGAATTTAGCCAGCACATGTGGAAGTGTTTGCAAGGAGGTACCCTTTTTTCACGTAAGAGAAGAATTAGCAAACGTGAAGTTTCTCCCTAAGTTTAATTATGAGATGACTTCATTTTTCTTAGTGAAATGAGTCAGAGTTTGAGGAACAAGAAGGCATGAACTAATTCTTGCCAGATTGTGGAAGATTCTAAAGATTCCTATTTAAAGAAGCCAATAAATACAGAATTTCCAGATACTAAGGGCTTTTTAAGTCAATGGCCATGACTTTTCCATGAGTGTTCCCATCTCCACAGAAGGTTAGCTGCTGGATACTGCCATTAAAATGTTGAACACCATTCCTGGAATGGAGTTTTGTCTGGAGAGTGTAACATGAGGAAACAAGGAGTTGATGATACTTACTTACTTTTTCTTTTAAGTTTTCTCACATTGTTGTTCACTTTGTACAATATTTGATTTCTTCGCTCATACATAGTCCCCACAATTCTCCCAGTATTTGTTTTTTGACTCTCCAAAAGCAGTATATGTTCTTTGTGAAAAAGTCAAGCTAATATGTTACTTCTTGTCTTCCAGGTTTTTCACTATCAAATTTTAAATTTTTATGTATGGTTTTTTTTGCAGTTTTTTAAAAATAATATAGTTATTTTTACATCATTTTGTGCCTTTTTCTGTCTCAGTTGTAATCCCTGTGAGCTTCCCATCACCAAATCACCCTTATGCCATCACCATAGTCCAGTCCATTCCCTGCCTCCCCCCATTTTTGATAGCGTTCCCCACTCCACCTGGTAAAATACCTCTGGTATATAGTTGTTCATTATTATTTTCTCCCCTGGCCTGTTATATTTCTGCTTATGAGTGAAACCATCCGGTATTTTTCCTTTTCTTTCTGGAAGAGTGATCTTTTCCATCTCCATCTATGTTGCTGCAAAAGGCATGTGTTTATTTTATTTTATTTTATTTTATTTTTTGGTTACTGAGTAATATTCCATTGTGTATATGTACCACAACTTTTTTTTTTTTTAAAGATTTATTTATTTTTGCATACAGAACTGGGATACAGGCCAGAGACTCAGGGGCAGTGAGAGGCTTCACCAGAGACAGAGTGGGGATCAGAACAGGCAGATCGATGAAGTACACTGCTGAGGGGAGCAGCGGGCGGGTCAGGAGAGGTCTGCCACACCATGTGGTCACCTCCGGGGCAGGCGGGAATCGAACTCATGAGGAAGCGTCTTTAGATTCTCAGTGCTGTGCTTTAACCTGCTGCGCCACCAGGGAGGGCCCATGTACCACAACTTTTTAATCCAATCCTCTGGAGTTGATGATGTTTATGAGGAAATTAATTTATACTTTTGATCATTGAGGGAAATTAATCCATTGAAAATCTTTTGGAGGTGAATGAATTGTTATAGCAAAGATTGTAATCTGTTTGGCTTATCACACTATTAATGTCTAGTATTTTGCCTTGCCAAATATTTGTGAAGTTAATGTCACTATCTTATTTAAACATTTTTTTTATTTTTTGCATACAGGAACTAGGGTGTAGGCCATAGGTGTGGAGAGGAGGGGGTGTGTGTTGCAGGGTTCACCAGAGACAGTGGGAAGCAGAACAGACAGATCTACTGAAATACATTGCTGAGGGCAAGACAGGAGATAGGAGCCCTCCCTGGTAGTGCAGTGGGTTAGGGCACAGCCCTGGAAGCTAGCTGCAGCTGCTTCAGCATGAGTTCCATCCCTGGCCAGGGGCGTGAACCACTTGGCTCAGCAGACTTCTGCCTCGCCTACTGCTCCCTCAAGCAGTATACTTTGTTCTGCTCTCCATTCTGTCTCTGGTGAGCCCTCATTCACTGCCCCTGCACCCCAGTTCTTGTATGCATAAATAAATAAGTCTTAAACAAAGAAAGACAGGAGATACACAGGGTTAGCGACATAAGTCTTGTTTGCACCATGTAGGTTAGCTCACTGACCAGGATCAAACTTATGCGGCAGTGGCTGGCATGATGGTGCTGAGACTTTAACCTCTGTGCCACCTTATGTTAGAGGAGAAAGGGATCATACACCTTTATTCTCTCTCTTCTCTGTCATGTTTTTGTGTAACACCTTGTGCAGTACCAACTTTTTAAGCTGTGAACATTTGAAGATAGGAATCAACAGACTTTAACTCTGACATGTAGTAATCAGTGAATGACTGCACGCGTGATCTACTACTTTAAGTAGTCCCACCTGTTGTATTGAAACTCACATTTCTTGGTTATATTTCCCACTAAACTGTTAGTTCTAAAAGGATTAGAACTGTGTCTTAATCATCTCTACGCTTTCAGTGGCTAGTAGAGAGCAGGTAACAAGTTTAAGGACTTTGAACACATTTTTTTTTCCTTGAGGATACATCAGATAACATCTTAATTAATAGTTGGAGTAGCTTGATGTGTGTTATGACTACTTTTTTATGTTGAATTTTTGCAAATGTTGTCTCTAATAAAGTTTGGGGCTTGTTTGCTAGGAGGAATCATCTCCCTATTCTTTGGTTAACATCTGCCTAAATGTCCTGATTGCTAACCTGGAGAAGTTATGTTCTGAAAGATCTGATGGAACTCTGGGTCTTCCAGCACATTGGAGTTTACCTCAGGAAATAGCTGATCAATTCCTAGGAGTGATGACTTGGCAAGGTAATTAAGATTTCTCTAATATACTCTTGTAGTACTTTACTATTTGGAAAGCACTTTTACATACACTTCATGTTTTGCTCCTCAGCTTGTCAATTTCCATATAGAAGCTAACTGGTATTTTAATAGGGGTGCATAGAATTTTTATCAATTAGAGAAATATTGCACATCTTAACAGTTTTAAGTCTTTTGGTCTATGTACATAATGTCTTTGTATTATGTAAATTGCCTTTTTAATTATTTATTTCTTCCTTAAATTTTTGGTAGAATTCAGCAGAAAACTCATCTGTGACCGGTGTGTTGTGTTTTTTTGGGGGGCAAGTTATAATTACTGACTGTTTCTTCGATAGATAGAGGCTGTTTTGTCCCAACTTCTGTAACCGGCCACAAGAAAGAAAGATGGGAGGCAGAAAGGCTGAACAAGCAGAGTTTATTGCTCCGGGACAGCAGCTGAGACGGAGCCAGCCCCTAGAGTGGGGTCCACAGCTACTGCCAGCCCTATAGGGGGGAAGGGTCTCTTATATAGATTCTAAACTCAGATTCCAAAGGGGTGACTCATCGCTGTGTCCTTGATGTGAGAGGCCCAGTTTGATATCACCTTAAGCTAGTCCCATCCTGGATGCAAGGCCCAGTTAATTGGATGCAAGGCCCAGTTTATTACCACCTTATCACCGTTGGATGCAAGGCCTAATTTATTACTGCCTTTATCCAGTCCCTCAGTAAATCTCCGCACTTGGTCACTCCCAACAGAGGCCTATTCAGATCATTACTTTTGTGAGATTTGTCAGGTTATGTCTTTCAAGAAATTGGCCTATTTCCTTTGGGTTATACTTATGAGCATAGTTGTTCAGAGTATTATTTTTTAATTTTAATTTTAATTAATTTTAATTAATAGGATTAATTCTGTATAATCTGCTATTCTGGGGCCTCCACGCCTTTGACATGTTATTTTATCGTTCCACTTCCTCTCCTAGAACAGCCTTACTGAAAGTTAATTTCATCTGTACTAGTTCATACCAAACAATAGTTTGGTATGAATCACGACTGTAAGTAATATACTACTGTAGGTACATTTATTTTCTATAATGAATAATCTCCCTGTGGTCATGGGTGTCTAGTTACCTTGTGTGCCTATTTATTTAATACAGGCTCTAATACATAGAAGACACTTAGTAATCTTTTGTAAATGAAATCTTAAAGAACCTACTCATTACATAGATAAGGAAAATAAGTCCTGGAGGTAAGAGACTTGTTAAGGCTATCCATTAATTTGGATACAAATAATCATTAGTAGTATTGCTTGCATATTGTATGTCCTGTACTTATCCTATTTTATTTTGTTTATTTTTTTTTTCTATGAACAGTGTTAACTATGGATAGAAGTGGAAGCGCTGCACAGTCAAACTGATTATGATTCCTGGTTCTGCCATAGTTTGATTGATTGATTGATTTTAAAGACTTATTTATGCATACAAAGCTGGGGTACAGGCCAGAGGTGCAGGGTGAGTGAGAGGACTCACCAGAGAAAGAATAGGCAGATTGACAAAGCACACTACTGAGGGGAGCAGCAGGTGAGACAGGAGAACTCTGCTGCACCATGTGGGTCACCTGCCTGGCTGCCTGGAACTCATGCTACAGTGGCTGCCTGATAGTGCTGAGATTTAATCCCTGTGCCACCACAGAGGCCCCCATAGTTTAATCTTGAGCAAGTTACTTCTCAAAACTTGTTTTCTTAGCCATGTAACAGTATAATCATTCTTTGATAGTAATGATTACAAAGAGTAAACGAGGTAGTGTGAGTACAATATGGGTACAAAGTAAGCAGTGAATGTTATCATTAGCTTTTGTCATAGTTTATTGACCACATTGCCTTGTGGAAAGGCATGGATCTAAGTTATTATAAGATGGTTCTGTTTCTCTTATAGGTAAGCTGACTGATAGAACAGCAAGCATTTTTCAAGGCAGCCAGATGAAACTGAAGCTGGTTAACATTCAGAAAGCTAAAATCTCTACAGCTACATTTGTAAAAGCGTTCTGTCATCACAAGTTCACTGAATTGGATGCTACTGCAGTGCACACTGACCTCCTAGTCCCAGACATCCTAAATGGTCTCTGCAGCAATAGTTGGATCCAACAAAACCTTCATAGTCTACTACTGGACTCAGCATGCAACCCTCAAGATTCAAGACTATCGGTTTTTGGTCAGCTCACTGGTCTTCGTGTTCTAAGTGTTTTCAACGTTTGTTTTCATAGTGAAGACTTAGCTAATGTTTCTCAGTTACCAAGACTAGAAAGTTTGGATATCTCCAATACTCTAGTCACTAACATCTCTGCACTCCTTAACTGTAAGGATCGACTCAAATCTCTCACAATGCACTATCTGAAATGCCTGGCCATGACTAAACCACAAATTCTAGCTGTCATTAGAGAACTTAAATGTCTGCTTCACCTTGATATTTCTGATCACAGGCAGCACAAATCAGACCTAGCTTTTCATTTGCTACAACAGAAGGATATTCTGCCTAATATTGTGTCACTGGATATTTCGGGTGGCATCAGTATCACCGATGGATTCGTAGAACTGTTCGTACGACAACGACCCACGATGCAGTTTGTGGGACTGTTGGCTACAGATGCTGGCTATTCTGACTTCTTTACTACCAAGCAAGGCTTAAGGGTTTGTTCTTAACTGAATTTGTTACATTTGTTTAGAACATTATCAAGTTTTGCTGAATATCAGAATCAGTATTACGTATTAGTTATTGAGAGACAGAAGAGAAAGAGAGCTTGATAATAATTATTGTGTACTTTGTGGTAGGTAGTGGAAATAAAACCTTTAGTTACAGTTCTGGCTTCCACATCTTCTAGTCCAGCTTATTAATGATAAATACAAGCACTTGACATTACCTCGTGTCTCAAATGCCATGCTGTGCATGTTGTTTTCTGCTTTAATCCTCCTTCTTAGAAAGATCAAGGAGATTAAGATACACACCCACAATTGTGGGATTTATTAAATGGTAGAGCTACAACTTGCATCTTTTTAAATCTGTAGTTCAGTGGTGTTAAATACGGACACATTAATGTGACTATTGCAAACGTCAATCTCCATATCTTCTTTTAAAGTTGGTACTCTATACCTGTTCTTTTTGCCCCTCTCTTTAGCCCTGGCAACAACTATTTTACTTTTTGTCTTTGATCTTGACTTCTGAGTACCTTAGGTGGAATTGTCTTTTGGTGAGGACTTAGCAGTCCTCGAGGCTCCTTCCTTTATAAGACTAAATTATATTCCCATTATATGTATGTACCACATTTTGTTTATCTAGTTACTGATGGTGGTCACTTGGGATGCTTACATGTTTTAGTTACTGCAAATAATATTGCTATGAATATGGGCGTACAGATACCTCTTGAGTCTCTTACTTTCAGTTCTTTTGATCTATACCTGGAGGTGTAATTGCTAGATCATATGTTAATATTTTTAGTCTATTTGAGGAACATTTTTATGCTTGCCATTCCCCATCAGCAGTATACAAGTGTTCCAATTTCTTCACATACTTTGTGTGTGTGTGTGTGTGTGTGTGTGTGTGTGTGTCCCCATTCAAATTTTGGTTTGCATTTCCCTGTTGATCATTGATATCAAATTTCCTTCCATGTGTTTATTGGCCATTTATATGTGTCCTTAAGATAAATGTCCTTTGCCCATTTCCAAATATTTTATTTTTGGTTGTTGTTGCTGCTGTTGAGCTATAGGAGCTCTGTATATACTGAATATTTTAGTTTCATGCCAGATAAAGAATTTGTCAGTAAGTGGGTTGCATTCTTTAGTCTTAATCTTTGATACACAATTTTAAAAAACTTTTATGAAGCCAAATTTGTCTAATTTTTTCTTGTCTGTTTCTTTGGTGTTGTGTTCAATGTAAATGTTTGTCATTATAATTTCCCCCTTTGCACTATTTTTACTGGGTTCAATATGTTTTGGTATGTTTTTGTTTTCACTTATCTGTAGTTTTTAAATTTCCCCTGTGATATACTGGATTCACTTGTTTATAAGTATATTGTTCAATTTCCATAAATTTGTGAGTTTTCCAATTTTACTTCTATTGATTTCTCAATTAATTGCATTATGGTGAATAAAGATAATTTATAGGGCCTCCCTGTTTGCTCAAGTGGTTAAAACAGTAATTTGAAGCTATCCACATTAACTGCAGCACAAGCTTAGTCCCCTGGGCTAGGGAGGTGACTCACATGGCACAGCAGACCTTTTCTGTCTTGTCTGCTACTCCCCTTAGCAGTGGTACTTAAGTTAGCCTGTTCTGCTCCCCACTCTGTCTCTGGTGAATTCTCTCACCCCCATATCTGTGGCCTGCACAGTTCTTGTATGCATAAATAAATACATCTTAAAATAATAATTTATATGATATCTTTGTAAATTTGAGATTTGATCTAGTTGGCTTATAGTGTTTTTAAAGTCCTTTATTTCTTTATTGGAAATGTATTTCTTCTCCCTTATCTCAAGAACTGTCTTCCTTCAGTTGTGTTGGTATTTGCTTCATATATTTTAAAGGATATATAGTGTCCTGCTTTGTCCATTGTTTGTTAGTATGTACTTATTTGCATTCTTTCAACTTGTTTAGTGGACTAAATACATCCTTTAGCTTTTCAATATATTTGTGATTTTGCATCTAAAGTGAGTCCTTAATAGCATATAACATAGCATTTAATTGGATCATATCTTTTTAATCCATCTTGGCAATCTCTTGATTTTTGATTGGACAGTTTAACGCATTTAAACATATATTTTAAAAGATTTATTTAGACCTGGGGTACAGGTCAGAGGTGTGGGGAGGGTGAGAGGATTCACCAGATACAAAGTGCGGAACAGAACAAGCAGATTGACTGAAATACACTCCAGAGGGGAGCAGCAGGGGAGGTCTGTGCCATGTGGGTTACCTCCCTGGCTGGGGATCAGACTCGTGCTACAGTGGCTGCCATAGCTTCATTATGCTGTGCTTTACTCTGCTGAGCTACCATAAATATAAAAATATTTATGGTAAGAGATTTCTGCATTTACTGTTTGGTTTCTATATGCTTTATCTTTTTGTCCTTCATTTTCTGCATTATGATTGTCTTTTGATTAGTTAATATTTTTGCAGTGAAATATTTAAATTCTGTTTTATTTCACTTTGTACATATAGCTGTTTTGTTTTTAGAGTATCACATTCAGTCTCCGAAAGATATAGCACTTCTAAAAACATCCTACAAAGATAAAAATTTAAACTTGTACTAGCTTAACTACAAATTCTCTACTCCTATACACCTCTTACTCCACCCTTTTAGTTGATGTCCTAAAATTACATCATATGGGGCCTCCCTGGTGACCTAGGGGTTGTCACATGCTGTCACTTCTATAGTCTGGGTTCAGGCCCCAGCTAGCGAGCTAATCCACATATGGCTCTGCAGACCTCTTTTGTCTTGCCTGCTGCTACCCTTAGCAGTGTTCTCCCCACTCTGTCTCTCGTGAATCCTTTAAATCTTTCTACCCCCATGTACCTCAGGCCCACACCTCACTTCTAGGAGCCAAAAGAAAACTACATCATATACTTTGTGTACCCCACAACATAAAATAGTAATTATTCTTACTGTATTGGTCGTTTAAATTGTGTAAAAACAGTATTTGGATTTACAACTAAGGTTACAATTAATACTATTAGAGTAATACTTTATATTTTAATTAGTGGTTTCTTGAATATGTAGAGAACAAAATGGAATTATCACTTAAAAAATAATACTTGCTTTTATCTTTATTTCTCAGTACTGGTTAGTATTCCTTCATCTTGCAAGGACTGGTCTAGCTTTATTTTTTATTACTTTTAAAGTATTTATTTATGCATACAAGAACTGGGGTACAGGCCAGAGGCCCAGGGGGTGAGAGGTTTCACTAGAGACAGTAGGGAGCAGAACAGGCAGATGCACTGAAATACACTGCTGCAGGGAGTAATGGATAGGAGAGGTCTGTCCCTGGCAGGGATCAAACTTATGCTGCAGTGGCTGCCGATAGCTTCATAGTGCTGTGCTTTAACCTGTTGTGCCACCACGGAGGACCCTGTTCTAGCTTTAGTGAACAACCTCAGCTTTAGTTCATCATGGAATTTCTTTATTTCTCTCTCAGTTTTGAAAGACAATTTGCTAGATATGGGGTTTTTGGTTAACTTTTCTATTAGCACTTTGACTAAATATGTGAACTCTTCTGGTCCCAAGTGTCTGATGAGAACTCTACAAATAATCCTGTTGAGGATACCTTGCTGCTTTCAAAAGTCTGCCTTTGACTTGAAGATTTTGATTGTGATTAATCTTGGTGTGAGTCTCCGTGAATTCATCTTGCTTAGAGTTCCTTGAGTTTCTTGGATATTTATATTCATGTCTTTCATTGTATTTGGTAGGCATTCAGTCTTCTTTTGAGTTCCCATAATGTGAATGTTGATCTGCCTGCTGGTATCCCACAGATCTTTTTAAGTGTTCACTTTTCATCAATCTTTTTTCTTTTGCAAGTTTCTTAATCATACCCCCCCCTTTATTTCCTTGTTTTCCTTTACTTCTCAGGAATGCTGAAAATTGCGTCATCTAGTTTTATTTATGTTCCTTGTTGATTACTGTGGTTTGTATCAGGTGGGCACCATTGATCCTCTAGATTCAAATCTATATAGAGGTTATTTGAAATCATTACATTAATGGTAGCAAGAAGAATTATATTAATAAGAAAGAAGTAAATTAAAGCAACACTACTAACTATGGTGTCTTTTATTTTTAGTTAATTTATGTGATTTTTTTCCTCCTATCTCAATTCTATGAGTATTTACAAGGTACATGCATTCATGGTTATTGGTTGTTTTGGAAATATATATATGCTGTTATTTACTTGAGGTCTTAACTATAATACAGATGTAGGGAAAGGATTCAAATATGACCACTTACTTTTTTTATTACATTTAACAGCAGTTGGCCTCTCTGAACCCACCTATAAAAAATGAGGTTGGAGAGGACATTTGCCTATTAAAATTATGGTGGAATGAGTAACATTGTAAAGCCCATGTGACATTTCCTTAAATATGTATTATTATTAGAAACCCTTGATGCCCCTAAAAGCCTGTAGTAACATCTTTTTATTTTTCAGGTTGCTGGAGGAGCCAATATGAATCAGATTTCAGAAGCATTGAATCGATACAAGAATAGATCTTGTTTTATGAAGGAAGCCCTTTGTAGGCTCTTAACAGAAACATTTTCAATGCAAGTAACCATGCCAGCTATTTTAAAGGTAACTTATACCCCAAAAAGTTAGCTTTTAATTATTCTGAACTGGTTTCATTAAAGCTGTTCACCAAACACATTGAATACAATAAGTTAACTTTTATGCCTTAATTTATAGTGAGTCAAAGTGTCTCATAGAGAAAGGAAAATACTTGTTGTTTGAATCTATATGAAATTGATTTGAATCATTTAGATTTTAGAATTTTGTCTGAGAAGGGGATAATATACCAATACACTATTTTTCCTAAAACAGAACATGCACTGTGCCTTAACTGCCTTAGGCAGCACTTTATTTGCACTTCTTTTATGATGCTTTTTTCAGTTCGATGTTTTGACATTTCCTCATCATATTTTTTGTTTGTATAGCTTACCTCTCTTGAGGTTTTAGGCTAAGGAATAGGGTGCAAGTAATTCATGTTTGTATCTACTTACATAGACATTTTATTACAGGATTACACAGTGTGAACTGGGCTGCCTGTCTGTGGGTCCTCAGGTATACACAAAAGGGTCAGTAAAGGGTTTATTTACAAAGAGGGGAAAGGAAAAGGAACAACCCAAGGAAAGAGAGAGAGAGACCTTTCCCTAGCCCCAGCCCTTGAAAGTTGCTCCCTGTTTATCCCCCAAAGTCCCAGAATGCCTGCTTAGCTCCACCCTTGGGTCCTCGCACTTCTCTCCTTGGTACTGCTGGGAGTTGTAGTTTCTATTCACTGGAGTAGGGGGTAGTGTCCATAGAACTCTCTGCAGAGTTCCTTTAGAACATTCTTTTCCCTTAACACTTTGTTTTTCTCTAAAAATTGACATTGGTTTTCTGACAGAAAACAATAGTAAACCAACTAGAACAGAAAAAAATAATACCATTTTAAAACCTTGTGAATAAAGTAAAATTACTGGTATTGATAGGGTCAATCTTTTACAGGAAGATTTTGCAGGTTTATTGGAGGAATTTATTTTAAATGTTACTAGAAGTATTAAGTTGTTCAGGAAGGAAATTGCAAATACATAAATGTAATATGAAAATGAAGAGTCATAAGAAAGTCACCTTGTCTTTATTATTCATAGTTCTTTGTGTTTCATTAAAAATATGGATATTTCTGTATCTTGGGAGTTTAGATTTTAAAACAATACATACAGAGAAACAACTCTGGACCTTTGTTTCCTATCTGTGATAAGGAGATTGAATTAGGTGTTTTAAAAATCCTTTTTGTATCTAAGATTCAGTGATTTTTGAAGATTGTTTCTTTTGATTTCTACATTTTAAAAATTGTAGCTGTTAGTATTCCATTGAAATCTTAACAGGTTAACGTTATAGACGTCATTTTTCGTAGTAGAAATGTGTCCATGTTCTGCCCCTAGGCTTTTATGAGTTCACTGCAGTTTTCAAAGTGAGGGACTTTGGGCTCTTAAAATCATAGTTCATGAATATCAGTAGACTGAGGTGTGTAGTGATGATTATCCCTAATTGATAAAGGAAACAGGTCACATTGTTCCAGAATGTTATAGCAGGTTTGGTCTGTGTTTACTTATGACACCTTCATTTCTTGTGTTCTAGGGCTTCTGCAATCTGTCTCCTACTGATCTTGTTGATGTTAGGTTTTGCTACTTTTCCGAATCTTTCCTCAATCTTCCTTTGTTGGTAGATTTATCCCATTTTTTAGTACATTGTGCTTTTCCTTATCACAGTTCTCTGCCCTAGGAACTCCTTCTCCATTCCACTTCCTTTGAAAATGAATACGGATCCTTTGTTCCCTCCATAACTACTTAATGTTTGTGGCTGCAATGTATGTAACTTTGCCTTGTACAGAGTAAGAGTCAGTAAATGATTACAAAAACACAGATGAGGAAACAGAGGTCCAGATTAGGGAATTGACTTGCCTGAAGTCCCAGTTATGTTAATTGCTGCATTTGAACTAGAAGGTGTTACGAAAAATAATGTTGAGGTTAGGGATTTTTTTTTTTTTTTTTTTTGCAACAAGCACAAAAATAAGACAGAATAAGAATGTTAATGTTGTCATATAGCACTAAAAACAAGTTCGTCTTCAGCTTGTGGCTGTAGGAATGAGGAATCATCCATTGGATTTGATATTGCAATTCACAGCCAGTGCTTGTACCCTCAACTTAACACGCCAGGGCCTGGCCAGGGGGATGCCTGTTCGTCTCTTGTCAGAAGTCACCTGTTTACTTCTCAAGGCTCTGAAAAATTTCCCCCATTACCAGCAGGTAATTTGAATTGACTACTTGACTATGCTTTTTACTTTAGTACAAATAAGTGAAAAATGTGTTTCCTTGTTCTGATTCCTCATCCTACCTGGACAAGAAAGAGAAGAGAGACAATATCATGTACATCATAGTAAGGAGTAATAAGGCTTACATTTTTAAGTTTTCTCAAACCAGATAAAAAACTTCTGCTACACTTTGGTATGGTCCTTAAAGGTTTAACGTTATAAGCCTACAAGCCTTATATATATGAAAACTATATTGAAATTGAATCATATATCTAAATACAAAAGCTAAAACTGTAACACTCCTAGAAGAAAACATAGGATTAAATATTTGGGACCTCAGAATATGCAAAGATATCTTAACATACAAAAAACACACATGCATAACTTTAAGTTGGAACACATCAAAATTAAATTATCTGCTTACAAGGAAACGAAAATAAAAATGGGGCTCTCCCTGGTGGTGCAACAGGTTAAAGCACCGCATTATGAAGCCTCCTGAAGCCACTGCAGTATGAGTTCAATTCCTGGCCAGAGAGCTGACCCACATGGTGTGGCAGACCTCTCCTGACTCACCTGCTGCTCCCCTCAACAGTGTATTTCAATAGATCTGCCTGCTCTGCTCCCCACCCTGTCTCAGGTGAATCCTCTCACCTATCACATATCAGGCCCATACCCCAGTTCTGTAAGCATAAGTAAATAAGTCTTTAAAAAAAAAAAAAGTTAAAAAATGAAAAAAGGTAGGGGCCTTCCTGGTCTCCTAAGGGGTTAAGTGTCAGTGCTACCACTGCAGTAGCCAATAGCCCTCTATGACGACGTGGCTTGAGTTCAGTCCATGACCAGGAAACTAACCCACATGGCATACAGACCTCTCCTGTTTGCCTACTGCTCCCCTTAGCAGTATATGTCAGTGAATCCACCTGATCTATTCCCTACTCTGTCTCTGGTGGGTTTTCTCAGTGCTGCCCCTCCCTCTCTTCCCCTAACACCTCTGGCCTATACCCCAGTGCATTTATACAAAAATAAATAAGAAAAATATTTTTTAAAAATTGAAAAGGTAAACCACATACTAGGGAAAACATTCATTTTGTATATGTGACGAGCTTATATCCAGACAGTCCACTTTTAACTCAATAACCCACAGCAAATAAACCAAGTTTGTAAAAGTTTGAACAGGTCATGTCACCAAAGACGATAATGCAGGTAACAAATACATGAAAATATGCTCAGGATCTTTAATTCTCAGGGAATTGAAACCACCATGCTTGTATATTTCAGTAGATAACTATTTTGCTCCCTACTATGTCTGGTAACTCTTCTCACACCCTGCTCCTCTGGCCTACACTCTAATTTTTGTATGCATAAATAAATGAATCTTTTTTTAAAAAATTAAACATAATTTCCATGCTACTCTAGTCATTCTACCCCTAGGTAGTTACCAAAGAGTAATTAAAGCATATATCTATATAGACTTATATAGATATGCTGTATAGGAATGTTAATAATATCTTTATAGTCCCCCAAAACTGACAGCTTATCAAATGTCCAACAACATATAAATAGATAAATTATGGTATATTCATATAAGAAAATGCTATTTGACAATGAAAAGGAATTATATACTGATACACGAAGCATGGATGAAACGCCAAAGCATACACTGTCTCTGGTGGGTTTTCTCAGTGCTGCCCCTCCCTCTCTTCAGTGTATGCTTTGGCGTTTCATCCATGCTTCGTGTATCACACCCCAAAAGTAGGTATTATATGACCTTCCTTTTTTAGAAAAAAAAAAAAAAATCTGTAAGTGTCTAGCATTCTGGGGTTGATATTGACTGGAAGGAGACACAGTGGCATTTTCTTGGGTAATGGAAATACATTTTATCTTGTTTCTGGTGGTAGGTACACAGGTTTATACATTTGTCTATGTAATTGAAATGAGAACTGATTTTTTTTTTCTTTTGAGTTAACGGTTTATAACACTGTAATTTAGGAGTATAGGTTTACTTGTTCAGATGCATGCTATTTCACCACATCCACCACCAAACTACCACGAAAGTCCATTGCAACCCTTCTACTCTTTGCTCCACCTCCACAGCTCCCCTGAAACTATTTATTTTTTTATTAATGAGGTTGGAAATATAGCACAAAAGTGGCCTTTCCTCATTTAAAAAAAACTGTATTTTCTTCTCTTGAAAGGTTGGCAGAATATTCCCAATTTAGCCTTAATTCCTTCATGACAATCAACATTGAACTTAGTAATAATTGCCCCTGTAACAGGCCATGTACTCCATCATTTGCCATAATCCCAACCAGTGTCCTGTTGTTTCACTCAGATCTTTTCACTTGTCTGTTACTGCCTGCATCCTGTTAACATTTCAGGTTTACTGCTCCCTGCCTTATATACTTATGTCATGCTGGCTACACAATTGCCTTCCAAAAAGAGACTGTATTTTTCTATTCTTGTAACTTTCTCAGGAGACATTCTTCCAGACCCTAGAAATCTTGAGAAAAGTGGAAACACTGTCAGTTATGAGATCTAGTCATTCAGTAGATGGGCTACGTTTAGATGTTGATTTGGGCTGACAGGCCACTCTGGATCTTTCTGGAGTTCAGCAAAGGCCCTTTTTTGCCAAAAAAGAGGCTTGTTCTTTAGGCAGAGGTGAATGTGACAGTTTATTAGTCAGATGAAGAACTTGGATCGGCCAGGTGTAGTGTAAATTATTACTCAGAAAAACTTAGTAGCACCTTCCAAATACTTAGAAACTGTTTACCATAAAGTATACATTTCCTCAAAATTATTTTTCTTTTTTTTTTTTTTTTCAAAATTATTTTTCTTTATTCCCTAAAGTTACAGAAGAATTGTCTTCTCTCCTTAACCAATTCCAGGATTCTTGTGGATGTTCCATTTGACAGGCAAGTGTAAAACTTGGTCATCTGATTTTGGGGTATTGACCAGTGTTACTCTGAGCATTATTTTTGTTTATTAGCTTAGCAAGAATCTGTGTAAGATTGAGATAAGATGTTAGGGGGGAAATGTTCTGTTGTGTCTTTTCTACAAGGAAGTACCTTCTTTGGCAAATGCTGTTTCCCAAAGTGTGATTACTCTTTAGCGCAGATGGGTGGTGAGAACATGGACTCCTGAGAGTCAGACATACTTCTATTCTGACCCTCCATTATTTTTACACGTTTCCTCACTTGTTAGATAGTGAATCTTATGAGATTTAGATATGATGTTTGTAAAGTACTTACCATATTGCCTAGCTTCAGTACATTAATAATTAATATTAAGTAAATAATATTAGGCTCTTCCTCATTATTCATTCTTTTTTTTTTTTTTTTTATTGGTAGTACTCTGTGTAAATCATTATCCCAGAATCCTAAGGATTCCTCTTAAGGCCTTTGTAATCTCCCAGATTCATGAGTTTAAAAACATTTGTAGTAACAGCTAAAAAAGTAAGCCCAGACTGACATGAATAAGCCTCTGGTTTGTAGGTGCAGGGCTAGGCGAGGCCACACAAATTAAATTGAAAGGTGTACTTAAAGTGTATTTTAAAAAAAAGTTATGAAAGTGGTTCTCCTCATTTAAAAATTCTGTATTTCTGCCTTCTCTTTCAAACTTGGAGACTTCAATTCAGTCTTCACTCCTACAAGGCAGTCTTTCATAGGAGCTGAGCAACAGCTGCCTTTATTAAAGGACATTTTAGCTGTGGCATATTAGCACTGTCTGCAATTCTTACTACTCCCTTTTGTAGAACTTCTTTCTAATTTCAGGCCTGTTGTAGTAGAAACTAAATATTAAAAAAAAAAAAATCTTTCCTAGATCTTTGCATCTTTCTTTGAATCCCATGCATTTTGATCTCATTCTATCTGCTCCCTGTTCCTCTTCTGATCACTTCTTTTTGCCAAATGCTTTGGATCTTAGTAACTGAGGCATTAGAAGTCCAAGGCTGAGTGATTTCTTCTCTCAAGTACAGACAGATTGACAGACTTTATTGTGAGAAAAATAACTGCTTTTCAGGTTAGATGCTGCCAAGTTTGTCATGAGGTGGCTCTGTAAACATGAAAACCCCAAGATGCAAACAATGGCAGTGAGCATCATCTCTATTCTAGCTCTGCAGGTATGTGATTGCTAAAATCAAGACTTCTCCCTCATCTGATGGAGCTCTAGTATTTCAATTATTCTGACTTTTTGTTGCTTATAGCTGTCACCTGAGCAAACTGCCCAACTTACAGACCTTTTCACGGCAATCAAGGTAGGTTGTTGCTTTTTAAAAACTTTTCTAAATCAAAGAAATTATGACCATAATTTGAAAAAAAGCATTCTAAAAGGTGTGTAAAAAGAAAATCCGTAGCTCTGCTCCCCAAAAGAAATTCTTCTCTAGTCTTATGGCTATTTTTTCCTGATACTTATCTACACATCTGTAGTTAAAATGTCAATAGCTGCAATGCCTTGATTTATCAGCTTTAGATGTAACTGATGATTGTGATGCTATGGGAAATAAGCACATTGCTGATCTACATAAGTCTCCGACCCTCCCTGGTGGTGCAGTTGTTAAGCACAGTACTATGAAGCTGCCACTGCAGCTCGAGTTTGATCCCCAGCAGGGAGTTGACCCACATGGCCATGGCAGACCTCTCCTGACCCCCCCCTCCCGCCCCAGGATGCTTCCCTTAGTAGTGTATTTCAGTAGATATGTCTGTATTTTTCCTACCTAGTTATTTTTACTTTATGGCATTTTATGCCATGGGTTATTTATTTATTTTTATGATTGAACTCTTCCTGTACATCTTGGGATTGATTGCATGCTTTGGAAAGTATTTCTCTCTCTTCTCCATGGAATATTTTTTCCAACCCAATTTCTTTTTCTTTCAATGTTTAAATATTTACTAGGATTTTTTTTTTTTAAATGTAGAGCAAGTACTGAAACTAACATGGAGGAAGAATACTGTTCTGTATTTCTTGAAGAAACTTTTTTAGGTAGTAGCACCAGAAGTTTTTAGGCTTTAGACTGATGTAAGACAGGCTAAGCCACTTATTGACCATATGACCTTAGATGTTTTTCTTATTTCTTCTATGCCTCACAGTCCTCATTTATAAAGCAGGCATCATATGAATAATAGGCCACTTTTTGAGCAGTAGTATTTCACTTATTATAAGTATCATTAAGAAATATGTTAAGTATCTAGCCATGGACTTGGCCACAGTCCCTTGTTCTTAATAGGATCACCCTCATATTCCCTGTTCCTCCCTTGGCCATTCACCCTATTTACCATCTTAGATGATTGCTACTAGTGTCTGCTGCTCTTAAATTGTTTTCTTAGCTCTCACAACTTTAGTTTTGTGATTTGCTCTTTTGATACATTCTCTCCTGAGTAGGTAAAATATTTAAGGTAAGGATTCATCAGAGACAGAGTGGGGAGCAGAACAGGCAGATCAACTGAAATATACTGCTGAGGGGAGCAAGCAGGAGGTATGGAAGGTCTGCTGTGCCATGTTGCAGATAGTGCCATAGTGCTATGCTTTAACACCTTGAGCCACCAGGGAGGTTCCAAATGGCATATTTTTTGAACTTTTCATTTTGCTGTCTTCTCTCTCATATCATCGTCTAATAAATTTGAAAGTACAAGTATGAGCTTAGCTTCTTTCTAAAACTATTCTGATTTCAAATAATATGTTGGAATCTCTGTTGAAGCAAGTCAATGGTTTCTTGACGTTATTAGAACGTACAGTTTTAATTACAAAACTGCTCATTTGTCTAGACCAATGAGCTTTTTCTCTGGCATGTTTTTCTCCCTCTCCTCTCATGTCTGATTGACTTGGGGTATCTTTATTTTTTCTCTGATCTTAGTTTACATATTACCTTTATGTGGAGGCTTCCCTGCTCAGTCTTTTCTAAAGTAAATTCTTAGGCTTTTATATGTTTCCTTCAGAGTGTTTATGAAAACTTAAAATTGTTTTACTTAGTCAAGAAAAACCAGGTATTTTTAAAATAGGGATCTCTTATCTGAATGAAGGCCTGGCTTTTAGAATGTATTGATAAAACATTCTTCGTAAGTGTAATAATAAAATAGCTGACATGGTGCTATTAATAGCACCGCAGGCTACATGCTTGTTAAACTTTAGCTTTACTCATTAAATCTTCATTAAAAACCCTCAGAAATAGGAATAACTCATTTTATTAGGGGAGAAATGGTATTACAGTGCTATTGTGTTTAGAACCCAGGTTTGATGCTAAAAGTTTTTCTTGCTATCTGTATAGTGGAATGAGAGTAACTGGGCCATCTAACTCTCCCTGTCTCTTTGCTTTCTAGGAACTTCTAGCTATAGTAAAACAAAAGACTACTGAGAAGTTAGATGATGTCACCTTCTTGTTTACTTTGAAAGCCCTTTGGAATCTTACAGATGAGTCTCCAACTGCTTGCAAGCACTTTATTGAAAATCAAGGATTGCCAGTCATCATTCAAGTTTTGGAGGTGGGAAGACAAAATTGAGATTACATATGAAATATTTTCTTTTTGTTTAAGTAACCTGAATCTTCTTTTGACAGACTTTTTCAGAATCAGCAATACAAAGCAAAGTACTCGGTCTTTTGGTAAGGTCAATTTTTTTTAGTTAAATGTAATGACTTTAAATAATAAGAAAACTAATGCATTAACACCTACTATATGCCAAGTACTTTTGTAAGCAATTACAGCTATTAACTCATTTAATCTTCATATCCCTATAAAGAGAATACCACAATGTTTCAATCATCTATTGCTGATTAAAAAGGGAGTAGGATGGTGGTGTTAAGCTAAATGGAGGAAGAGGCAGGAGGGAATAAGTTCTCCATGTATCTCAGCTGAGCAGTGGAGAGAAAGAATAATTTCTGATTTTTCCTTTCCTGTCCCTCATAACATTTTGCCCTCTCTGCTCTATAGAACAACATAGCTGAGGTCAGAGAACTCTCTTCCACTCTGATGATTGATGATGTGGTCACTCATGTCAGCAATTTGCTACATAGCAAAGAAATAGAAGTCAGTTATTTTGCTGCAGGCATCATAGCCCACCTGACATTGGACAGGCAGCCCTGGCTATCTCGTGACCTGCAAAGGAGTGCCCTTCTCCAGGATCTGGTACGTGAACTTTTCTTTACTCCAAAATCCACAGTGATGTCTTCTTACAGAAAATGTTTTTTTTTTTTTTAATATATATTTATGCATACAAGAACTGTGATACAGGCCAGAGGTGTGGGGGTTGAGAGGATTCACCAGAGACAGTGGGAACAGAATAGGCAGTTCTACTGAGATATATTGCTCATCTACATTTTGTTGCATTCCTTCTGATGGTTTTCTTCTATAAAAATTTTGCATGCAGGGTCCTTGCTGGTGCTGCAGTAGGTTAAGCTGCAGTACTATAAGCTGTCCATAGCTACTGCAGCACAAGCTCTATCCCGACCTGGGGGTGATACACATGGTGCTGCAGACATCTCCTGTCTGATCCACTGCTCCCCTCAACAATGTATTTCAGTCTGCCTGTTCTGCTTCCCACTCTGTCTCTGGTGAATCTTCTCACTCTCCACCTGTGACCTACACCCCTGCTCTTGTATGTACAAGTAAATAAAATTTTTTTTAAAGATTTATTTATTTATGCATTCAGAACTGGGGTACAGGCCAGAGGAGCAGGGGTGGCAAGAGGAGTCACCATAGCCAGACTGGAGAGCAGAACAGACAGATCGATGAAGTACACTGTTGAGGGAGCAGCAGGCGGGTCAGGAACCAGTCAGGAGAGATCTGCCGTGCCATGTGGATCACCTCTGGGGCCGAGGATCAAACTTGCACTGATGCAACTGCAGCTGGCTTGCAATGCTGCGCTCTAACCCATTGCACCACCAGGGAGGTCCAATAAATCTTTTTTTTTTTTAAATTATACATGCAGATAGTTATAGATGGCCTGTTCTAATTTACCCCCATACTTTCAGCTCCTTTTAAAGCTATTTCTTTTGGTATTTATCTCCATATCTCTAGATAATATGTTACTATTATTTGACTTTGCATTTTCCCACTCCAGAAGAAGAAAGTTCCTTTCCTCACTGTCTTCATGCACAGACCCTTCCTTATTTTCAAGTATAAGTCTTTCAGTACATTCAGATACATTCTGTCAGCTTCAGCTTCTCTGCTTTTTTGGTTATCTATTATACTATCAGAATTTCGAATGCATCATTCCATTGTCTTTTACATCTTTGTATCACTGAGAAGTTTGGACCATTTTCTTTTTTGAAGCTTGAAGCTCTTTGTCCTCACTGTTTGGAAGTTTCAGTGATGTACCTTGGTATAGGTTTCTTGTCATTATTATATTGGCTATTTATTGGCCTAGAAGCTCATTTCCTTCACTTCTGGTGAATTTCTCTCCTCTCCTGTCCTTACTATCTTTCCTCCCACCTTCCCTTTTTCTTGGATGTTACTCTTTCCAGGCTTATCTTTTCTAAGCTATATTTAAAATATTTTTTTAAAAAAGATAACTTGAGCCTCCCTGGTGGCTCAGAGGGTTAAAGCATAGCACTGTGAAGCTAATTGCAGCCACTGCAGCATGAGTTCCATCCCCAGCCAGGGAGGTAACCCACATGGCGCAGCAAACCTCTCTTTCCCTAATGCTGCTCCCCTCAGCATTGTGTTTCAGTCTATCCGCCTGTTCTGTTCCCCATTTTGTCTCTGAATCATCTCACCCCCACACCTCTGCCTGTACCGCAGTTCTTGTATACATAAAAACATAAATCTTTAAAAAGAACTAAAAGACAAAATTTGCAAGCTGACCATAGATTAGAGGCACACAGCAAGGGAGAGGAGGGTGAGGGGTCAGAATGGGTGGGAAGAACCAAGGAACTATGGTGATGGTACACCATGATATGATGATCGGAAAACTCTGGGGACTACACCTGAGAAGTGAAACCTATCATTGTACAAAAATGAATGATATAAGAAAATAAATAGTAAAAAAATGCTTATTTTCTTAATTTCCACTCCCATTGGGGTTTGCATTTCTGCTATTTTAATTTTTATTTATTTAAGGATTTATTTAGTTAGTTTTTTTACTTATAAGAACTGGGGTGTAGGCCAGAGGTGGGATTGTGAGAGGATTCACCAGAGATACACTGGAAACAACAGGTGGATTTACTGAAAGGGAGCAGCAGTGGGCAAGACATGTAAGGTCTTCTATTGCCAAGTGGGTTATCTCCCTGGCTGGGGATTGAGCTCATACCCTGGCTGTCAAGTCTATAACCCTTGCATCACTAGGAAGGCCCCCCATCATTTAGATTTTCACTTAAGACTCCTGTTTTTGCATGGTTCTCCCACCATTTGTTTATGGGATTTTCCCAGTCCAGAGTTTTTGTTAGGGCAGGAAGAATTAGGGAGGAGTGGATGCATGTCTTAGTCTTCTGTACTTAAATCAGAAGCCCCTGTTTATTGCATTGTTTTCCACATGACTTTATTATAGGCTTTATATGTATCTGGCTATCTGATTGGTACTGTGGCAAATAGGCATGCCTAAATTTGAGGAATCCCATATTTTGAAGTTTTAGGTTTTTATATACACACACACACACACACACACACACACACATAATTAGAAATAACATAAAATAGCCTGTTACGGACTATAGTACTAAAACCCTGTTTACCTGTTTTGTATAGTATACAACTATCCAGAACTGGCCAAGTTCAAGTTGCAAGATGACAGCATTGGTGACTTACAGGTATCTTCATGAAGGCATAGTATTTAAAGCTCATTCTCAGTCTCCTCACTATTTATGTCACTATGTAAGTCAAATGGCCGTGTATTCAAATCCTGTTTCTTGAGAATGCTAGGAAAATCACTTTCAGATTATCTGAGACTCAGTTTTCTTCATCTGTAAGAGAAGGGTGACGTGTAAAAATTGAGGATGAACTGAAGTATTGAGTGTCCAGATTGTTTTAACAGTATAGTTTTAGGTGCTACCATCCATTATATGGTCAGTAATGATCTATTTCAAAAAACAGTTGGTCCTATGGAGAAATGTTGAGAGTTATATTTCCTTGACATTAGCTTGAGTTCTGAATGCACATCTTTGTACTTTTTTTAGATCCTTCAAGGCATTTTTCCCACTTCTTGGCAACTTCTCTCAACCAGAGGCTCAGCTCTGGGCATTATGGGCTCTATATCATGTCTGCAGTAAAAATCGTATGTATTCAAAATATAAAAGTTTTTGGCTATTTTTCTGAATATTCAAAGTGAATTTTAAAAAATTTGTGTTTTGGATTTTTTTTTAAAATTATTTATTTATCCATACAAGAACTGGGATGTAGGCCAGAGGTGCGGGAGGTGAGAGTATTCAAACTGAGTTGGGAGCAGAACAGGCAGATCTACTGAAATACACTGCTGAGAGAAGTAGCAGGCAAGACAGGAGAGGTCTGCTGTGCCATGTGGGTCAGCTCCCTGGCTGGGGATCAAACTCTTGCTGCAGTAGCTGACTACAGCTTGATAGTGCTGTATCTTTAACTCCTGTGCCACCAGGAAGGCCCTTGAATTTAATTCTTTAGGGAAAAAAAAAAACTGAAAAGCATTTTTTATTAGCTTAAAGTATTAAAAAATTACAATATTTTGAAAGTAGATATTAAACTGTATAAAAAGTGAAAATTTGTTCCTGTTCTCCATTGTTAACAATTTGATAACTAAAACTGTCCTTTAAATACTTTTCTGTGTACATATTATAATTTAGTATATACTGTATATAACTTTTAAAACATAAAGTAGGCTCATTCTGTGCATACTGATGTAGCCTACACTTTTCACTCAGCAATTTATCATGAATAATTCTTACTGTGGTAGTACATAGAGTTGCCTCTTTGTAATGGTTTGTAGGAGACTGAGGGGTCGCCCAGGAATCAGGAGATGTAAGAGATACAGGCCATGATTTTATGCAGTTAACCCTTGTATACAATGGGGGTTTGAACTGTGGGACTCCCCTGAGAAGTGTAATTTTTTTCTGTCTGTGGTTTCTTCTTTCATAGATTTAGTAATTGGGATGTTCAATAAACTGGATGTGGGACCTGCAGAGCAGAGGACTGACTAAAAGGGACTTAAAGCATCCAAGGATTTTGGTGTGGGGCTAATCCCTCTCAGATACCAAATAGATAAATTTTGGGGGAGTCAAAATTTATATGCAGATTTTCAACTTCCCCAGGGTTTGGTGGTCGTAAATACTCCCGCCCCCTGGATTCTTCAGGGATACTAAAACCAGGAGGTAGTTTTTAGAATTAAAGGTTTGGCTATTGAACACAGTAAATTTAACAAGTAATGGGACCTGTATGCAAAAAGTTATGAGAAATAATTTTAAAGCCTGAAATAATTGAGACAGTTTATTCCTAGATGGAAAGATTCAGATACAGGTGTCAATTCAGTTCTTTTCATTCTACGGATATAAGTCAGTTCAAATGATTTGAAAAGTATTTTAAAAGTAATCTGGCAATATAAACAAGAGAATGTGTGTGTTTTTTGTTTGTTTGTTTGTTTGTTTTTGTTTTGAGTATCCCCTGATACTTCTAAAAATTATAAAAGTACCATGAATGGGGTGCTGGCATATGAATAGACATAGGTAGATCAGTAGGTCAGAATGGCTCTGAAACAGACTCCAGTTACAGCAAGCAGTAACTACACGTAGTACATGTGCATGTAATACAATAAAAATGGGAAGGGTCAGATGCACAGTGAGAAAGAGTACAGGTGATGCCAGAACTGAACTGTACTCCTAGTTTCTGTTTTACTAACTGAGAACTTGCAAGTAGGTTATATAGCTTCTACACTGTTCCTGTTTATTCATCTATAAAATAAGGATAACAGCTTTATAGGATCGTGAAGGGAGTTAATGGATTAATAATTGTAAACATTTAGAACATTGCTTGCTAACCATACAGACATTTTATACAGCACAGTATACAGAGTTTGTTAAATAATGGCTTCATTATTTTCTAAGACTTACTCTCAGAATATTTAAAATTGTTGACTCAAAAAATAAATGAACACTTGTAAGGAATGGTAGGTATTGCTAAATTGTCCTCCAGAGTTGGTTACTAGATTGTAACCTCATTTACATGTGTGGGGAGCTTACCAGTTCCTTAACATTCTTGCAAAAACAATTGAACCTTTTTTTGCCAATCTGAGTTGAAAGGGATAGTCTGTCTCACTTAACATCTCCTTTATGTGAATAATCTTAGTTATTTCCTTTCCCTTGAACTGTCTTATCCTTTTTACACTTTTGTTTACTGCTTGTTGGTTTTTTCTTTGTAATTTGTAGGAATAAAATATATAAAATCTTTGTAATCTGTGTTTCAAATATTCCTGTTTATTGTCCTGAGTTTGTTTATTGTGTTCACAAGTCACTCTTGTTACATGGCCTATGACTTTTAGGTCATAGTTGAAAACACTTTCCCAAATTGATGAAAAATTTTCAGCCATTTTTAATTAAATACTATCCTTCCCCTCTATTCTTTTGTGTGAAAGTACATTATACTTTCTCTCACTCTGTCCTCTACCTTTTTATAAAAAGAAAATTGTGTTTTGTTTATTTGTGCTATAATCCTTAGTAATTACCTCAGATGTATTTTTGGATTATCATTGCTGTCTTTGTGTCTAATTAGCTCAAAAACTAAACTAAATTGTGGATAAGTCCCTCTATCCCTTTAGCACAGTTTGTTATTTGCTTTTGCCAGGTGCTCTAGAAGTTTCCCAAGGATTGGACTATTTTTTTTTTTAAATGAAGGTAACACTTTTATAACACTGCATATAATTTGGAGATATAAGATCACACACTATTTTGGGGGGGGATAGTTCTTGTAGTGATTTCTTACCCAAAAGATTTTCATAACATAGCATAAATTCAAACCATATTACCCACTTAAGACTGAGTTATGAATTCTCAGGAAAGACTAATTCACCTCTCACTCATAAACACACCTAGAGCCTAGGCCCAAATTAAAATGTTTCATTGTCTTATCCCTTCTTTTGTCTAGTCCTTTGTGGCACCAACTTTAATGTACTTTTTTTAGCTATCTAACTTAAAATCTAAATTCCTAGGTTACTGAAGTTGATAGTGCCTGACTGTCCCAGGAAGCTCCTTGTAGCTGCTTTATTATCTAGTGTCTGCAAGTTATCCATCGTAAACATACTGCCTAAAACTGAAATGTTACTATTTTTTAATCAAAGAAATTCTAATCCTTTTAGCTAGCATTGGGAATATTGAAGCATGGAGTTGTTTGGTAGTAAACATACTAAAATATGTTATCTCACTGCACGTGGTAAGCATTATTTAAGTTTTGATATATTTTTTTGGAAATGAATGATTTTATCTACTTAATTCCTGTGTAAGGGCTCTTAAACCTTTGCATCCTTTCTTTAAAAAGGTGAGTGTGGTGAATTGGGAATAGTTAAGAGTCTGGTTTATCCATCATATTTCTTTGCTTGATTTTCTTTCAGCCAGCAAATACTGCAAAATGTTAGTCGAAGAAAGAGGATTGCAGCTGTTGTGTGACATCCAGGAGCACAGTGAGGCACACACCCAAGCACATCAGATTGCAACCTCCATTCTAGATGATTTCAAAATGTATTTCATGAATTATCAGAGATCCCTTTTATGTTGAATGTCCAGGCGGTTTCAGAGGTATTCTTTGTTCCTCAGTGTCAGGTATTTTGCCCTGTCACCAATTGAATATTGACTAGTTTGTGGTGGTTGAACTGGCTGCCTCATTGGTCTTTCATTATTGGTTTTCTATAAATTACAAAACATTGGATTTATATAATCCCAAGCCAATTTGTAATTGTTTTGGGAATAAACCTTCAGCACTTTAGAAAAACCAAGTCCGGGACTCTTGTGGACTCGGGGAGCTCACATTGGAACAACTACGCCATTATTATTTTTTTTATTCTGGACAATTAACTCAGGGAGTTTGTAAAAGGAAGGGTAAACGAAAGACACCCGCTTCTCCCCGGTCGGGCCACCTTGATATTTATGTTAAATTTCATGCTTGAAAGAATTTTTCCAGTTATTCTTGGTTTTGTGAAGCCACTGGAAAAAGAAGCAGTGAAAAGTTCTGGGAAGGATATGCTCATAAATGTATTGTTTGGAAGGTTGAACGTCTGTTAGAAGGGAGGAAAAAATAAAAAAATATTTGTTATTAATGTGCTTTCTGCTTGTGGGTGGAGGGAAGAGAAATGTATTTTTTACAATTTTGGATATAGCCTATATCTTTGGCCTTTTTACCCTTGACTTTACACTTTAGCAAAACATTCTGTGTCAAGTGGGTGTATTGGTGGGACATGGTGGGATTTAGGACTGAGAGTAGAATTTTAAGATGAAAGGTTATAAATCTTAGTTCCTCAAATTTTTCAGTGGGACCATGACCACAACTGAGAGTAAGAGAAAGAACCAGAAAAATTTAGCCAAAGATTTTAAGAGATGCTCTCTTAATATGAAGACAAGGAAAATATGGGCTTTTCTGACAACCATCTTTAACTATAATAGAAATTATCAGAAGCTTTGATGGTGTCCTTTGCAAAGCGCCTTTGTGTAACAAAATATGAACCCCTTCTTTGCCTTATTATTAACAAATACTGAAGCATATTTTGCCTTTCAGCTCTTTTAAGTTTTCCAAAGAACAAAATTAAATCCTTTTTTGATTAGTTGCATATCTTAGGGCTAGATTTTTAACTGGCTTGATTCAGATTATCTCTCTCTTTTTTTTTTTTTAAGATTTATTTATTCATACAGAGCTGGGGTATAGGCCAGAGGTATAGGTGCAGTGAGAGGATCCACCAGAGACAGTAGGATGCAAAACAGGCAGATCAAGGAAATACACTGCTGAGGAGAGCAGGGGTGAGACAGGAGAGGTCTGCTGTGCCCTGTGGTCACCTCCCCTGCCAGTGGCTGCACCTAGCTTAGCAGTGCTGCACTTTAACCTGCTGCACCACCAGGGAGGGCCTGCTCATTCTTATTCTTAACCACATTCAATGCTTGCTCACCATTATCCCTTTGGATAAGGGGGATTTATAAACATCCTTCTACATTCCTAAACTGTACTGTTTTCTCTCATTCACCTTCTGAATGACGTTAAAAGGGCTTCTTTGACCTAGCTCCCAATACTTTGGAACAACATGTTACCAGTTGCTATCTTTTGCTAATGTATGAATGTGCTAGGAACTAATGTCTTTTGAGAACCAACTCTATACCACTTCAAGTTTTGTCTTATTCATAGCGATCCTCTGAGGGTAGTAAGTTTTATCCTCCCCATTTTTGAAAAAGATTTATTTATTCACACAAAACAGGTACAAGCCAGAGTAGGCCACCTCTGGGGCTGGGGATCGAACTTAAGACTAAAACAGCTGCAGCCACCTTGCAGTGCTGTGATCTAACCCTTTGCGTCACCAGGGAGGGCCTATCCTTATTTTTTTTTTTCCCAAAGGGAACTATTTTCCCTTTTTCTTACTCTTTTATTTCCTTTTTTATTTTTAACCCCTTTTGGGGATAAGAGGAAAAGCTAATTGTAGGGAAGCCTGAGATTGTTTTAAGGAAAAGCAGTAAGAAATTAAGTCAGAGCAATGGCATGAAGCTTCTAGTGACATGCCTAGGTACGGCTTCCTCTAATAGGGTTATTTTAGTGCTAATTCCCACGCTCCCCAATGGTATGCAAAAGTCTATGTGAGCCACAGTGTAAACAAGGTTCGTCTTCCTAGAGCATCAGATTTTTTTTTTGTTATTTTTACATCATTTTGTACATTTTTTTTTCCATCTTAATTGTAATCCCCGCGGGTTTCCTATCACCAAGTCACCCATGTGCCATCACCATAATCCCGTGCATTTCCCTCCCCCCTCCGCCCCCCCCCTCGTTTTTATCCCCATTTTTAACAGATGAGAAAAGGGAAGTTCACTAAAGTAGTAACTTGTTAGAGTAATTATAGCTCATGTGGTTGGTGCTGGTTCCTGGATTCTTCTGTTATTTTCCCTTCTAAGAAATGATCACAACCTTGGGGCACATTTGCATTTAACAGTAAATCAAAAATTTTATTGGTATGTGCACATGCCCATGATTTAGTGACATAGGCTAAGCATGGGCTCAGAAAAGAAGGAAAGCTGGTGTGGTTTATAACATTTTGCCATCTCTGGTGAGCACTGACAACCACCAAGTATGAGAACCAACAGTTTGCAGTCCCCACAGTAGGGGATGGTTTTAATCCTTAGTTTATTATTCAAATGGGAACAAACCTATATTCTCCAAAGCAGAGCCAACCCAACCCTAGGGATTATCTGGGGCCAGGGTGAGGAGTAATGAAGGTAGTAGTGGGTGACAAAAATCAGCATTCTAATATTAGGCACCATGCTAATCAGTATGTTCATCATTATCCTTTTGAGGAATTAAAACCCAAAGAAGTGTTATGATGAGGATAGTCACACTGTTAATTTCCCTTCTAAATCCTGGCCTTTAAGACCCAGACTCTTGTGCCTGAGGTTAAATGGGAGTCACTTGCCAACAAATTTGGGAGGCCGCTTCTCCCTGAAGGCTGCCATGCCCTCCAACCGGTCCTGGGTGGGGATGTTCTGAAATAATACATAAATTCTTAGTTTGAGGGGGAACAGAACCAGAAGCCATTAAAGACTAACTTAAGCTTGTCCAGTCTGTGGCCAGACCAGAGTCCAGTTGCTCCTTGATCTCTGAGCAAGGCATCCCAGCTTCTAGCTCCTACGAGCTAGAATCTCAATCTCCCATGACACTGATAGGAGGCTGCTCAGCAGAGAAAATATTAGGTTTTTCAGTAAGAAATCTAGCTTTGATTCCTGGTATGTAGCTGGTTCTGCAAGTCCCAGGATTCCCTCTTTAAGAGTATTTCAGATGTTAACTTAGTATTTTGGACTAATCCAGGACCAGATACTAAATAGCTCAGCCGCTATCTGATATTTACTGCTCCACTATCACACAACCAGCTGGCTATTACCAGGGCCTTCAAGTTCAAGTCTGGCTGGACTTCTATGGAGTTACTACCGAGATAGTAGAAACCATTCTTTCTCTGTCAAATACCTCTATGTTCTGTGATTCTGTGGGTACTGAGTGGGGCAGGGTGTACCACCAATATCAGGTGACCAAGGAAACAGCCAGAGAAATTGGTTCTTTTGGTAACATCCAGATTAATTGTAAGGAGGGGATGGCATAACACTGAGTCTTTTGGTTGGGGAGAATCAACTAAGTGGTTCATATATTGCACTAGATTTCTCATCCTGGGCCAGCCTCTGCTTGTAAGTATGCATGGACTGGTAGTGGCCTTTTACCTGAGCATAGCATATCCCTTCGATGACCATCCCTGAGGCAATGTCCACCTGCAAGAAAGAAGTACCTGGATCAGCCTGGCCTTGTCCACCTCCATCTACACTGCAGCCGTCCTGTCCTACTACCTATACCATTCGTTACTTTTTCATGGGTTTTTTCAGCAAAGAATTACCAAGGCTCACTACACCAGTCTACAACAACAGAGATGACCGCACTAAGGAACCCCTTACCTAGAAAAGGATCACCCTACCAGTGATAAAACAGTACTGGGCAAATGGGGGGTGAAATAAACGGGAGGGTTTTGCACAACCTTTCATAGCTGAGGAGGGTGGGCATGAGCTTGCGCAGTCACTGTTCTTCATTTGCTGCCTCACCCTAATGTTACCACCCTTCTAGTGAACTTCACAGGTTTTCTTTTTGTCCTGGGCCTTTATCACCAGAGCCCTGGCAACTTAGCACAGCTACCCAGTACTCACTGTTACTACCTCTAGGGAAAGTAAATTGTATATAATAAACTCATTTACTTTTTTACAACAAAGATTATTATCTCTTACACAACTGAGATGTTCTGGTGTTGAGAAAGGTGAAGTAATTTGTCCTAGGTCAAAATGATATGTGGAAGAGCAGATCTTTGAAGCAGACAGACAGCCCAGCAGAGCCTTACCCCTGTCCTGGGTGTGTTGTCTCACCCCAGCTCAGTCGAGTTGATCATTTATACACACCTTTGCTTTTGTTCATTGTATCCTTTTTGTAATTCTCATCCTTCTCAAGCCCATCTCTAGGAAACATTCTATAATCCTGTGCTATCTAGGGCCATAGCCACTGCCTTGTGGGCAGCACAGCTGGTTACTCTGGAATGTGCTTGCTAGCCTTCACCTCTTATTTGAGGTTGCAAATTTGAGGCTGTTTCTTAGCAGTGGGCTCCCCCACCCTCCCAAACACACACACCTTGTGGAAGTGACCCTATTTGATTCACCTTCGTGTCCAAGTTGCTAGCTTAGGTCTAGATTGAGTATTTAATTGGTTGATGTGTAAGTTAATGTCTAGAAGTGAGTTAGCTGTATCAAGGCATTTTCCCTGAGTTCTGTCTTTGATGGCACACTACTGAGCAGAACAAACTGGAGAACATGGGCTGAGAACCCCACAGACCTAGGTTCTTATTACATGCTTGTTCTGTGATCCTGGATAAAACATTTTTGTTCCTGAACCTTTTCAGTCTTTTCAAGGGAGAGAAATGAGGATAAGTAATTTGTACTATTAACCTAGACAAACTTAGGATTTTTGTAAATGGATAAACTAATGCAGACCAAGAAAGCAAGCTTCAGACTCAGTCTCTTAGAAGATTTCAGTTCCTGAGTTCTTTTTCCTTTTGTGTTGTCAAGTCTCTTTGAGTCATGAAAGTGCTACCTCCTTGCCACCCAAATCCTTACCCTCTTACCTCTATTCCGCGGTTAATTGCTACTTTGCCAAGCCTCACAGCAATAGGGGCCTAGGAAAAAGAAGAGGCTTGGTTGAGGTGATTAGTGTTAATTGGCTTGAAGTAAAATGAGGTGCTTATCTCTGGGGGTGGGTAGGAAGACAAGTCCTGGACAGGGAGGCAGAGGGTCAGTTTTTTTAAAATTAAGATTTATTTACTTATGCACACAAGAACTGGGGTGTAGGTTAGAGGTGCAGGGTGAGAGGATTCACCAGAGACGCTGGAGCAGAACAGGTGAATCTACTGAAATACAAAGCTGGCGAGACTGGGAGAGGTCTGCTGCGACATGTGGGTCAGCTCCCTGTCTGGGGATCGTGTTCATGCTACAGTGTTTGGCAATAGCTTGCTAGTGCTGAGACTTTACCCTGTACTACCAGGAAGGCCCAAGTTCCAGTAAACTGATGATTGTTTTGTTAGTGCTTATTGTTACTCAGCTGGTGTTCTTTGTAACAAAGGAAGACTGTTCTTACGCTTCTATTTGATTTGCATATCATGAACATTACTTAGGTCTTAGGTAACTGATTTCTCAACAAAGAAAACTAAAAACTATGTAGATTGTTTATATGTGACAAATACCTAATTGTACTTCATTGGTAGATATGTATATGAGAATTATTAGAAATAAGATTAACAATTTCATGTTATTTGGAAATAACAGTGGGTCCTACTGTGGCCACAGCATGCCCCATTTCTTTGTTCAAGTAGAAGACAACTAAATCCATATTCAGAGGGTAGTGTGTATTTTCTGTTTCAGGAGAAAATTTGTTAAGACATCGACCTTGAATATAATGACAGGTCTTTTTTCTTGATTAATCTTTAGATTCATTTGACTGCCTTCTTAATGGTTTGTCCACTAGAGGGCAGCCTTCTGTTACACCATCAGGGCACTCACAGAGACCCATATTCCTTTTGGACACCTAGGCACTCAGTAACTGCTCAAAGTCCTTAAAGATTCGTTTCAGGTTGCATCAGAATATAGTTGGGATTTGTATTTGTGGTACTAGTTTTTGGTATGCTGGTATTTTGATATACTGAAGTATTTGTGTATTTGAAATACTGAAGTACTAGTAAATTAGTGGAATACTAACAAAGGTGAACCCTGCATTGTGTATGTAGTATATTCCCTATGGAAGTAGGCCCTCACTTAGTTTTGCATTCACTGACTTCCTGAGCAGATGTAAAGAAACTGGCAGAATAAAAATTATCCAGGCAACAACATCAGATTCTCCATGTAAATGATGACATCATTGTGGGGGGTAGGGGAGAATGGAGCTCTGGTGGCACAAGAGGTTAAGTCTCAGCACTATGCAGCTATCCACAGCTACTGCAGCATGAGTTTGATCCCTGGCCAAGGAACTGACCCTCATGGCACAGCAGATTTCTCCTGTCTTGCCTATTGTTCCCTCAGCAGTGTATCTCAGTACATCTGCTTGTTCTGCTCCCCATTCTGTCTCTCGTGAATCCTCTCCCTACTCCTTTGGCCTACACCCCAGCTTTTATGCAAAGATTAAAAAAAAGGGTAATGAACAAAATAATGCTTTCTTTTTAACTATTAATTATTAATAAAGGTTGTCTCCCCCCCCCAAGAGGACCTCAGAGCTATAAAAGGATATAGGGTTATTTAAATTTAAAGGAGGCAAAAAAATTTTAAACCAAAAAAAACCCCACCTTATTTTCATATTTAATTATAATACCTATTAATATTAATGTGAATGCATTAGTAAGAATTTTTAGACTTTCAATTAACTGTTGTGTTTGTAAATTTTGAAATTTGAAAACATTAAGTATTTTCAGATTTTAAATTATACATATTCTTTAGAATAAAATATCCATTTTTATATTGTATTCTGTATCATGCAAAATAAATGCCAAGTATTAAAATTTGCAGTCACTTTTCTGACCTTGATGAATAAATCCCTTAACCTTTCAGGGTCTGTTATATCATAAATACAATGGGTATATTCACTTCCGTTGGACTGTTCTGGGGTATAGGCTAAAAGAGTGGGGGTGAGAGGATTCACGAGAGACAGAATGGAGAGCAGTAGAGGTGGATGTACTGAAATATACACTGCTGAGGGATATATCTTTAGGATATTTCAGTGTGGTAATAGCCAATACAAAGGCTACTAGTCCCATGCAACTATTAGAATTCGAAATGAGGGAAGTGATTAGCGAAATCTTTAAAATTACAGGTGGCTCATGGCTGTGGACAACACAAGTGTAGAACATTTTCAGCATCTGAAGTTCTGTTAGTGCTGTTCTGAGGATGTTCAAACCCATTTATTTTAGCCTCTCAACTCAGTTTTTATTTTAATTTAAAGTTAATTTGATTTAGTTAACTGGTTGGCCGAATGGACCCAAAAACAAAGGAGAGTTAATTTGATGAGTGTTGGTAAATGGACCTCATGTGGCTCCACAGGACACCTTCACTCCCCTCCACTCAGAGCCTCGACACATGTCCCTGTGGCACAGGTCCTCCCTCTTGTGCTGAGCTGCCATCACACCTGGGGCAGGATCTCCTGAGCCAGTGCTCGTGCCCGGTGGTAGGCGGCGTTGCCCTCCTCATTCTGGGGCACAGCATGGTTCACCAGCCCCAGTGCCTGGGCTTGTACCCCACTCAGTCTTCGGCCCGTGAAGATGAGCTCCTTTGCCAGGGCCACCCCCAGGCATCGAGGCAGTCTCTGAGTCCCTCCTGCCAAGATGGAGCAGAAGTAGTAGACCATGTGAGAAAGATCTAACCTGGAGGCAACCAAGACTTGGAACAAATTGTGAGGGTGGAAGGGCAGAGTCCTGACTAGGGCAGAAGAAGCAAGCAGGGTAGAGTAGAACTAAGCAGGTAAAGTGAAAAGTGAATGTTGTGGGTAAGGTTACCTGCTCCTGGGAGGAGCCCTCGGGTGGTCTCGATCAGTCCCATCATGGCCGAGGAAGCTGTTTAAACAGAACAGAGTGAAGCCCCCAGCCACTCCAGTGCCAGTCCCTGGGTGTGGACACACCTGCCTCTATGCTGTATTATACCTTCCAGTCAGTAATTTTATGATTTGACGACAGCCAAACCTCCTAGCCTGAAAGTGGAGACCCAGGCCCTCATCTGCCTCCCCCACTATAGGTGTCTATCACCAAGCACCTGATTAGAGTCTTCATGAACCTGAACCTCACAGGTGGGGAAGAAATGATTACCCCTTGTCTGCCTCCTTCAGAAAGCTGCTAAGCATTAAATGAGGTAATAAGGCTTGGAAAAAAGAAGCGGTTCCTGAAAGGTGCCCAATACCTGTATCTGAGTGAATGGATTCTCTGCCTCATGCATGACTGCTTGCTCTGGCCTGGCCGCAAGTGTCTGACTTCTGCTCTACTAGTTATTCCCCTCAGCATTTTGGCAACCTGAAATTTCCCTGACTGTTTTCAGTTCATAGTCTCTTACTGAGGTCTTCCTCTGAGAAGCCCTCCTTGTGTGTCCCACGCCAAAGGCTCTCCTGTATTCCTTCCAACAGGCCACCTGAACCATTGCAGTGTGGGCCAGAAGGAACAGCCATTACTACCGCCTATAATGCATTTACTCTTCACCCTCCTGTCCTCCCTAGCTCTGTGAATTAATCACCCTAAACAGCCAGGTGAGAAGCAGAGTTAAGGATAAGTCTTGACATGTTTTGATGCCTTCTGTCTGGAGTTACACTTTTTAAATGTCCCACCTGGAGTGCAAGGAGACAGTAGTGATGGGAAGCATAGCACCATGGTGGCCTGAGACTTTCTAACTGCCTCCAAGAAGGGTGTACCTAACAAGTGAGTAATCTTAAAAAGTGACTACTGGGCCCTCCCTGGTGGCACAACAGGTTAAAGCATAGCACTATGAAGCTATCCACAGCTACTATAGCACGAGTTCCATCCCCAGCCAGGGAGGAGACCCACATGGCACATCAGACCTCTCCTGACCCACCTGCTGTTCCCCTTAGCAGTGTGTTTCAGTACATCTGCCTGCTTCTACTCCCCTCTGTCTCTGGTGAATCCTCTCAACCTTGCACCTCTGGCCAGTACCCTAGTTCTGTATACATATATTTTTTTTTTTTTCAAAAGTGCTTTTCTTCGTCTCCATTCTTAAAGCAAGGCCCACATACCTTTAACACATGATGGGGACCTTGACTGGTAAACCAGAGGGCTCTCTTCCTGCCTGGGTATGTTTGTGAGTCTCTGCAGGACCAGAGACGTATTGTCCCCTTGGCTCCCCCTTGTTCAAATGTGATTAAGAAATTACTTGGACAGAACTGAAAGATTGCATGACTGTCTCCTTTTTATCCTCCTCAGCCTTTTCTCTCTGTGCAGTCCTGTCAGCAATTGCTCTGGGGTTGGCAGAATCATTCCTAAGATAAGGTGTTGTGAATAATTAGAGCAGTTCATGGCTGGGCCAGGAGGGGAACCAGCTTTCACCTGAACCCCACTGTGCCCTCCACTTTGCTTTTAGTTTTGCTTTTGGTTGTAAGCCAAGAGCAGTCACTTTATTTCAGAATCTCAGATGCACCATTTCATCCTTCCCTCCCCACTCTATCACCTGCCCCCTCCCAATACCTAGTACCTGCCACTCGAAGGTCACAGGCCAAGGCGAGTTCCAGGCCTCCACCCAAGGCAAAACCATCCATAGCTGCAATGGTGGGTGCAGGAAAGTCTGCTGTAGAGATGAAGAAAATCTCAGCCTGTGAGGCACTAGCAAGAGCAAGACAGAAACTCAAGGTTGGGGAAAAGTGACCTGGCTGGGATAGAGGGCCTCATTGGCCCCCTGTTTGAGGACCTCACCTGGTACCTCAGCCAGGTCATCTTAGAAGTTGATTTTCCCATTGAGGAAAGTTGTGCGATCAACTGGGGAATCAGAATGGGGAAATGGCCTGGATGCTACCTCAGGCCTACTTCCCTGGTGGCCTTGCTGGGGCTTGCCCTTTTCCTCCTGTGCTCCATGCTGGGTGCTCGGGACACACTGAATCAGACATAGGGAAGGCAGACCCTATGGTTACAGGCAGTGGTGACCCAGGGTGATCTGTGCTCTGCTAAAGGAGCCTTGGAGCTTGGGTCAGGGAAGGATTCCTGGAGGAGTTGGTGGTTGTTTTAAAAGGATTGATAAAAGGTTCAGGTAGCCAAAGGGGAGTATTCTAGTCAAAGGGAAAAGCAATTGTCAGCACCTGGAAGCATGCTGGGTAAAAGCTGATGCTTCTGAATAGTCATGTTTCACCTCTGAAGTTACAGGTAGGGGATAGAAGTAGGAGTGCTGGGGATGAAGTGTTGGACCTAGCAAGGCATATCTGAACCCTCTTGTCACCCTCTTAGTAGAATTCCTTATGCCCATCCCTTTGGGATTATTGGCTGTCTTCCACAGAGATGGACTGATAAACAGAAATAGCACTTACTGAGAGGATGGTGAGTGGGTGGATCTGTGACCAACAGAGACCCTGAATGCACTCCTTAATCCAACTCTGACTCTTACCAATCTCATTCATCAGGCCTCGGAGCCGCTGGACAAAGACCCCCACCTCTGCCTCACTCATCTGCTCCCGCTCCTTCAGGTCTGCACCTGCAGATGGTAACGGGTTGGTGATATCCCTTGGGAAATGACCCCATATTGAATTCCAGGCTGTTAAAGGGTCCAGCAATGGAGACTTGGGGGGGGGGAAAGCAGCCAGAGGAAAGAGTAATGCCAGGAAAGTGGTCAAGAAAGCCAGGGAGGGAAAAGTGGGGGTAGGGGGAGTGGGATCAAAAAAGGGAAACTAACTACAACAGCAAAAGGATAAATTGAACTTCATCAAACTTAAAAACTTTGTGTCAAAGGACACTATGAAGAGACTGAAAAGACAACCCACAGAATCAAAGAAATTTTTGGCAAATCACCTATCTGATAAGGAATTAATATTTAAGATATATAAAGAACCCCAACAATGGCACCCTGCCCACACACGTACACACAAAGGATTTCAACAGACATTTCTCCAAAGATAGACAAGTAGCTAATAAACACATGAACATACTCAACATCATTAGTCATGAGTGAAAATGCAAACCAAATCACGAGATGCCACTTCATACTCTTTAGCATGGCTATTACAAATAACAGAAACAGGGTTTGTGTGAATGTGGAAAGACCTAGTACTGAGCTATATCCCCTTGAAAGTTCCTGGAACTTAAGCTCCTTCCTGTCTCCCCAGTGAGCCCCACTGCTCCCTCCTTTCCTCCCAGGGTTCTCATAGCGCAGTTTAATTCAGTTCTCACTGACTTGCTGTTTGTTGTGGGCCTGGGAGACATTATTCCCCATCTTTGGAGCAGAATTCATGGTGTGTGAATGTTTTTAAGTGAAGTATTTTATATTGATAATACTGGCTTACAACCCTGTATATAATTCAGAGGGACAGTTTCCTACTTCATACGCATGTTACCATGCCACACCCATCACCAGTCTCCCATAATTTACTATAGTCTATTGGGACCTTTCCTGACTATGCTCCCTACTCTCTATCTTCTCCCTCTAATAGCTTCAATTCTACAGTCAGATTTCTAGGGTTCATTTATTTATTGTCTTATTTTACTTTGTTCCTGTATAATTCATGTATGAGTGAAGTCATCTGGTATGTCTTTTTGATTTATTTTTGCTTAGTATAAGCAAACTATGTTACAAATAGCAAGATTTAATCTTTTTTAATAGCTGAGTAATATTCCATTGTGTATATGTATATATGTGCGCGCATATATGTATACCCATATCTATATACACACACATATACATATCTATACACACATACATGCACACATACATATATGTATATGTGTGTACCACATTTTCTTAATCCATTCATCTATCCTTGGACATGTAGGTTGTTTCTATGACTTGGGTATCATAAATAGTGCTAATGAACATGAGAGTGCATGAAGCCTTTCAAAAAAGCGTTTTTGCAGTCTTTTGGTAGATACATGGGAGTAGAATTGCTAGATTGTATGGTAGATCTTTTTTTAATATTTTGAGAATTTTCCAACTGACTAGACCAGTTTCTTTAATGATGATATAGCAAAAAGAACAAGGATTTGGGACTCAGGGAGATCAACTTCAAATTGAATTTTATCAATCCCTTCCTAGCTGAGTAACCTAGGCAAGAAATTTTACCTCTTGAGTCTTTGAATTCACATCTTTAAAAGTGGAAGTCAAATGAATCCTGTGCTGGAACTCCCCTCATCCCCTTAATCCTTGCATACTGGTGGGAGCTCTGCTGTGCCCCAGTGGGACAAGGAGGAAACCCACCTGCACAGAACACACCCTTCACTCCACTTCTGAAGAGCAGGACACGTATTTGTTGGTCCTCCCGGAGCTGGGCCAGAGCTTCTAGTAGCTGCAGAAAAGACCCTATCAGTTATCTCCCATCCATTCCCAACCCACCCTAATAGCTTGCCTTCCTTACCTCGCTGACAAAGACATTCCCCAGGGCATTTCGGGCTATTGGTCTGTTCATCAGAATCTCAGTGATTCCTGCAAGGAAAGGGGCAGCCTTGGGTGAGCCAGCTGGCCCAAGGTGGGCTCACACCTAGAGGAAGGAGGCCTGAATTCTGGGCAGTATATACCCTTGATGAGCAGTATGACTTGAGACAGTGTGGGATAAAGCAATCTAGAAGGTGAACCTGGACAATTAGAGATTCTTCCATTACCACAATCCTAGGAATATTCAGTTCACTTGCTTTCCTCACTTCCAGAGGCTGCCCAAGGACATATCTCTGAAATAAAATGTGGTGATGGGAGTCAACAGAAACGACTGGAAGGTGGTGTTAGAGACCTATTGGTTTGACAATTGCTTACTAATATAGAAGGGGAAACTCCCAGAAAAGGAAAGAAGTTTCCCCAAGTTAACAGCTGGACAAAGCTAGCATTCCCCATGTCAAATAGCTAATAATCTTTGAGGGAAGTTGAGACACATGGAAAATAAAGGGACAGATGTAGATGGGAGCGGTAATTTCAGAAGTATTTATATAAACAGGAAAGGGGAGAGGTCCTAAGTTAGGTGCATAGTTAGAATAAAACACAGTTGGGTCCACTTGAAAGGAACCCGGGATAGAAGAGAGAAGATGGGAAGTTGAGGTTGTGGTGAATTTTGAATGCTCAGTTAAGAAGTTACAGTAGAGCCATACTCTACCAGGAGTGGTTAACTAGCCAATTTGGTTTTCAAGGACAACAGGTAAAATGTGCTAATACTCTGGTGCCATCAGCCTATGCGAAAGGCAAAATCTATGACTGTGGCTTTTAACACAAACATCGAAGGACCCCAGATAATTTTTTAAATTATTTATTTATTTATGCATGTAAGACATAGGGTGCAGGCCAGGGTGGAGGGGATATGTGTGAAATGGTTCACCAGAGACAGAGTGGGGGGCAGAACAGGCAGATCTACTGAAATACACTGTTGAGGGTAGCAGTAGGCAAGACAGTCAAAGTCTGCTGCACCATCTGGGTTAGCTCCCTGGCTGGGGATCAAACTAGGGCTGCAGTGGCTGCCTGACAGTTTGATAGCACTAGACTTTAACCCCTGTGCTACCAGGGAGAGTAAGCATACCCCTTACTCTCATACTTAGTTCACTGCCAAATTGGCAACAGGCTTCCTTGGAAGTTATGATTATTTTTCCTACTGTAAAGATTAAGAAATTGAGAAGTTAAGTAATTTGAACCAGGTCTGATTTCAAAAATTGTTAACTATTAGATTGTCATGCCTCTTTTGGGAGGCCCCCAAATAATTTTGAGGGGGGGTTGTTTCTCCTGTTGTGAATATCTTTCTTTTGCATCCCCTACTACTTTTTGATTTATTCCTACCCATCTTCTACATACTTTTGGATAGAGGTGGAGACTTTTTGCATAGAAGAACTAGGGTAGGCTAAAGGTGCCTAGGTGGGGGAAAGAAGGGAAGAGTGGGAGGTGAGAGGAGTCACCAAAGACAGTGGGAAGCAGAACAGAAGGATTTACCGAAATACACTACTAAGGGGAGTAGCAAGGGAGACAGGAGAGTCTGCTGTGTCATGTGTGGATTACGTCGCTGGCCAGGGATAGAACTCAGAACTTGTTATAATGCATCCAACTACTTAGAAGTAAAGTGCGACATCTATGACCTGTGACAGACACACACACACACACAGAAAAACAAGTCTCTTTTTAGTTAACTCAATTACAAAAGAGGCATGACAATCTAATAGTTAACAGGTTTTGAAATCAGACCTGGTTCAAATTGCTTAACGTCTTAGTTTCTTAATCTTTACAGTGGGAAGAATAATCATAATTCCCAAGGAAGCCCTGTTGCCAGTTTGGCAGTGAACTAAGCATGAGAGTAAAGGGTATGTTTTAAGGCTCAGCAAACCCACATGGGCAGAGAAATTCTCACCAAATGTGAGACAACAGCAGCCTCTACATGTCTGTCAGAGTATGTGGGCTTCCCTAGTGGCACAGGGGTTAAAGCCTTAGTGCCATCAAGCTAAGAGCAGGCACTGCAGCCTGAGTTCCATCTTGGCCAGGGAGCTAATACACATGGTGTAGACCTCTCCTGTCTTGCCCACTGCTCCCCTTAGCAGTGTATTTTAGTACATTCTGTATTGAGTACATTTCAGTATTTTGTTCCCAACTCCCCACACCAACAGCCTACATTCCATTCTGCGCATGCGCGCGCACACGCACGCACGCACGCACGCACGCACGCACGCACGCGCGAGCACACACACAATATGCAAGAACAGGAAGCACGGTACTAGGTTTATGTGGGTAAGTAGCTCTTTAAAATTTATCACAAGAAAAGTATGAGATGTACAGTACAATGTACTTGGACACTAGCAGTTACATCAAATGAAGAGAAGAGAGGATGGGATTGGGGAGAAAGTAAAGACAAGGGCCTTGTCCTGACAGTAAATGTGCAAAAAACTGAGGAGTGGTAAATGCTAGGTAGTGCCCTGGAAATCCAAAACAAACAATGGAGGCTGTTTTTTTAGGGGCCAGGATGAACTTTCCCCTTTGAGTCAGAGGAACACGAAAGTTGGCCTTGGGACAGGGGCCCTCCTACCATAGCAGCTCTCCGGCGATTCCCTCTTCCCTTCACCATTCTTGGCAGCCAGGAGCTAAATCACTGAGCCCTGCCAGTTTCTGTGACCCAGGAGGGAAATAGGGCTTTTAAACTCCTGTTGGGGACACTTGTGCCTAGTCCTACCCCTGAGAGAACCCTTTCCCTTGACTCACAAAGCCCCAGGCTATTAGATGAGGAATTTGGGAACTAAGATACTGTGTCACCACAGAAAGTGGGCAGCCAGTAAGGCAGTCTTGGGCCTTGCAAAGTTTGGGGAGCCTAGGCTGTACAGAAGAGATTTGGGATCTCAGATTTTTAAGCGCAGTGGCGCTGGCCAAAGCTGTAGCCCTGGCAGCAGCGTTGGGCGCGGGGTTCACCTCAGCCCAGCCCAGACTCTGCCCTGTTCTCTCCAGGGCTCTCCACCTAACACAGCTCACTTACCTTGGTCGGGCCCCTCCAGGGCGCGCACTTGGATTTCGCGGTCCACTTCCGTTGCATGGGAGGCGCAGCCACGGGCTGGAAGGGGACCCCAGAGGCGCAGGAGCTGCTGGGCGCTCTTTACTACGGTGCGCAGCATCAGGGCGCACCAGAACGGTGAGGCTGGGACCCTCCAATTCCTCTTCCGAAGTTAAGTTCTCTCTCTGTTGGACCCCGGCGTTTCGCCAACAGCTCCACCTATGGGTGGAGAAGCCGACACTGCTCTCTGCTTCAGAGAGAGCAATAGACTCAGGAGAAAGCCCAGCTAGTGTGATTTGGGGCTGCCTCCCTAAATGTCAGTGCTTTAATCGGTAAAATAATAATATTAGTGACTTCTATCAAACATAAAGTTAGACGCTGAGGTGGTGAGGACAGATTTTAATGGGTAATTCGATGATACTGCGATTTTCTGACAAGATTTTCTGAATTTTTGATACAAGAGTGACACACATTTAGTAGGAAACGTACTTTGGGTTTTGAGCCTTTCCAAGCTGGGATATGATATATGCTGATGATATTGGGCACCCTCAGCAGCTCTAGCTCTCTGCCAGTCACAGAATCAGGAGTTAGACATTATCTTTTCAAATCAAGGGAGGCAGAACACTTAAGTAAACATATCTGTATATCAGTTCTGTTGCAAGAGTAAAGTACGTTGTGCACTGAATTAAACTTTGACCTGTACCAGAGGTGAGTGGGAATTTTAAAGGGAGCACGAGGAAATAAGGAGTTCTTATGAACAGGCACTATGTAAGAATCAAGGAAGTGAATTTTTTAAGTTTGCAGAGGGGTATTGATCCTCCTGAAATCCACCTGGGCTTGCTAACTGGTGTTTTTTCTAAGCATAGGCTCCTGCCTTCCACAGACACTGACAGACAGAGGCCCTATCATCAGCCATTGGCTAGGACAAACAGAAGAAAATTTAAATTGATTTTTGCAAAGAACTGGGGTGTAGGCCAGAAGTGCAAGGCATGAAAAGATTCACCAGAGACAGAGTGGGGAGCAGAATAGGTGGCTCTACTGAAATACACTGCCAATGGGGACAGCGGGTGCATGAGGAGAGGTCTGTTGTGCCATATGCTGGTTAGCTCCCTGGCCAGGGCTTGAACTCAGGGCTTAGCAGTGACAGCACTGAGACTTAACCCCTAGCCTACAAGGGAAGCCCAAACAGTAAATTCTTTTGTCAGCCTTGAATTTTCTTAGGCAGGCACTGTAACTAGGGGTAGGGTGATCCTTGGGATGTGGCCATATTAGGACCACGTAGTTTTTATAAGCCAAGGTTGAGGATAAGTAGAGAAGAGGGCTCAAAGGACCCTGACTAGAATTTGGTAAAGAGTGTCACCATGTCATGGTGTTAATATGACTATTGCGTATGGTTGGTGAACCTTGTTAACAATAGATGTTAATCTCATTTTAAGAATGCCATTTCATTTTTTTAAAGAACTGGTGTAAAAGCCAGAGGTGTGAGGGGGTGAGAGGATTCACCAGTGACAGAGTAGGGAACAGAACAGGCAGATATACTGAAATACACTGCTGAGGAGAACAGTGGCCAAGACAGGAGAGGTCTCCTGTGCCATGTGGATCACTCCCTGGTAGGGGATCGAATTCATGCTGCAGTGGCTGTGGATAGCTTCATGGTGCTGTACTTTAACCCATGGCACCATCAGGGAGGTCCAAGAGTGCCATTTCGTTTATCCATTCAGGTATTGTCTATTTTTACAGAATTAACTAACTTCCCATATGTACCTCAACTCATTCCAATTTTATGCTCAATAATTGGATGGAAAATATCTGTGAATATGAATCCCTAGCATCTGCCCATACAGTACACCCAAATTGCTCTTGTAGACACCAGCAGCTTAGTTTGGTTCATTCAGTGTGTCTCAGTAAAGAGTGTTCATGGTACTCTCTCCCTGCTCCTATCACACTAATTATTGAAGACTGCAAGCCACTAACAATCTTGACCTCCAACCAAATGGCTGGATTGTTAGGCAATCTAGAAACAGAATCATCTAGTTTTCAGACACCAGTGTTTGCTGGGGTCATCACTATGTTTATTAGGGTTAAGTAAAAATTAACTCTATCCTTCCTGGGTCTGATGGGAAACTTTCTCTCTGTGACTGTCTAGATAAATTGGGGTTTATGTCAATCCCGGTCATTTCTGACCCATTGCGCTTGCTTCCAATGAATTAATTCAGGTCATCTGGCTATATTCCATGTCCCCTTTTTATACTGAAGACAATTCCAATTTTTTACTTCCTAAAGAATCACAGACATGAGGCTTCATTAGAAAGGTTTTTTTTTTTTTTAAGATTTATTTATTTGTGCATACAGAAATGGGGTACAGGCCAGAAGCTCAGGGGCGGTGAGAGGCTTCACCAGAGACAGAGTGGGGAGCAGAACAGGCAGATCGACGAAGTACACTGCTGAGGGGAGCCGCGGGGAGCCGCGGGCCGGTCAGGAGAGGTCTGGCACGCCATGTGGTCACCTCCGGGGCAGGCGGGAATCGAACTCATGTGGAAGTGGCTTTAGCTTCTTAGTGCAGTGCTTTAACCCGCTGCACCACCAGGGAGAGCCATAGAAAGTTTTTCATAGAACTTTGAGGAGCAATTGAGGGACATCTCTTCTCTTAAAGAGGTTAATACTGTTAGGGACTGAATTGTGTTGCCCCAAAATTCATGTTTTGCCATTCTAACCCCTAGTGCCTCCTGATGTGATTGTATTTGGAGACAGGGTCTTTTAAAAGGTATTAAGTTAAAATGAGGGCACTAGGATGGCACCTAATCCAATTTTCTGATGTCCTTATGAGAAGAGGAAATTTGGACACAGGTAGGGAGGATAGACCATATGAAGACAGAAAAGAGCCATCTAAAGATCAAGGAGAGAGTCCTCAGACAAAACCAAGACTGCCAATACTTTGATCTTAGACTTCTAGAGTCTAGAGCAATGAAAATATAAACTCTCAATTTTAAGCCTGTGATGCTTTGATATGGCAGGAACCAACAAACTATTATACCAAATAAAGCATATTATTTTCCTAGGGAAAATATGAATTCTTCTTTTTTAAAATAATAAGTGCACACTTTGTTCTCTTTATTATTATTGTTCTTGGGGACTTCAAGGAAATTTAGTAAAGAAGCAAGGGAGATAGGACAAGAGCAGTAGTAACAGTATCCTTTCACCTCAGCACCTCTAGCCTACACCCCCATTCTTGTATGTATAAATAAATCTTTAAAAAATAAGAATGCTTTGTTTTATCCAGCCTTTCTAGATCTCTAGTAATAGGAGATTTTTGTACTACCTAGTCTTCTACATTGGAAAGGAAATGCTCCTTTTCAGTCTTTCCAGAATTAAAGGCAACTTTTATTCATCTCTACCTCTTTGGACTTCTATGTTGAAACCATCAGCATTTATTACATAATAATCTCCTGTGACTGCTGTTTCTGTTGAGTTGGTACTTGTCCACCAATCACATCACTGTCCTTAACAGCCAGAGTTTCAAGAAACAACTCTACATTTAACATTAACTGTACAAGAGGACACTCATGTAACTGCCCAAGAGCTGAAACAAGAAAGTAGATAGAATAGGGCCTTGTTTGAATTCACTTGAATTTAGCTAGAAACACTGTGGGCAATTCAAATATTTTACCACCTCAAGGGCTTTTTGGGTACTCATTTTGGAGGTATAAGTACTTTTTTTTTCTTTTGCAAGTAGGCATGTTCACAAATTCAGACTTTGTAAAGAAAAGCATTGAATATATATATATATATACATATATATATACACACATACATAGATATACGTGTGTATAAACACATTTGATCTAGTAAATTAACCTAAAATAGCCAAAATGAAAGGCAATCAAGTGTTTATTTGGGATCAAAGAATCAAAATTCATCATGTTTTCAAATAGAAAACGAAAATGTGACCTGAGAAGGAGATAAAAATTGGAGGTTTTAGAGTGAAAGGAAAACAAGTGGTTAAAGAGTTAGTGCTAAACTCATTCTGTACATAATTGGTTACTGATTGTGTTCTCTGGCAAAATTCCATAATCATCATTCTCTGGACTCAGAAGAGTCAAAACCCTTTCCCTACTGGTCTTTTAAGCTGCCACGGGAGAAATATTTGCTGTTTGGCCTAGGCCAATAAGACAACAACCACTTTTTCCACAGTGACAGCTCTTATCTGATTTTAAAATAATCCCACGTATGTGGCCTGATTTTTACAAGTGCTAATACTTTGTGAAATCTCATTTTAGTTCTCATAGAACAAGGCAAGGGATGATGGCGTTTCGGACAGGTTAAACTCACACCGCTAGTGATAGAATTTTGTTTTCGTGTTTGTTGTACATGTGCATACAGGAACCCCTTCTTTACAGGCTACAGTCCCAAGTTTTTGTTTTTGTTTTGAAGATTTATTTATTTATGCATACAGAACTGGGGTACAGGCCAGAGGTGCAGGGGCTGTGAGAGGATTCACCAGAAGCAGAATGGGAAGCAGAACAGACAGATTGGTGAAGTACACTGCTGAGGGGGGCAGAGAGCTCTGCCACACCAAGTGGGTCATCTCCCTGGCCTGTGATCGAATTTATGCTGCAGCTGACTTAATAGTGCTGCGCTTTAACCCGTTGCACTAGCAGGAAAGGCCCATGTGTAGTCCCAAGTTTTAACACACGCACTGACTCGCCCAGCTACTACCACCAAGGTAGAGACAGCTCTGGAACTTTATAAAACATTTCCCTCAGGCTATCCCTTTGAGTCTGGTGTCTAGCTACCCGTACTCAGCCTCAAGCCCTATCCTCTAGGCCACTCTGTCACAGTGAAGGCCCCAAATTCAAGAGGCTGGTACCAGGTTTTAAACTTCTTCAGCAATACTGAGTCTCCAACCCAGAACTTTCTCCCCGGGACCGGGATTCTCCAAAAGGTTACATAAACACTGGCCGCCCGCCGAGGACCCCGCGCCGCCGGCTTCTGCGCAGGCGCAGGCGCCCCAGCTTGCCCGCCCCCCTCGTGCCCCGCCCTCTCGCTTCCAGCTCTACCCCGGGCCCTGGGTCCGTCAGCGCCAGTGTCCGCTGCGCCTGCCCCTGCTCAGTACGCTCTGAACCATGTCTCTTGCCTCCTCACTGCAATCCCTTCAGTCTCGGCGCCGGGCGTTCGTGGTGGGGGTTGGGATGACCAAGGTAAACAGCCGTCAAGCCCGGAGGTGGCCTCCCTGCTTCTCTGAGTGTGGGTGAGGTCGGGGGAGCCCGGAGGTGAACGGGAAGCTGAGGGTGGGTCAGAGTCTGTCGTCGCGGGTCGCTTCTTCCAGTCCAGAGAGCGCCGGAGGGGCGTCCCAGCTCCCAGCCTCGGCTTCTTGTGCCATCAGAGTGGAGACTCCAGTAGATTGTGGTATAGAGCGTCTCTGGGGGATCGGAATGGCTCAGGGTTGCTCCTGCGGCCATGTCTTAGCCCCTCCTCTTTCCCTTTTCTCTCTGTGTCGGGCTTTGTGAAGGGCACCCCGAGATGACCCTGCGTCTTCACCTCTTGGTTCTGAGTGGGCTTCCGTCTGAGGAAGGGACCCTCCACCCGGAAGGAAAGCAGGTGTGACAGTCACCAGCTGTGACGCCCAGGAGTACACTGTGGAAGCCCTTCGCAGGGACAGTGTAGCTGGGGAGGAGGAACATTAGTGGTGTCAGCGGCTCAGCGGGGTGGCAGGGTCCTGAATCCTCTAACCTTTACGATCCTCAGGGGGCCACAGGGACCTGCAGTACGTTTCTTGATTCACCATCTCCATGCTTTGGTAACGGCACACTGTCCAGAATCTTGGTTGTTCACCTTTCTGTTTTCGTTCTTTGTACCATGTCTTCACTTGGCTAGTTTCTTTGAGTTTTAAAAGATGAGCCCCTGGTCCTCGACTTTCCCATAGAGCCCGCAATGCTCACCTCTTAGTACTTTGTGTTCTACTGAAACTCTGTATGTCTATACTTTTCCATAGCGTGTACGTTCTTCCAAGGTAAGTAACATGCCCTGATTCCTTGCTTTAGCTCTAGCAGCCAGAAGATGCCTAAAGTCTCAGTAAGTATCAGTTGGACAATACTACATGGGTCTGCTTTGTGAAAGAGAGTTCCTAGGGCAAGTTCTCTTTCATTAAATGAAAACTACGGCTTTCAACCCACAGCCCTAAAAATGGTCTTTGTCACCCTGTACAAACCTACAGTTTGGAGAAGACTCCATTATCTTATTTAATCCTCACTATATGTAATGGATTATACCCATTTTATTGTCTGTGTTTGAAGCTCAACATCTAAGTTATATGTCTTAATATAGTTCCTAAATTTTGGAATTGCATTACTTAAAATTGCTTTTTTCCCCCATGCTGTCTACCATATGTCACTATTGAAGTTAATTCACCATTTAAGCATATTTTCAATAAATGTACCAGGTATTACATACAAAGATAGGGGAAATGCAGTGTCTTTAAGAAATAAAAACTATGAGGAAGAGGCTAAGCAAGTAAGTGAAATACAGTGTGTTGTGACATTTTGTTAAACATGGCAGAATGAGAATAGGAATTTATTTCTATTGGTGCTTTCCAATCCCACTCACATGACTAAAGTAAGACAGTTTCTCAGAACTGAAAGAGAACTTCTGTTTGTAAAGGCCAGTCCAATGAAAAAAAAAAAAGCTTACATTAAAACATTGTTTTGAAATTTCAGAACCCCCCCAAAAAAATGATTCTAAAAACTTTTGCAGAGAGAAAAAAATTAGTGATATAAGAAGCTGGACTCAAAATAGCATTGATTTTTTCGGTGGTAACTTTGGACGCTTAAAAGAACGCTTTCAAATTTTCTGAGTAAATTTCTTTATTGGTAGATAATTGATCTATGACATTAGTTTCAAGTATATACCATATTAATCTGATAATTGTATCTATTCTGAAAAGATAACCACCTTAAGTCTAGTTAGCATTAGATAACTAGTTAACATTAGTTAACCACATGTAGTTATACATTTTTTCTTGTAATGAGAGCTTTTAAGATCTGTCTTAGTAGCTTTCAAATATACAATATTAACTTTTTCCTAAAAGTTTATTCCTAGTAATAAAATCCAAAATTGAAACTCAGGCTCTGAAAAATTTATTTTTTTACATATCCTTTCTTTTAAGATAACTAGTAAAAATGCCCACCAAAACGGTGGATTACTAAGAAGATGGTGGATCTTAGAGCAAATCCAACATAGGAGAACATTGAGGGATGTCAGCTCTGCATAGGTTTAGAGAGGAAACCTGTCCAGTTTGTAATAGGCCTGTGGATGAAGAAAAGTCCTATAGGGAAAATTATCATGAAGCATATGGATTTAAGAGGTATAGATATTATAGAGTTGTAGATAGGGACAAAGAAAAGCAAATGAAAAAATAAGACAGTTAAGCAAATTAAAAAACTATTCTCAGTAATGTTACTGATTATTAGCATTAGTATTTTTTATTCTGAGAGTGATTATTTCATGTATTACTCTGGTGTAAAATACATGAGTACATATGATATGTTCTACTTTAGTCATCCTTAGTTCTTGAGAACTAAGATTCTTGGTTGGGAAGAAAACAGGTAAAATACAATACAGAAGAGGGTAGGTTAAATTCTTCTAATTTTTAATTTAAATTTGAAGTGTTAGTATGAATTTATGAAGTATTTAATCTTTAAAGAAAAATTGTAACTACCTAGAAATATCAATACCATGGTCTTGAAATATCTTTTCTAAAATAAGTAGGTGCTTGGAAAAACTGAATTTTTCCATATTGGCAGGAAATACACAATATACAAATATACATGGTTTGGCCCATGTTTAAATACAAGTTCATGAGTTCATCTTAAAAACCATGTAGCTGTCACCTTTGGAGGATTATAGGGAACCTATCCATTAACTTGAAAGCAGGCAGATGGAAAGATTCATGCATTTATCGTTCCTTTGTGAACTGTAATTAAATAGTATACCAAGGGTAATTAAATAGTATACAAAGAGCAATGTTTTCTAAAAAGTATTTGATAAAAAAAAATTATCACTATTTGACAGACCCAGTGAATTAATGAATTTAATTAAGCAGTGGTATGTAGTAATTAAGTAGTGGTACATAGTAAAGTTTGCTAACTGGTGCTTTATCCAAGGTTAGGCTCCCACCTAGCACAGACCCTGGAGACAGGCCTTTAGATGTTGCTGGAAAAAATTAACTCTTTGGGCAACCATGTGTTTTTTTGGCAGGCACTGTACATGCTGTACAAATAACAAGTTGTACAAATAATAAATAACCCTAGGTATGTGGCCTTAAATCGTTATAACCACATTAGTGTTTAAGTCTTATGGGTCAAGATTGAGGCCTGAAGGTATACAAAGTACAATATTTAGACCTATGTATGGATGGTTTTATGGATCTGTTATTTATTATAGAAAGGGCAAAACTTTAAAAAGTGAGCTAACTTTTTTTCCCTCCCCCGGCACTTAATGCTTCTGCAATTACTGAAACCATCGGTATTTTTCTTTTTCTTTCTGGCTTATTTACTAAGCATGATCCCTTCCAAAAGGCATGTGTTTATGATTTGATTGCTGAGTAATATTCCATTGTGTATATGTACCACATCTTTTTTTTTTTTAAAAGATTTATTTATTTGTACATATAGAACTGGGGTACAGGCCAGAGGCTCAGGGGTGGTGAGAGGCTTCACCAGAGACAGAGTGGGGAGCAGAACAGGCAGATCAACGAAGTACACTGCTGAGGGGAGCAGCGGGCGGGTCAGGAGAGGTCTGCCGCACCGTGTGTGTACCACATCTTTTTAATCTAGTCATCTACTTTTTGGCATTTGGGTAGGACTGCTGCTTTTTATTATAACTCTTATAGTACTTTTTTGTTTCTGAATCTCTGTTTCAGGTGAAAACTAAAAACCAATTATCAACAGGACATTACTAGCCCCAGCAATCCACTTGTACCCTTTTCCAGTCACACCACTAGTCTGCAGTGGGTTACTACTATCCAGACTTCTCATGCTTAATACCATAGATTAGTTCAGGTTTCATGTTCAATATGTTTGTGAGCTTCATCCATAATTTTATGGATTTTCATTAATATACAAGTTGCTTACTTCAATATGCATTTTTCCAAATGTTATGGACTTTCGGTATTTTCCATATAAATATTTTAATTTTGGAAGAATGATTTTGTGTATGTTTATTTGCTTGACTAATCTTTAAAAAATTGCTTTAATTTCAGTAAGAAATGGGAAAGTGCAGTCATTTTACTAGTGGATGATAATTTAGTTCTTCATGGGTACTGCTTGTTGGAGCCTAGCATCATGCTCTGAGTATAGTAAGCTTTTTATGTAAATGTTCTGAATATAACTAGGGAACTGAAGGGTTAGTAGGGGGAGAATAGGCAAATTTGGGATCCCTAATTAGGGATTTATGAAGGATTCCATAATTTAGGAATTATGAAGAGTTGAGGTGAATCAAAGATAGGAACACTTGTTAAGTGTTTTGTGTGGTTCAGTTCAACAGGTGGGCGTTGAGCAATGAAGTGTCACATTTAAGTCAAATGACTATACAGTGTTTCAGATTGGAATTTGTAACCCATTGAGGAGTTGTAAAATGATGCCTTTAGCATTAAAATAATTGAAATATAATAATAAAAAAGTATCAACATAATAAAGATAAGTATTTGTGAAATTTGGGCTACAACATATGTATCTGTGTGTGCACTGGGTTGTGTTATATGTATCTTGTGGTTCGTAGTCAAAATATTTTAAAAACCTTTTCTCTTTAGCATGACTGCTGACCAGCAACTAGTCCACCTTATCTAATGGGATCACCATTTTTGGTGAATTTACTTCTTTTATGTTTCTTAAGTCTGCTTTCTATTCTCTTTGCTGCTGTCTTAGCTCTCACTCGGACTCTTTCAGAGTTATGATAGTCTCAGTGCCTCCAGCCTTGGTTCCCTTCATTTTACCACATTGTATTAGAATGGTCTCAAATGCAGGTTTTCTTATCCCAGTCTTTCTCTGCATACTAGGTATATTCTGTATTCTCTGTGTATTCTAAAGAGGTGTGAGCTGGTACATCTAGAAAGTGCTACAAACCATTTATGTAGATACATAAATATATAAATGAAAGATAGGGTTTATTTTTCAAAGCAATTTTATTTTGTTTTGAAATTTTATGGGAAGACTGAGCAGCAAGTACAAGAGTTCCCACATACTCCCTGCATCACATATGTACACAACCACAGTCTCTGCTACATCAGACTACTATATTTATTAAAATCAGTGAACCCTCACTGACACATTATCATCCTTTAAAGTCCATAGTTTACATTAGGGTTCATTCTTGGTGGTGTATATTCTGTGGGTATGTACAAATGTATAATGTTACGTACCCATTATTAAATATTAATTTCATTGCCTTAAAACTGCTGTGCCATCCCTCCTCCTCTTAGTCCTTAATAGCCACAGATCTTTTTACTCTATGCATAGTTTTGCTTTTTCCAGAATATCATATAGTTAGAATCATACAGTATGTATGTAGCCTTTTTAGATTGGTTTCTTCACTTAGTAATGTGCACTAAAGTTCTTCCATGTATTCTTTGTGACTTGATAGTTCATATCTTCTAGCATTATATAATATTCTATTGTCTGGAATACCACAGTTTATCCATTTACCTGCTGGAGATATTGGTTGCTTCTAAATTTTGGGTAATTTTAAATAAAGGTACTATAAATATCTGTATATAGATTTTTTGGATGGATACAATTTTTTTTTTTAAAAAAGATTTATTTTCTTATGTGTAGAAGAACTGGGGTATAGACAGGAGGTGTAGGGGGTGAGAGACTTCACCAGAGACAGAGTGGGGAGTAGGACAGGAGGACTGACTGAAATACACTGCTAAGGGGAGCAGCAGGTGAGACAGGAAAGATTTGCTGCGCCATGTGGGTCAGCTTCTTAGCCAGGGATTGAATTCAGGCAGCAGTGGCTGTGGATAGCTTCATAGTGCTGTGCTTGAACCCCTTGTGCCACCAGGGAGGCCCCAATTTTGTTCATCTTTTTCCTTTTTAAAAAATATTTACTTATTTATGCACACAGAACTGGAGTGCAGCCAGAGGTGTGGTGGGTAAGAGGATTCAGAGACAAGAGTGGAGAGCAGATGGCAGATCTACTGAAATACACCGCTGAGGGGTGCAGCGGGCAGGTCAGGAGAGGTATTCTGCTCCATGTGGGTCACCTCCCTGGTGGGAAATCAAACTTGTGCTGTAATAGCTGCAATAGCTTCTTAATGCTGTGCTTTAACCCATTGTGCCACCAGGGAGGGCCCCAATTCTGTTCATCTTTAAAGATTGAATTTAAATGTCAGTTCCTCTGGGAAGCCTCCCCAGTTCTCACTCTTAAGGTTGTGAATTTCTCTCCCAAATCATTTATACTTTTGACATGTTAGTGTTGTTATCTGTTTTCCTTTAGATAAAAGGCCCCTGTGCATTTTGTATTTATTATTGAAGTCCAAAAATATGATAGATGCTCAATATGTTTTTGTTTAAATTAATAGTGAATTAATTTCTATAATGCTTTGTTGTGAAAAAAATCTGTACTTATTTCTGTTTGACTGTCTTTCTCTGTATTTCTAGTTCTTCAAGCCTGGAAGTGGGAATTCAAGAGACTACCCTGACCTGGCAAAAGAAGCAGGTAATATAAAGTGGTTAGAAATTTAAACATTATAGTTTATTGTGTGGTCTGTTTTGACTTTGGAGGAGCCTGGCAGCCATAAAAAGAAATCTGGTTATGGAAGAAGAATCTATCTTCCCTAGTGACTCACTAGATAGGAGAAAGGGAAGAGCTTGGGTCTAAGTTAGCTAAAGAGTGAGGGCAGTCATTTTTGTGCTGTCCAACTGTTTGTTAAAACAGCAAAGGACACTGTGGGAGAGAAAATTAGGGTCATTAAAAGTGATAATTTGGGCCCTCCCTGGTGGCGCAGCGGGTTAAAGCACTGCACTGAGAAGCTAAAGCCACTTCCACACGAGTTCGATCCCCGCCTGCCCGGGAGGAGACCACATGGCGC